GTGCCAATGTAAGACGATTAATAACAGAAAATGAAATTGTTGGTTCGAAAGACTATCACACTTATTTTCCTTTGGTATAACTTCTTCTGAGAGAATTAAAAAAATAAAACAACTATTTCGTTTGTAACAAACGGTAAATATATCGAGTAACACTTATGTGAGAACGCGTTGAGTTCTATTACAGGGAACGATACTTTTCAAATTCTTATCAAATAATTTAGTTTTTAGTTAAGAACTAATTAACTTCAATTGCTTACAAACTAGTGACATAGTCAAGAACAATTTAGGAGAAGAGGTGGTATTCCTTCTTGAACAATTTTCATGAATGATGAAAAATTTTTCTATGGAATCACACATATCAAGAAGTTGTTTCAGATAACAACGGATGCCAATTTCTTCAACTAGGATCCTGCGAAGTCAGGGTGTGGGTGAGGCTGAAAAATTTTATGCCTGGAACCGATAGAGTTTATCAAGTTGCGCCTAGAACCGCCGTTAGTCTTGTTAGAACCTACACTGAATTGAATCGATTGAAGAAAAAGTCGAATCCTGCTCAAAGATCGTCTACGTACAAAGTTTTGGAAATTAGTTGTTTTGCGCTGTGCAGAAGAGTTGATGGCAATTTTCGTACTTCCATCTCTATATCAAATATCTTTACATATTCTGGTAGAGAATTTGACGATGCATCTTTTGATACAAATCACTCAGTTAGACATTTGAGATTGCACAAACAAAATAAAAAAAGAATTGGGCCTCTTCTTGTGGATCAAAAATTATCTAAGTGTGCATGCGGAAAGCAACCGAATCTCAATATTTGAATGCAAGTGTTTTTACATCTTTATCAGATGTACTTTTGGCCTGCACACATATCTAATGACTTAAAATAGGTTTACATGTACGGAAAGAGAAACTCCATAAGCCAATTTTTGGAGATGACATACGCGTATTCAGCTCGACGTCGAGATTTTGAAATTCTGTGGAATGATCGTATATCGAAGAGTGTTTAGAAAGGCTTTCTCTCCACTATGGAGTAAGCACAACTGGTGTTCGTTAGCGATGGAGAGTACGGGTGAACAACCTGTGAGTACTCGTAAGAGCTATACTAACGGGTGTCAAAGAATAAATGAGCCTCTCCGTATTTTCCATATATTTCACTCATATCTCAATGCATACGAAAAAGTTTTTTTTATCAAAAGATTCATCCTTGAACTCTCTACAAAATCTATATATTTTTATTATCTTAAATAATCTCCATCATGTTGAGCCATACGATACAATCGATTCGTCCAAGAATTACAACTTTCAAACACAACATCTTTTCGAATTTTTTTCACAGCTTTTTTAAATTCTTGGATTAGTGTTGTTTTAGATGTCACTTTATTCCAATTTATGACCTTTACAAATTCATCCCAAATACAGTAATCCAATGGGTTGAGATCAGGACTGTTGGGTAGCCAATGGTCTTTATCGATAAATGCTGGAAAATTGTCACGATCACTATCTTTTATTTACATTAAAGAGGTGCTTCCTGTCGCACTTAAATATGGAAATTACGTCTTTGGAAATGACTGGACATACCAACAAGACGGTGCTAAACCCCATACTCATCATTTAGCACAGCAATGGTGCCATGATAACTTTTCAGCATTTATCGATAAAGACCATTGGCTACCCAACAGTCCTGATCTCAACCCATTGGATTACTGTATTTGGGATGAATTTGTAAAGGTCATAAATTGGAATAAAGTGACATCTAAAACAACACTAATCCAAGAATTTAAAAAAGCTGTGAAAAAAATTCGANGGGGGGGGGGGGGGGGGGGGGGGGGGGGGGGGGGGGGGGGGGGGGGGGGGGGGGGGGGGGGGGGGGGGGGGTGGGGGTGGGGGGGGGGGGGGTGGGGTGGGGGGTGGGGGGGGGGGGGGGGGGGGGGGGGGGGGGGGGGGGGGGGGGCGATTTCAGCTCTTAAGCGCCCCCCTCCTTTGTTATTTTTAGGACTCGCTGGTCTGATTATGATTGATTCTCAATTATACGCTGAAATGATGATGATCATACGAATTGTTGATTTGGCGTACGGATTATTCATAAAAGGATTCTTTTCATAGCAAATGCCACGACAGAAAAGTCGTTGAAAATGGTAAGAGGAAGAAATTTAGAAATAGAATCAAACGCCAGGTTTGCCAAGCATTAGTCTGCAAATAGAGTGCCGTTGGAGTACAATATTTTTAAAATAGGATACAGAAGTTTTTTGTTGAAAAGAAAAGCTTTGCTCCGAAAAACTGCTTATATAATCTTTTTTCTAAAAGTAACAAAACAGTTTTACTGTTTCATTAGCTTTTGACTATGACGAGCATCGATAAGGTTGTATTTGCATCTATGCCTATACATATCTCGTAGGACATACCGAGAATCCTCTATTCCGACTTAAAAGTATTCGTTAAAAACTGTTACTTCCGATTCGATTTCCATCCCATTTGCACAAGTGATTGGATATTCATTTTCTGGGTGACCTATTCTCAGTAATTGTAAGTATTTCGATCTTTTTATACATTCCTCATCGAATGATTTGTGTTTGCTAAAGAAAATTCAGGATTTCTAACAACGAACTAAATAGATATATGATATGACGCTCTAAGACGAGGTACACTCCGCAGTTCTTCAGATTTTCAAAAATCTCATCTAAGAATACAGTTGGGTTAAGTTTTTATTTTCAACTGATGCTAATCAGGCCGACATAAATATAATTCATAATTTATATCATATACATTTACTCTCACATATGAAAAGTTGACTTTCCGCTGCGTATCAACTTAATGTTGCCATATGGAAACATATGGAAGCAGAATGTTGAATAAAAATTTAGTCGCTGTATCACGTCATAGAGCGTAATTTTGTTCAAACATATATTTTCAATACGATTTCAATGATGCAATTTAGAATTTGGATCGAGAGTTTTGCTCTTCTTAAGCGACTCTCAAACGAAAACAAAACGCATCTTTAGTGAAAAACTAACACCAACTGCATCGAGACAAGCAGATATTTGTTTTCATCGTTGTCAGAAGTGCTGAATAAACCACAATGCACTTTTCTGACTTAACCCCGTTGTCAACTAAAATAAATTGAGTATTTTATCAAATGCGTCGTATTTCTCAACATATTGCACAAACAAAACAATAAAACAGCATTTCCATCCGATATGACACGCGATTCATTTCATATCGTCAGTGAAAAAACTCAACGATGACCAATCCATTGCGAAATGTTCGTGAATATCTATGGAAATTGAATTTGTTCGAAGTCGAACTCCATGACGAACAAAACAAGAGAACTGAGATTTTCTCAACTAGAATTTATCTGCCTACTCTTCTTCTCACATTATCACTATATATTCTATATTTATCATTATCATCTACCACAACTGTTCTTATAATGCGTAAACCAACTCAAAAGGAATTTGAACAATTACAACTGAAATATTCACCGAATCTAAACTGTCCGTGTCAATATTTATCGATTCCGTATAAAGAATTTCTTAACATTAAAGTAGAATATTATGAAATTTGTTCATCTGATTTTGTGACTCAGCAATGGATTGATTACCTGTTTGATGATATTGCTAGTTATTTGCATCCACTTGATTTTCGTCGTAGTGCACCATTTAAGTTTCAACTTCTTCGAACATTATGTCAACAATCACAACAAGTTATTGAGAATAATCTGAACGAATTTTATTCTAATCATTTGATTTCCAAAGAGCCAATTTTGGTAGAAGAATTTCTTAATCAAGTCAACAATACCGTTGAATTATTTCAACGAAGAACAATTTCCTTATTTGAAAATCTCATCAAACTAATTCAACAAATAATCAGTGCCAATGAGTTATTATCAGCAATTGAAACGCGTTTTGTAAGAAAACCTAAAAAAAATTCTACCTCTTTTCAACGTATCTGTTATGACGATACAACAAATGGGCCAATCTATTTAGAGTGTCATAATAATGAAGACAACATTGTGTTATCCGAAGGTATCTACCTAGATATAATTGAATATAATTATTCTGAATGTCATTCGCTAAAAAATGGCAAAAAGAAATTAAATTCACATAGATCGAAAAACGTTCCTGATTTGACAATACCTGGAATGGTTGCCGGTTGTTTACCAATAGAATCATTGATGCATTCAACATTGGAATGTTTATTTGAACCCTTATGTTTATATAAAATAGACGTCATTTTTAACACCCCATCCATTTCAATGAGTAATTTCTCGATTTTGAAAGAAGATCTCTCAACAAAATATACAAAAGTTCAAAAATTAACCAAGAAATTATTTGTCAAACAATGGATTATTGATAAATCATATGAGAGATATTTCAATTACTGTCGTCCGTTGTTTTGTCAATATACAGACGAGCAAAGAAATAGTTTTGTTCATATTTTCACAAAAACTGTTAGTTTATTCGGTGGATTGAAATTATTTCTTCCATTGATCGTATTACATCTTGTCACATATATTCGAAACAAACAGCAGCAACGCCATTCGAACGATACTGACAACAATGTTGCTGGAAGTAAGTAATTGATAAAAGTATCCTCTCTTTAGGTACTATATCACAAGAGAAAATAAATGTACTGTCCGATCTATTGCATAAAGAGCAGATTTCCAAACTCTCATACGAATAGGTTTTTTAAAACCTGCTCTTGTGTAAACTACTGTCTGTTCTATGCATTATACAAGTTTTCTGTGATAAAAACAAGTCGTTTATTTTGATTTGCAATAGATGCACTGAGTAACGAACGGAGCTCCCAATTCACAAATTATAACCGTAGTTCGAAACGCCAGAACTCAGATTAATGGTTAGAATTCGAGTTCTAACCATTGCAACCATTCGAGAAAAGTTTTAACTCCAACATCCAAACGCATATTCTTCTGTCGAATCGCGTTTCGTAGAAAGAATATTTATTCTTCAGTGGATTTCCTTTTGTTTTCAGTATCAATAGGAATCCGTTTATCTGCATTGCTACAAACGATGAAGCAGCTTATTACGACAATAAATATATTCAACAGTTATTCAGCAGATGAACATAGACAAAAAGGTGAAATTTTATCAACAAGAATTTATGTATTTGTATTAATCACAATCGTGATTGTTTTGACATTTTATATATCATCTGAAAAAGAAATGAAAACACAACGTGTTGAGTATCCGACACGAACTCAGTTTGAAGAATTGCAAAACAATTCCTTTCAACATCTTGGATGTCCTTGTACACAAATCTCAACAAAGTACTCTGAATTTGTTCAATTTCGTCCAACGTATCATCAGATATGTTCAAGTGTGTTCGTTTCACCGTTATGGATGAATTGGAGAGGCATCTGGCAAGAGATGGAACCTTGTACCTACTCGGATTTTTATAACGAAGCAGGGAGTTTTTTTTTTCTTCTATCAACATATTGTCAATCAGCACAAGAAACAATATTCAATGAATTAGAGCAATTTTATGTCATGGAATATACAACGTCTGGAGTCATTCCAGGCAAAAAGTTTAATGGCGAAATCACATCGTTTATAGAAAATTTCAAACTGAAAATACAAAAAACATTTAAAATCAAATTAAACATCATTCGAAATGTTATTTTCGATAATCAGTTCTTATCTAAGTTGGAATTGAATGTTGATCACTTTTTTGAAATTGATGAAACTGAACTCTTTGGATTCATTCCGAAGTCTTATGATAACTGCACATGTGCAACTGATTTAACATGTCATGGAACCATGTTTTTCTGTCGTAATAACAATTTCACTTATGTACCGAACCTTTCTATTGGTTGTTATATAGTGGATTCATTGTTGTTATCAACAACTACATGCTTTTACGATCAGAACTGTATAAATATAATCAAGAGTTTTATGAACTCCGACACGGAACTCTATAAAAAGTTACATCCATTGATATTTCATGAAGAAAGTCAATATCCCACTGATATGACCATAGAAATGTTGGTTGATAATCTATTTATTGAAAAATGGAATGATTCTTATGATTATGATAATTATTATAATTCTTGTAAACCATCATTTTGCTCTTATAAAATCGAACAACAATCTGGTATTATATATATACTAGCAAAATTAGTTAGTATATATAGTGGATTGACAATTATTTTACGATTTTTAATACCAAATATTGTTCGTTTAATTAGAAGAAAAGGAGAAGAGTCAAGAGGTATGAGATTATAGATACAGAACTGCGCAGTTAGGAATTCTACTGCTATACAGACTAAAGATAATCGATATTTCACTACCGTAAACGTCAGGAGAGAAATGGAATTTTAACTCTACACGAGAGATTAGAATGAAAAATTTTTACTGGTTTCCTTTAGGATGGTACGTATAATTTGAACACTTTTCTTTTTAGTGGAGTCATTATTCAATCGATTGCATCTTCTTTTCCAATCGTGTAAAAACGAATTAGTCCAATGGAATTTATTTCCAAATCAAACAGCCGCTCGTAATTCATTACAAAAACAAATCTTAAGCACATGGACGTATTTAATCACTTTCACCATTATCTTATCTATTTGTATTTTATACACATCTCTGAAAAACAATCTGATCAATGTGAAACTCTCATTAACAAATTTAAAACAATATGAACAACTATACGTTCGATATCCAGATACTTTGAATTGCCCATGTAATGAAATCTCAATAAAATATAGAGAACTTGTTGAATTGATACCGTCCTATCATGAAGTCTGTTCATCGGTTTTTGTTAGTGACGAATGGATTCGTTATTTATATATTGTTGATGTCGCAAATTATCAGGATTTTAGTGGAATGGTGTCGTTTCAGTTTAAATTGCTTAAGTCATTATGTCGATTATTACAAGAAACAGTTAGTTCGAGTTTGATGCAATTTTATTCAACATCATGGGTTAACAATCAATTAATTTCAAGAGATTCATTCCGAAAGCGAGTTGACAACACCGTAGAGATATTCCAAAAATCAACAAAAGAAACATTTAAACAAGTTTTTCGTATGACTCGTGAAATTCTTCATGGAAATGCTATTTTAACAACTTATCACTCAAACTGGGGATATATTGTTTTCAGCGAAAATCCCGAGGAAATATATTATTTAATACCAATGAAATACAATAATGATTCATGTACATGTGCAACTTCGTTACAGTGTGTAGAACCGTCTACACTTGTTAGCATACCTGTCGATGGTTTCTTTTTTGGCTGTTATCCGGTTGAAGCTATGCTACACTCTTCACTAGAATGTTTATATAATAAAATATGTGTGGATTTAATTCTATCAGTTATTCCCCAGACTTCCATAGAGATCACAATAGACGTTTTACAATCGAAACCTAAATATGGTATCAATGAAACTGTTCAACGTATGATTGACCGATTATTTGTTGATGATTGGAGTATCAATCGTTTTTATGAAAATTATTCTGACAAATGTCACCCAACGGAATGTACCTATTCATTTGTACAAAATTTTGATATACTCCATATTGTAACAACTATTCTTGACCTTTATGGATGTCTAACAATACTTTTAAGTCTCTTCATTCCATTTATCATTGATATTATCTTTCGAATGCATTACAAAAGAATAGAAATGGTTATTACACCAGATACACAATTACAAGATTAAGTTCGTTACTTAACCGCCAACTTCAACATTTGCTTATTTCATCGTCCATGCTTTTTGTCTGTTCGTCTCTTTTCCTTGAAATAATACAATGACGTTGGTCTGAAAACTCGCTTAGCGCTTTCTCATAGAAACCTGTTTTTAACTTTCAGTCATCTACTATATTGTTGTCAATCTAAAATGGCCAATCTAATTGGAATAACTACCTACGATTTCAAAATTGAACAGAGTTTTGAGTAACTTGACACGTCATTAATGAATGTGGCCCTACAGGCGATAGGCGAATAGAAGACGATGAAGCTCTCAAACCTAGAGAAGATACAACGCAACGGTTCGTTGAAACTATTCACTTCCTATATTCAAAAATCTAATGGAAAACTTGGAATTGTGGTAATTCAACTTAAATTCAAACTTCCATAGATCATATTAGAATAATTTTGACTTCATTACACTTTCCCCTATCTCGAGTGTTGAAAACCGCAGATCGATCATTGCTTTCATCTTCGGGCTACTCAAAGACACTCGCGCTTTCATTTTATTCTGCTATAAATATAAAGTTAGATAACTATTTTAGCTGAATCTTATTGCAGAAAAAAATCGTATGTCCATGTTGATTTACTCTTCGATAAACCTTTTTAATATTTTTTTCTTGAGGGTGGGTGTGGGTGTGCAAGCTGTCATGACTAGTTTCGTCTTTGCTAGAGACTTATCAAATGGCATCTATTCACAAGTAACGGAGTAGCTGCCTAATTCGACTTATAATATAAGTGACCAATTCCTAGCACCCTCAGGAATAGAAATAGATTTAGTTTTACTTATACATATATACCATCGCCAACACTCACCGCAGCACCCTCAATCGAGATATATTCGTGTCCACACCCACCCACACCATCTTTGTGCTACTGTGACTGTTTAAGACAACACCTGACAAGCGAAACATTATTTTGAATGATTGCTATCAGATGATATTCGTATAGTATACCTGTTTATAAAAGTGTGTGATTTCATGAATATGCTGATGACTATGGAGATTCAGTGATCGGACGTCAGTCAGCTATTACATTTTGCTCTAGATATTGCCGCTTAAAACATTATCGTCTAAAAAATTTATCCTTTGTCACAAAGACGCGCGAGAAAATGTTCATGAAAGAACTAACACCGAATTCATGATCCTCGATCTCGATTACCCTTCGGTCAACCCTTACTACTATGAACTAGTATTAGGAAATATTGGAAGAAAAATGAACGAACGAACGAACATCAACTCGGTTTTTCGGTGATATCAGCTCGACGTACTGCTCTCCTCCTTTCAGTAGAGAGAATAAACAGAATGTTCATAGTAAAATATGTGCGGATGTAAACGTTTAACAGCAATAGATACCCACACGCTCAAGATGACTCATTTTTATGCTCTTTTCTTCAATGGGTTCAGTGGTGAGGTATAAACTTTGTTCAATGCGTTTCTGAGCATTCTGCATTGAACAGTTGTTAAGGAAATGGAACAGTAAATTTCCAGTGACATATCTATTTATAGATTAGTTTGTACTCTATACGAATGGACCATAGAAATACAACCGATGACACCGTGCATCTCGCAAGAGTATGGCTGCGATTGTCTCTGCACCACAGCTGCATTTACTCGAACTGAAATGATTTTATGAAGATATCTGAGCTAATCAGTAGATTTATATCATGTAATAATCTAATTGAAATGAATCCTCTCGTGGCGAACTCTACTGCCGATCTATAGAAAAAAACTACCTAGTTCTTAGTATTTATATTAGAAGTCATTTACTGGAATAATCTTCCATTTTTAAAAATAAAAAGAATCATTTCTAGTGTTTTCTTATTATTGGTGCGTCCATAAAATATCTCTAAGTCATTATTTGGACGTGTTAAAAAAGTATGCATTTCGCCATACGAGATAACCTTTAAAGAATAGCTTCTCGCATGTTTTTCGTCTTATCTTGCTCGAAATAACTTTTCATAATAGATCTGACACATCAAACAAAACTATTGAATAAATATGAATTATCCATTATTTGTTGAATCAAATCATACAGCAATTTATAAAGCATGTCGTCCGGGATATCCGAAAGAACTTTATAATCGAATATTGCAATTTTATTTCAATAGAACCGATACTGATGAAATTAATCAAAAAATTCCATTAGCCGTCGATATTGCTTGTGGTAGTGGACAAGCTACAGTTGATTTAAGTTCTTATTGTCATCATGTAATTGGTATTGATGGTAGTGAAAATCAACTGAAACAAGCATCATTCAAAGATAATATCGAATATCATTGTTCGAATGCAGAAAATTTAACATTTCTGCCATCAAATTCAGTTGATCTTGTAACGGTAGCAACAGCATTACATTGGTTTGATATTGAAACGTTTTTTCAACAAGTTGATCGTATTCTAGAACCAAATAGCGGTGTTTTAAGTATTTGGGGCACTGGTATGCCATCATTAAATAATTTGAAGGCCAATGAAATACTAAATAACTTTTGTCAAAATGATCTTAATAATTGTTGGAGTGATCGAGCATATTTAGTGGTAAATCAATATGAATCTATACTTGATAAATTTCCATATCAACAAACAAGAACCAAACATATTATTAAGTATCAACGAGAAATGTCTGTTCTTGAATTTGTCAATTTTATTGAAACATGGAGCCCATGTCAAAAATATCGGGAAATTTATGGAGGTGATAAATTAAAAGAATTATTAAAAATGTTTATGAATAATTTGGTCCAATGTTATAATGAATCAACAGATGATATCGACAAAACTACTGATAATCAAATGATCATTGTTGAATGGATAATACATTTACATTTAATGAAAAAAAACAATCGATAATACTCATTAATTAAACAAACTAGATGCGTCATTATTTCTAGAATATATGTGCCCTTTTTTTAAACTTAATTCTTAACTACGTAGTAATTAGATTTTTAAAGTAATGTTTCATTGAAATGCAAATAAATTTTCGAACAGATATCGGCAGGTACGGAATCTCTTGAGCATTTTGCCTATTTCTAATTTCTTCTAAGGCATATAGGCATTCATATTCGTATGATGGATGTATACCATGACATTTTCATGGAAAAATACAAAAATTTTCTTTGTTTCTTTGATGTGCCCTCTTGCAATGAAGTAAGGATGTGGAGAAAAAAGATATGCCTTGACCGACACCCACACTCAATATTTTAAAGAAACTCAGTTATGCTAATGTTCTCTATTCATTATTTGATATCCATAATGAACGACTTGAGAACATTATTAGCTCAAAATACGACATAAGTCATTCCATACTCAATCGATTCTGTGATGATATATTACCTCGAATTTCTTTCTATTAATTGTACGCAACACGCACAGATTCTATCTTATTTTGTGACCGTATTTTCATGTAGATAATTCATCTATTTGACATATTCTAAAACAACAAATTAGGAAGCTGGAACTTATCACGGATTACGTTCATACGTGAGTGTATATGTATAAAGACACTGCTTACAATAGTTAAATGGTGGATTAACGGAACATATACGTATATATGTAAGAGAAAAGAGAGGGTAAAAAATAGTATAATTCTCTCATTTCTCTTCTCTTCAGCGCCCTTTGTTCAATGGGGGAAGCAAGGAAAGAAGGATGGCAAATGATAGAATCATTGTTGTAGTATATACTCACGCGTACAAACAGACGATACATCTGTGTAGCATTATGTATATATTATAAGAGTTCACGGACAATTCGTCGCCATGATAATTTGTAGCACAAGTAATTACGCATGTAATTAATTAGTTGTAACAAGATTAATATAATGTACAGATAGAAAGAGACGTAAACATCGCATAGTGATCGATACATTTGTAAAACATAAAAATCTAATTTGAAAAGAAAAATTCACGATATGCGATGAAACAGACCCAATAAAAAACAACGGAATATTTGCTAAATGAACTACGATAAAAATCACTCATTATCTTGTAGAATTTTCCCAGCCAGAGTTTCCGCGAACTTCTGGCTGGCTCACGAGACTGAAAAATTCATCAAAATATAAATAGGTACACAAATGATTGTTCAATCGCATTTCAGTCCAACACCTAATCTTCATATTATTCATTTAAAATAGCTAATACAAGAAGAAGAACTTCTTGAGCTTCCACTTTCAGGTTTCTGTTTGATTTTTATCATTAATTTCATCCAAACAAATAATCTATCTTTGTTTAGGTGCCCATCTTTATCTTGAAATAGGATAAGTTCACCTATATCATGTTCATTTGTATGTTGTGTAATACTTTCTCTTCGGTTTCTAAGACGTTCCTGGTATCGAAAGAAAAGATTTGCTATTCCAACATGTGTCTTGACTATTTTACTTGTTATAGCAACAATTCTTTGGACTGTGATTTCGTTTCTATAAGACCTTTTGAAGCAATCCATCTTACATAGCATTGGGTCGCTTTAAAAAGACTAGAGAGATAAATACTGCGGTGACTAATCGGGAATTGAATTCCATCACGGTTATGTTTGGGGATGGAGAAGAAACGTTTAAATATCCTTGGTTCTATACAGTTGGCTGTGGCCCAGCTTCTGTAATGTCATATGACTTCAACAACGATAAAATCATGGATTTGGACGTAACTAATCAATATAGTGACACGATTAGTATCATGCTCGGAAATGGCGACTACACTATTGGTTGATTCCTAGCTTTCATTATAACAGTTGATTTTGATAACAATAAGAAAATAGACTTGGCTGTAGCCAATCGATGGGATAATGTGGTGAATGTACTGCATGGAGTTGGAAATGAAAGCTTTCAAGTATCGTGAACTTATACGAATGGCCGATCTTCAGACTCGATGATAGCAACAGATTTCAATAATGACAAAAAGCTCGATACAACCATAGTTAATTTTGACGATAGAACACTCAGTTTATTATTAGGTGATAGCGAAGAAAACATCTCACCTCAAAATCTGCCGGCTAAATCGATGATAATCAATTGGATTCAGCTATAGCGAATTTTGACGACACCCGCCTGTCTTTTGTTTTGAATATTTGAGACTAATTCATTGATAGACTTCTATCTTTTTATCTGTATGTATATTAATCTAGTTCTATAAGAGAGAACATAAATTTTTGATTCAACAATAGTTGCTACATGATTAAGAAAGTTTATAAGCGATGACATAGGATAAAATATTTCCTGTTCAGCTGTTTAAACAGATCACAATTATACAAAAAACATTCAATGCCACCGGACCATTCTAAGCGGAGCCCCTGCTGCACTTCTGAAGCATTCTATATCTTCCTCTTGGATTCCATTCTGTCCGAGTTCCAATGAAGTCAGTGTCTATCCATGGTAAAATAGAAGAAGTCATTGCATTGATAAATGGACGATGGATATTACCGTGTTTGTTTCGAATGCATCTACAATATATTTTGCACCCTGAACTCCGAATCGATTGTGAGTGAGATCCACTGTATTAAGTCCCTATCAGTAATGGAAAGCAGATGAATGTATGCATAGAGAATGAGTATTACTGTATTTATCTCAAATGCACACCCAAGATATTGTGCTCCTTTCACTCTGATCCGATTGTATCTGAGGTTTAGCATAGTGAGTGTCTATTGACGATGAATTAGACTGATGCACCGAATACGTGCGTAGTGAATGAGCATTACCGTGTTTGTTGTCAATGCCTCGGCAAGATGTTGAACTCCTTCATCGCCGATGTCGTTGAAGCTGAGATCCAATACGATGAGTGTCTACTCATGTGATGACGTGCAGGAAAATATACGCGTAAAGGGTGAACGTTACCGTATTGATTACCAATACGTCAGCAAGATATTGCGCCCCTCTGTCATCAATATCATTGGACTGCAGATTCAGTGAAGTGATTGTCTGGCCATCGGGTGAAATCGACGAAGATAGAAAATACGTTTACAACTAATGAATATTACCGTATTTTTTTTCAATATGTGGGCAAGATGGTGTACTCCTTTCATTCCAATTCCGACATATGCAAAATTCAGTGCAGTGATTGTCTAGAACAGTAAAACATGCCCAAAATCATGATCGATTAGATCCTGAACAATGATTGTCGCATTCACCTGATATCGAGGAAATGTTTTGAGAATTTGATTGAATCGTCGACAGACGTTTTGCATCGAGAAAAACAAAGTGTAATCATCCTGCTGATCCAGAATTCTATACACGAGTTCTACGGGTAAACTGGTAAACTTAGCCATAATTGCTGTTTCGTTCTGATTGGTGGTGAAATTTCATCATCATTTGTTGAAAGAAATGAAATCTGGCATGACCAATAAGAAATGTTTATTAAGTTGCAAACAGATGGAACTAGTTTATTTGTTTGATGCAATTAGTCATTGAAAGAGGTGCCGTTCAAACAAGACATTATAGGGAATTTTTAGCAAAGGTCTTAAAAATCTTAAACTCGTGCAAGTTTCATTAATACGACAATTTATTTCTTCGCCGTTCTACTCGCCATAAATAGATCCGAAGTTTTTTTTAATGACGCGTGCTATACTCTGGACAATGATCACATATTTTTTCTTATGATATTTTATGAGTATCGTCTCCAAACGATATATTGTAGGTATTTCGATGTCTCTTCTTCTTTATTATCATAACTTGCAAATTTTTTCTACATTGAAAAGTACAATAGACAGATATCGATAGTCATAACTCAATACGTTCGCAAGTAGCTATGTTAATGTAACAGTTTGTCCTTGTATTAATGATGCCTCACTTCCCGTGTATGCTCGATTGACAAAATCACACATTGATTTTTTCATTTCTCTACACATCGAGAAGGATGAGAAAAAGAAATGAAGCATATGACTCCGTTCGGTAATTTTTGTCTAGTACACGTGAATAGCTACGTTTCACAGTAATTTATTCGCTTTAAAAATGTTCGTACAATCCTTGATCAATACGCCTTCTTCCATCGTTCGCAGTTTTGTTTTTTTACAGTGTATGATTAGTACCAAAGCATCCATTTTTTGTTATTTACTTTGAAGGCCGAGTAGATGTCTTGTGAGTTTTCGTTTTAGTGCTACTTTTGATCTTTTTGTCAAAATTGGTCAGATGGGTATATCAAGTATGAAAGCTGCTCGTTACTATGATCGAAACGATATTCGTGTTGAAGAAATGTCTGTTCCGCTCGTCGGCAAGAAACAAGTGAAAATCGAAGTGAAATATGCTGGAATCTGTGTAGCAGATGTACATGAATATTTACATGGCCCAATATTCATCCCGATGAAACAACCCTATTTACCAAATGGACACCATGGTGTAACGACGATGGGACGTGAATTCTCAGGTGTAGTTGTGGAACTGGGAGATGATGTTAAACGCACTGATATTCAGATAGGTGATCGTGTTGTGGTAGAACCATTAGTTCGAAATCAAGACAAATCGAGTGTAGCTGAACCTATAGGCTGTATTGGTCTGAGTTGCAATGGTGCATTTGCTAAATATGTAGTTGTCGACGATTACATGGTGCATAAAATTCCAGATGCGATCACTTTTGAACAAGGTGCATTAGTAGAGCCTGCTGCTGTAGCTGTACATGCTGTTAAATGTAGTAATTTACAACCAGGTACTTTAATATTTCTTGTAAAAACGTCTTTTCATATGTTGCATGTACATAATTATCTCTAATTTTAGAAGAGACTTGCGTCATTTTTGGTGCTGGTCCAATCGGTTTGCTCTGTCTTCAATCTGCACTGGCTTTCGGTGTCACTCGTATCATCATTGTTGACATTGTCGATAAACGCCTAGAGAAAGCACGTGAATTGGGCGCTACATTGGTTATTAATGGCAAGGACACAAATATTTGTCAGCAAATCAAAGACTATACGAATGGTGCGGGGACACATGTTTATTTTGATGCAGCAGGTACAGAATCAACATTCGCTACAGGTATCTCATGTTTGAGACGAGGCGGTCGAGCGATATTAATTGCAGTGTTTCCAAAACCGTTGACGTTCGATGCAATGGATATTGTTACACGTGAGATAAGTATTCGAGGAATATCCGATTATCAAAATGCGTTCGGTGAAGCCATCCAACTGATCAATAATAAGAACATGGATGTTGAACGAATTGTTTCAAAGAAAATCAAATTAGATGATATTGTGAAAGATGGATTTGACACTTTATCATCGGATCTTTCACACATCAAAATTCTAATTGATATTGGTTCGGACTAATTCGCTCATATTCACTAAATTTCGTATTTTGTATTATTTTACTTAGTTATTTTGATTCTGATAGAGAAAATAAAGCGTCAACTTCCTTTTCTGCTGTCGGCGTTGACAGGGCATAAATAATTTCATCTCCGTCACTTACATCACTGCTTACAGTGGAAATATCGACCGACGAGCTTGTTTATTCTGGACGTGAATGTGATATGATGTGTCGTGTTCTTTATCAAGCAAGTGATCGCAAAAAAAAACAATAAAGAATCCTTAGTTTTATTCTTGTCACTCTCGTTAAATATTTGCTGAGCGTAGTACTTATTTAGACGTATGTAAGTATCGCCGATTGTCATTTTTCCTCATGCACTTTCGTACATCCTATTTATGTATAATATAATTCATTAGAAACAGTAAAGTCCATTAGAATATCGATCGATTAGTTTTCAAAAGATCACGTTTCCTGATTTTTCGTGAAAATAGACAAGATTGAGAAGAGGACACTATTATGAAGCTCGAATGTCGATGAACTTCAGAAATTTTACTTCTATAGGAATGGCAAAGAAAACTGCTCCACGCAAATTGTCTACCAGTAGCGCTCGCTTTACAAGCAATACTTTCTCAGATCTTCAAAATGTAAATCAGAGTCCAATATTCGGTTACGAGGATTTGCCCGTGGTGACTCTAGAAAAGGCTGTGCAAAAATTACTTTCTTTGGTACCAAACCTCACGCATCATGTTATCAAAGCGAAAGAAAAGTGTAACAAAGATTCGGAGGTGTTGACGCTGAACGAATCAGCAGCAATATATCTGTATTCCATGCCGGTGCCGTTCTTTTCCCGACTGAACAGCGCACTTCGTGCCGAGAAACGTCACGCATTGAAGCCTTGGTTCTCCTTTCTCAAATTATTTCTTACGGCGCTGGACAAACTGCCTTCCCTCGATATTCGAGTCTGGAGAGGTGTTGGAGATAATGTGAATGCTGACTTTACTGAGGGTCAAATGGAAACCTGGTGGAGCGTAAATTCCTGTTCAAAAGATCTCAATATTGTAGAGAAATTCTTGGGTGATAAGGGCACCTTATTCTCCATCGATGTTTTGCATGGTAAAGACATTTCTGAGTATTCATCGATTCCAGAAGAACGAGAAGTTGTTCTTATTCCTGGTACTCGCCTACTTGCAAAATGTAAACCATGCAATTTTGCAGACCGTCTTCTCATTATTCATTTGGTGGAGGAAAAGGACCATCTTTTAGAAGAAACGATACACCTGTGAGTATTCTTAGCGGACTAACGCAGTTTGCAAAGCTTGTCATCCCGACAAATGTTTAATGAAGAAAGTTTTGGGGAAATGCGTATTTAAGACTGCTTACATATTTCAGCCAATAGTTTATGCTAGAGTCTTACGTTTTTTTTTGCTTAGAATCGATCGTACATTGGCCAACGACACTGCATCTCAAGATGAAGAGATAAGTTTAATGTCGGAAGAAGAATGCAATATATATATGGGAATCTCTGCATCGATTTCTACAGCCGAATATGAAGGTCCAAGGATCGTTGAAAATGAAAGACCGCCACGGGCAATATATGAGTGTGACGGTGATTCGGTAATTCGTCTTTTAAATCCAGCAAATTTAGAAATTGAGGCTGAGCAAAAGCACTTTGCACACCGTGACACTGGTGCATTTATGAACTGGTTTTTCATTCGCAAACTTGTATTTCATAATTCGAGCAAAGAAACAATAGCCGTCCTTCATTTATCAGGTGAATATGAAGATACGTTAGGAAATTGGCAAATGTGCAAGTATGTTATGATTGGTCAGCCAGTTGGACCAAATGAAAGCATCACTTTTAGCCATGACGTATGCATTAATCTACCGGCATCGAATATTGCCAGTTATGCTGTTAACATGGCAGTGGAAGCTCATTGTAGGCCCGGTTATGATGAAAATTATCAAAATCGAGCACATAAAAGCTTTCCCCAGCCATTGAAGCTTAGACTCACAGCTCACGATACAATGGGTAAGGTTTGTCGACTCATTTTTGAACAGTTCAATTCACCTCTGGTTCTACCGACGCCAGAGCGTACGGCTCGGAAATTATCGATAGACGCTCAGCAGATTGTTGATTGGATATCTGTTGACGATAGCGAAACACTCACACGCATCTTTACAGTGCTTTATTTGGACGACAAGGCATGCCTTCATGTCGTTACTGTCTCTTCGAATAATACTTGGGACGATCGGTACCTTGACGAAGATAATATTAAAAGTCTTCAGAAAAAAGCAAAAAAGCAGCAAACTGCCGAAATGGCGTTGGAGAATTTTGGAGTTTCAGACAAAATTCAACACATAGCTTTGTTCGATCCAGCGACCTTTCGCATGTATGCTTTACGAATCATTTTGCTATCAACAACGTCCAAAACGAGCAAAATGGTTCGACTGCCGCTCGACAAGATAAGAAGTAACGGTTCTCATTCGGCAATGTAAACATGGGCTCAACAATATACTTATATATTCAGCGATATGTACGTTTTTAGGGAAAAAGGAAGAGTTTGTGTTTATTTTTCCTATTTTTCTGACAGAAAAAGCAGAGCTGCCACACTACTGTTGTTGCCACTCGATTTTCTATTCGTCCTTTAATATTTTGCCATGTAATTTTCATAATATCCGGAAATAAACATAAGCAGACGATGAGTAAAACGAATGGTACGAAATATAACGAAAACTAAATGGTTCATAGATATTCAAACATGAACTTTGGATTTCGAATGAATTGAACAAGCCCAGCGATTGTTAAAGGTAACCAGCCAGCTAGATAACGAAAGAATGTTTAAAATTAGCTGAACAACGCTGAGAATTCCTCCATGTACCGTTGGAAAGCATGGATCAGCACAAATAACTCGATTAAAATCCCATACATTAACACAATCTAGAGTGATAACTGAAACTGGAAAATATCATGATGAAGGTCAAAGAATACATCGAAGAACCGGAAGAAAATGATAGAACCATTTTTTCCACGATGCTCCAAGTAAAAATCTGGGTTAAAATATCGTTGAAATGTTGCTCATGCCATTAGAATAACTTCAGTCAGCATAATAAAAACTAGTTGGTATAAGAATCAGAACTACGTAATAATTGGACAAAATTAAATACGAGAAGAACGATTCGTGCATGATTTTTAGGTTTGTATCAAATCAATGGATTGATATACAAACCGTTGAAATTTAGAATATTAATTAGTAATAAGACGAACTTGAGAATATCTCTCACCATTTTTCTAAATATTTTTGATGTTGGTTAAAATAATGAAAAACGTCAATCATCAACTTCATTAAATGAGCGTTTCTCATCAACTGACACATACATAAAAATATCCTCTGAAATCATTTTTCCTAGCTCGAGTCTCCGATTAGTACTTATAATGGTTTTACTCAGACTTTGCATCCGAAGATTCTCAATTTCGTATGACGGTACCAAAGAAAAGATTTGCCGACGATCTAGCACAGCGATCAAAAGGTTAGTAGAGGTGAAAGTGTAGATGTATGTATCGAGTATATGGTTCTATACGTTCGAGGTGTAGAAATTAAGTGCAAAAGTGAATGTTAACTATGAATTATCGAGAATATTCTTACTTTTCTCGAATAATTACTTTTATTGGAATAATGTTTAACGAACGATTTCACATATACAAGAAACTATTTTTCTGTGTTTCTAATGGGTTTTCTTTGATATTTCTCTTGTTTCATAATTGATGACGTACATTCGGCATATTTTGTAATTTAATTTGCACGATATTTCCTTGCGTATTTCTGGCATATGTGACGCCAACCTGTCGCTTTCTTCTTGTTACACAACAAAATAATTCTTGACGAAATTCAGAAAAAGTTACGAGATAAATTGGAAAATTTAAGATAGGAAATGTATAGAGGAGTATATTAAAGCCCTTAATTAAACGACGGCCCCAATCAGTTGTCCGCAGACGGTGTTCGTGTTATTACAAATAGAAAACTCGTGACCACAAGCGTTATTGTCATAGGTCGATGGCGAATTTTCGAGTTTGTTATATAACGGAATTATATCATAAATAAGTGTATTATTTGAAATAATGGCTGAAATGTATCCATAAGCATTTTCATAACAAACAAATAGTAAAATGTGAAAATTGTAAAGAAAAAACGGTGTTACAACACAAGCAATGATAATTAAAATACTCTTTGATCATTAAACCAAGTCTTTGGTTGTATTCGACTCAAGAATAAATATCGCTCGACATATAACCACGCAGACGCTTGAAGAATCCAAAAATTGAAAAACCATCCAATTTACATGATGCAACTGTGTATGAATAAGTAAGCGAAATATTATAAATGGCGACATTGTAACTCTCTAAATTCCATCCATATAGTCTCACAAAATCAATTATTGCTATTGCACGCATATAATGAATTACTGGACGGGCTGCAGTATTGCGAAATTTTGCTCGGTAGAAGATAAAAACGTCGTAGCGTTAAATATTGTACCAGGAATGACCATCAATAAGTTATAATAAACTCGCAAATATACGCCATCATTACTACTGGAGCCTTTATATGTTCCGTTTGAATTACTTGTATATCGACATGAGGTTTGTATTTGAGAACTTAAATAATGTAGCCTTTGCGACTTTCTAGAGACAGTAATATAATGGAAAAGAAAGAAACCAAATCCCGCTTTGACGTCAGTCGTAATCCCCAAAATTATCGAAATAAAATAAAAACTATCAGCGTGGACACAAACCACACGAGAATAGTCTATTACGCAGATAATCCTATCTGACTTTCTTTCAGGTTAAATTTATAGAAGTCATCGAGCTCTTTTTTTGATGACTGTAAATATATCTCATCAAACTGAGACTGGAATCTTCAGTGCATATTAGGTCAAATACTGAGATGTTCAATTATAATTGTGATATATATTCACAAATCTTTGTACTTTGACAACTGAAAGAAAACGCAAAGTTTTGTGTATAATTATAAATAAAGATGCTCTGTCCTGCCTCTGTAGTAAAAACTATAGAAAATGTAAAGGTACGTCTTCCAATATGGTTATGATGCGCTGTATGATATCGATTGTAAGTGTCTCGGTTTTAAGAAAACACGTGAATGAAAATAAATGATTACCAATCATAAGGATTCCTTGTTTGTTCTTTTAAACTTCGTCGTTTTGAATGTTCTAAACATAAAAAACGAATAATTCTACTTAAGCTCGATGATATCAGTGGATTTACATGAATATTATCTAGCAGATTATTACAACACGCATGCGAAGATTTATTCCTTTTATGATAAATTTATAGTACGCATACGATTTGCACTCATAAAATTAAATAAATATCCCAAATGTCCACAAATTGTAGCAATTTGAGTATGATTTGATGGCAAAGCTGATTGGCGAATTTCTAGTACTTTTTCATAAAAATTCAAAGCTTGATCATACTTATTCGCCAAGCGATAGGTTTCATCAAGAAAACTAAAAACTTCTTCCACATCAAGATGATTTACTCCAAAAAGTCTTTGTCTTATTTTCAATGCCTGCCGAAAATATTCCAAGTTATCCTTTGACTCCTGGCATTTTAACGACGCCCGTGCGAGTAGACAGGTTCCTCAACGTATCCAGATTCGTATCACCAACATTTGATCTTTGGAATGTTCGGCAACGCTTTTGATACAATCCACCGATGTTATTCGTCACGGGCTCTGATGATTTTCAAAACTTCACTATCGTTCACGGATGTTTTCTTACAGGCGTTGATGAGTTCTTTGGGATCAGTTTGTTTTTACGGCGCATTCGTAGAAGAACTTCGATGAACAAATGAAACCACATGAAAGTGGCATATCGCGCTTGTAAGTTGTCACAAGTGGAACTTAATACCGATATTAGCGGATTTTCTTCTGTTTCTATTCGAGCCCCATGCTGATCTTTTGAGACATAATGGACTGAGCTACAAAAATGAAAGAATTTGTCGACCAAATGCACCGGAAACGATCAGAATGAGATTTTCTTTCGCTGCTTTGCGAGGATATTTCTCACAAACTTTTCACATTGTCAAACGTCCGTATATTTTCTATAATTTGTCGAAGTTTCTTTTTTGAATCAATGCTACCATCAAGCCAAACACAAATAAATTCATCTCGAGCAGCAGCCATCTCTTTCAACGACAAGTACTGGATGAAAACCAATGCTTTCTATTTGTGCCTTTGTCAATATAGAAAATTCCTTCGCTAGAAACCAATTCGTATGAAATGCGCTACATTTCGAAAATTTCCATTATTTCTAAAAATATCCGACGTCTTTTATTCGACAAAACTGATTTATGTTTGAGATCAGAGCAAAACAAATCCCAACCATGCAAAACATGATTTATGTCCGTTGTTGTACTGAATAACTGTGCATATTCAAAGAAAAACAAACGTTTTTTCTCGTTCTGTTGCACTGATATAATTACAACGAAAAAACAACAACAGGTAACTGCAACCTTTTTTAATGAAAAATACAAACACGTTGTTCTTTCAATTTGTCTAAAATTCAACAAACGACGCCATTTCATTGATTCGGTGCTTTTTTTCTAAATAGAAATATGCGCATATTCGCAAAAAGTCAGCGCTGTCCAATACATGCGTCCCTTTTATTTTCTTCTTCATTCTCTCTTCACTTTAAATGTCCTTAATCAATCTATGCTATCATTCATAATAGAAAACGTCACATTTCTCTTACAGTCGAATATGATTCGATATTTTTCCTTTTATTTTTATTCATCAGTGTGAAATATCAAACATTTCGACTCTGTGCAAAATATTTTCATTGAAAAATGCAGACAGGATCATTCAGCTTGAGAGAGACTTTCTATTTCTTCGAAATCATATAAAATAATGAGTCCTATGACGCATATTTGGTTTTTTCTCCTTCGAGACACGTTTGAGGAAGTGTAATGAATAATCGTTATAATAATGAGAAACATGTGAATATTGTACACACATTTGTTTATTTTCTGTTGATAGTGTTAAAATGACGAGCAAAGGCCATCGAAGAGCATCTTTAAAACAATTAAAACAACGATTGATGGGTCCAGCGGAAAATGCGTTAATAGCCACATCGCAACAACATCTTGGTTATATGAAAGTTGGTGAAGTTTTGCATCTGCAAGGACCTTATATTCCTATAGAAAATTTCATCTCAGCAGTTCGCCGCTTACAACTTCGTCATCCATTTCTCCGGAGTCGATTAGAAAGCAATCCAGCGAAACCTGGAACTTATCTTTTACAAGAAGATCACTCACTCGATCTAAATGTTATCGAACTTTTGAGAAATCGGTCTGATCACGCTAATTTCTGGCGAGAACAATGGAAAATCAGAGAAAAAGAACCCGCAGTTGTCGGACAAGGTCTGGCCGAATTTTGGCTTCTACAAGTATGTTCCAAAATTTTCTTCGAGCGAATTCTGATTTCAAATTCACGTAGGATCCGAATGATGATAATGACGATAACAGTCCTCGTGAAATTGTAGTCATATGTGAACATAGTATCTGTGATGGTTTATCGTTAAGTACAGTTGCACATGAGCTTCTTCTTTCGTTAAGTGAAGATAACACAAATATGTTTGAAACGTCATTGAATTGGCCGATAACAATGGAAGCTGCCGTTCGACGAACTTTTACCAAATGGAATCGTGTTCGAAAGTACGGAAAATTTATTCCCACGGCTTTATATTGGCGTGCGACGAGTTGTCGACGTACCGTTCGAATTCCTTTAACACCTGCGCATGATTCTACCAGTGAAATGGCCAAAAATTGCCAAACCGAAGCTTTTTACGGTCGATTGAACAAAGAAGCTACGAATAATTTATTAGAAAAATGTCGAAGTGAAGGCGTAACAATGACGTCTGCTATTGGCAGTGCAGTTCTATGTGCAATTTCGAAATTAGTCAATACTAAAAAAGAACACGTTGACGAATTAGTTTTAGCTTTAACCGCAGATACACGACAGAGATGCAATCCCCAAATTCCCAATCATGATTTAAGTTTTCACGCGTCAGCAACTATGGCATTTACAATGCCGAAACGAGAAATACCAACAACATCAGAAGGCATGTGGAAATTAGCGATGACATTCGGAACTCATTTGAAAAACTCACTCGATGCTGGACATATTCATGTTCTCGCGATGATGTTAGGAAGACTCTATCAAAAGAATATTCATCAACCGAATTATGCAGAAGTTCCTACTTGTATTATTTCCAATTGGGGTCGATTACCTTTCCAAGAACAATATGGGCAATGGCAGTTGATCGACACAACACCGTTCTTGAATTTGATTTTAACCGTTATGCCGTATATTTTTGTACAAACTGTGAATGGAAATTTAACCATTGGAATTATGGGTTCGGTCCCTACGATGTCTTCAAATGTTTTGGAAGATTTATGTAATGGAACGATCAGAAATTTATTTTTTAATGATTGAAGAAATATCTACTTTACGTTTTTAAAAACGAAATCAGTTGTGTGTGTGTGCTTGTATTTATTTTGTAAGAATTTATAGACAGTTTTATAAAAGCTCATAAATTTTTCGAATGCTTCGAACAAATTTCGGATTACTTAGTAGTTACCGGTGACAGTAGTCTGGAAAAATGTTATGAACATCTATTAACTGGCTTTGTTGATTGATTGAAGTCATATTTTAAATGTCAGCCATCGACATTAACTGTTAGTAGAGTTGGAACCTGTTCATCATATTGGAATTTTATGTTTATATTTACAGTTTTTCCCATTCAGTCGTGTCGAATTTCCTTGAAATTCAAGACTGGAAACCGATCTGTGAATGATTTAGCAAGCTTAGTGTCTAGAACGAACCGAACGAAAAAAAAACTTGTCCGGTTCTAATGTTGCTTCGCCTCACATGGAGTTTGATCTTGTTTCATCACTTAGCCGTTATGTTCCTATTGTCAGTTAATCAACACGATCGTTTTAAGATGCATCTGCAGCCATAAAAAGATCTACAAGGATGCGAGACCAAATACTTTGACCCTTTGTGTCAAAATCGGAATTCTTCATTGAAATCGGCGTGAAACTACCACGGCGCAGCACAAAAATGAGTCCATTCGATAGAGCTCCTCGAGTCTTGATCCAAAGTATCATGCGTGCTTTATATGACATTTCAGTCTAGTCAAAAGTATTTGGCAAACTCATCTCGAGTACAAGGCGTGATCGGATGGAAATTAGACAAGATGCCGTGTTTGAAAGTTGTAATTCTTAGGCTATTCCTTGAAATTGCGCCTTTCAAAGTAATGAAGACCACTCACCAGAGTAAAAATATCTAAATTTTATAGAGTTTGACAAGAAATCTTGCTGTCTGTGTCGTATATCAAGTACCTACAATGAGGCGATGACAAGATGGCAGAAAACATGCCTGAATAGATAAAATTGAAACATTTTCGTCACGTTTTTATACATTAGCTGTTCCAGCTACTATTCGTTGTTTCAGAGCAACAGGATTTCGATTTGTGGCTTCAGTTGCCTTTAAAGATCGAATGTTCCCATCGATCTGAGTTCGATTAGTCAGTGATTGTTGAGATCGCCTCGACAGGCATTTCACTAGACCTGTTGCTGTTAAAATCTTTTTAAATCCATATCGAGTACAACGTTTAAATTCAGCATTGAATTTTGAACTGCTAAGAGTGTATATGTCATAGGTAGAATTAAGTTTCAGGTAAAGTTAAACTTAGTTGAAATTCGTTCATTATAAAAGGCGCACAATTGAGATGGAATAACAAACGAACCACTTAGAATGTTTTTTTTTCTGTATGTGAGAAAAGACTTTATTGCAAAGAAGCCAAAGCTCACCATTCTTACTTTTTTCCACCCCCTTTTTTGGTCGGGAAAATGAGTTTTACATATGTTTCTCGATTTCTTCTAGCGCATTCAGAAGAGGAGAAAATCAGAAATTACATCTGTTGGCATAATTATTTGAGACTGTTTGTATTTTGCCTTTTATGTTTGCATGGTATTATTCTATAAATTTATAAGTTCATTCGAAGAAAATATTCATTATTTTTAATTTATTGATAGATTATTAAATAGAGAAGCACAGTATCAAAGCTTGTATGATATATTGGGTGTATACACAGACAGTGCGAAGATTGTCTTTCATTGAAATATGTTTCAGTTGAAATTCCAGCGATTTCTGTTTTTCGAATTTTCAAAATGCTCGATGAATATGTTTTCGAATTCGTTCTTGATATTGTGTCATTGATTTTTTATATTCTTTTCGATAAAATTCTGATGGAATAACAAATATGAGAAAGGTAATCATTACTGTAATAAATGAAATGAAATATCCAAAAAGGAATAACAATGAATCTCGTTGGGAACTCATACATTTTGATAAATACGTAAGAATTAGACGTGGTAATGCAAGAAGAACTAAAACAACAGGCCCAATTAATAAACGTTGATGTTCTCGAAGTTGTTGACGTAAAATATCTGTATAAGGTTGTTTTCTTCCATGAAGATGTAATTGCTGATGAGATTTTTTTACTATTAAAGTAATTGATGAAATGCAATTAATAAAAAATGGAACAAAGAAATGAAATGTATTGACAATTCGATTATACGTTTGTAATTTTGATGAATAATTGGTAATACACCAGATTCTTTTTGTATCATCGGTTTCATTTTCTTCTTCAGTTAAACGTCGATAAATTGGATCATGAATTGATGTTAAAATAATGAAAATCAAAAGAGTAGGAATCACTTTTTTTGCTAATTCCTTGCTTTTCTTTTTATTGAATTGAGCACCTTGAACAACTGTAATTGCTCTTTCTAATGCAACACATGCGTTTAACCACTGATCCATATTCAAACCAATTCGAACAAGAAAATCAATTGAAAAACATTGAACTTTGAGAAACGACTGGTTTGATAAAAATAACATTTGTATTGAAAGATAAATAAAATATTTCAAAGCAAACATAATCATTGTAAATAATGTTGTTACTGATGAACCAAATAAATAAATTCCACAGCCAATTTCGCGTACACTTGGATTTTGAAATGTAATTAGTGACAGAAAACCATTGATCATTCCGATAATGAAAAAAACAATTGTTAATGAAAAACTTATTTTAACAATTATTGGTTGATAAGAAAGATTCACATTTGGAATAATGTGATAAGCTAGAATTGCATCTAAAGATAAACCAAATTCACTTGTACTGAATTGACATTGCAATCCGTAATAACATGAATGACAAGAACAAATAAAACGTTTCGGACAATCGGGTGAATCTTGAAAACATAGGCCTCCATTTTTACAAGCACTTTGTCCAGAACAGTCAAACTTTTTGTTGTAATCAAAGTTAAAACAATTTGCTAAACGTTTTCCTGTATAATTATAACATAAACAAAGATGTATATCATCACGAAAACATAACAAACTGGGTGAATATTTTTGACATACGAAATGATAAGATTTCATTCGACGAAGAAGATGCAATTGAGAAAATGTTTCATTGACTAATTGATTAATTGATAAACAACGATGCGATGAATCAATTCTTTGAATTATTTTTGTCGAGTGTGTATAATTTGATTGAAGGAAAGCTAAATAAAAAATTTTGTTTAATGTTTCGATAAAAATTAAATGAAATGGTTGTGACCAATAAATTCTAACTGAATTTGTTGATTGGGATATTGTTTGTAATGCTGTTGATCTATGTGGTGACTTTGGTGGAATTTCTAGTTTGAATTCGTCGTAAGGAGTAATTCTTATAAAATGAATAAAAACTGACTGAGTTAATTGTATATCATTATTGAATATGAAATCCAATTGATTATCAATTATTTGACATCGATCACCACTAAAACCTTTTGAACAGATACAAAAATATTTGTTCGTATCCGATAACATATAATCATCATTTGAAATACATGAGCCATTATTTTGACACGGAAAATGATCACAAGTTTGATGACGAAGATAACACCGAGAACCAAATTGATTTTCTTTACATAAACAGATCGATCGATTATCACTTAACATGCCAATACATAGGGAATTTGATGAGCAACTACAATTATGGTGAATCTGACAATATTTTCCGGACCAGTTTTGATCACATTGACAGAATGTTGCTTCGTCATTGAAGTATTTCTGACATTTTCCATGTTGACATGGATTATTTGAACAGATATGTTGTTGAGAATGATCAGATGATGGAATATTGACAATGAATGCCAAACGATGAACTGGTAGAAATGAAAATTTCACTGGATAAAGAAAACTTGTTCGATATTTTTGAGAAGACTTTTCATAAATATCAATATGAATTGAATAATTTCTTTGAGAATCTTTTGGTCGAGTTGAATAAAATAAATGAAAATCGAATTTAATTTTACAATCTCTTACAGATAGATAAGTGAGTTGTTCGTAAGAATGAATGGTTCGTTGGTTTGTATCATCAATTAATAAGACTAATATCGCCAATGGAGTTTTCCATGAATCAGATGAGACATAAAATCGTAATGCTAAACTTATTCGTTGATTTTGGTATTGACATTGATTTCCGTAATGGCTTGGTGGACAAAGACAAGTATTTATATAAGAATTCGATGATTGATTTAACCAGACATGTAAATCAGCACCACGATTACAACGAGCTTGATCAAATTGTAAAATTGAACTTGAATAATCATGAGAAAAATCATATTGAATTGTTTCATTTTTAATTATTTCTTCCTTCCATGATTGATCGAAACCGTCAATTTTAAAATACTTACTCGGTTTTTTGAATATATACATAGAAGAATAACAAAAAAATTTTTCAATATCACGTTCTGATCCGAAATCAGTCTTTTCACAATCAAGAAAGAAACCGGGACTTGATCGTGTTCTTTGACAAAAGAACTCATCATCTCCGTATGGACAATCTTTGTCACGATTACACAATTGACCAGAAAAGACACATTTAGGCGGATTGGTGTTCATACAGTAAAATTTACTTGTCGATTGTTCCCGACACAGTTCTATTTCATCAGTACCGCCGAGGCAATCAACATGTCCATCGCTAATCTTTTGAATTGATAAACATGAAAATTCTACAGTATCTAGTGTGACACATATTGTTGTATCCAAAGAACAATTATATATAGTTGATGACATACCACAACCGATTTCATCTTTTCCATTCCTGCAATTCCATATTCCATCACAACGAGTATAAATATTATTACATTCCCATAGTTGACATTCAGTTTCATCTGTATGATTTTCATTATCGATTTCTAATGGATATAGCTCTTCAAAACCATCACACATCGTTTGAAAAGATATTGTTCTTCTAGTATAGTTTTGATAAGAATCGTCTGGATCTTCACGGTAATCACCTTCATCATCATTATAGATACAATCAGATTTTCCATCATTTAAACGATGAAATGAAATACATTTCGACGAATTCCTACATTGATAGAAATTGGATGTGTTACATTGATGTAATGGAAAATTAATAATCGGATGGATATTTTGAATCTGAGCGAAAATATCATTCATAAAATATTCATACCTAAAATCTTGCACTAAACCACCTAAATCTATAAAAGCTGTAGGTGGTGGCGGGATAAAACATTTCGTGTCGTTTGATGACATGTCCGGAGCTAGTTGAAGTGATCCATCATGAAAAGATTTGTTTGAACATAAATATGGTAATACATGAATGCCGTCATGCAATAAATCGTTCCTTTTGTAAAATGTATAAACGTGACCGAAAAATATTGGAACATTAGGGATATTGATGATACTTGGACATTCATTTCTCATCGTAGGTAAACATTGTTCCACAATAATATCAAGGGTAATCCAATCGAACGCTTGGTTTTGAATACCGATCAAACATTGAAGAGCGAACCAACATTCATCCGATATCGAAGTATCTTTGATTGAAAATATCGATTTGATAAGTTGGTTTGCACGTTCTGGATTACAACTACTTGTTAAGAATGATCTTCCACATCTTACATCTTCCCATCCAAAAGGCGGATCATCTTCATCATAAAGAGAATGTTCAGTCGATGCAGACGTTGATAATTTTTCATCCGATTCATCAAGACAATCGGGAATTCTTGTCATATCTTGAACAAAGTCATTCGGTATACATTGTCCATTATGACATTTAAATTCATTGTCTTCACATTCAATCAACTCTAATTGCCAACAATGCTCTTCATCAAATGGTCCATCAAGGCAGTGAACTATTCCATCACAAATTTCCGACCAATCTAAACATGCTGGTGCATTACCACGATTACATTTTAAATGAGTATAACAAGTCATATCAATTTGCTCATGCCAACTTGAAATTAATTCATATATTGCTTTATAACGTCGATTATAATAATATAAACTATATTGACACATTGATCCAAATCTTGGTAATGTACATTTATAAACAAGTTTTTCTTTTAAAGATACGTCATTTGATTTCAAATAATCTTGATATTCTTCAATGGTATCAATTGGTACTGACCATTGATATAATTCTGCACTTGAAATATTCTTTTTTGCAAGGTCATTAAAAGAAAATCTATTTGGTGAATATTTATCTTGAATTTGATCAGAAAATTTCACTGATGATTCACTCATGCACCAAGATAAGATGTCTCGACTGACACTTCTTCGCTTGACATTTGCATTAAAGCGTAAACAGTTATATCGTAGACCTATTTCATCGAATGAATCAATATTTACTTCGGCACTAAAATAAAGATTTCGTTGTGATACACTTGGAACACAGTGTAAGAAAGTCAGATAGAGAATATATTTAAGGTGAATGATCATTTGATTTGATGAATAAAAACGATAGTATCCTATGTCGATATAAGTACCATTTGGCGTCAATCCATTAAAACATATCTTTTCATTACTAAACCCGTTTATTCCGTTTTCATAAACATAAAACGTCATTGCTGACGCACAAAAAATCTTTCTCTGTACTTCCTTTGTTAGACATTTATAGATGATAAAAATGCTTTCAGACACAGAATACATATTGATGCTCATATGGTATGATATTTTCTAAGTAGAGATTTTGAATGACGTAAAAGGTTTTACATGAGTTGCCTAATTCGACTTATAATATAGGTGCAGAACTTCTAATACATTTCTACGTATATCTAGGAATTGATTTTGTTATTCTCTTTTCTCAAAGAAAGGGTTATAGTGTCATGAAGACAGTCGTTAAAATTTTAAAAGTTTGTTTTAACCGGGTGTGTGACAGTTCCATATCAATTCACACAACTGAACTGTCTGAGCAGTTCCTAAATTTCGAATCTTTGATCAGCTATATAAAACTAGTCCAAAGTCAATATATTTGGTCAATTAAAAAATTGAACTGAACTGTATGAACAGTTCAGTTCTAGAAAACTGAGACTATTACCCAGTCCAAATCATGTGAACTGGGATTCTTCGCCAGTTCAGTTCTTGCGAGCTGAAATACTTGATCGGTTCGGTTTGCGTCAACTAAAGCTGCTGACCAGTTCAGTTCTCACGAGCTGCTGAAGCTGAGCTGTCATACACACCTAGTGTTAACTAATTATTAATTATTAACCCTTTGGGGACGGGAGACGTATATATACGTCCAGCTACAAATTAACTTGTACTTTGCATCCTCACAACTTTTGTTATGTCCTTATGTGATATATATGATTACAGACAATGAATGCTCACATATAACATGGTGAGATATCATCTTTCATACTATGTTCTCATTTAAAATATTTCTAGAAAAAATATTTTATTAGTTTTTCAAAACTCTCATTTTCTGCTGTAATAACCNTAGAATATAGCTAGAAAGATCGCTCATAAAATTTGCAACAACCGACGGGATTTTTCTAGTCGGATTCCAATGCAATTCCGTTTCCAGGAATCCGATCGGATTTTGTCGGATGGTCGGATCCAGTAAGATCCGATCGGATCCAGCATCGGATTTGTTGACCTGGGAATGCGTCTCTGAGCATTCTGCATTGAACAGTTGTTAAGGAAATGGAACAGTAAATTTTCAGTGACATAGCTATTTATAGATTAGTTTGTACTCTATACGGATGGACCATAGAAATACAACCGATGACACTGCGCATCTCAACTAGTTTTTCGTGCAGATGTCAATCTCTCTGACAAGGATATGACTGTGATTTTCTCTTCTGCACCACAGCGACATTTACGTGAACTGAGATGATTTTTTTATGAAGATATCTGAACTAATCAGTAGATTTATATCATGTGATAATCTATAATTGAAATGAATCCTCTTGTGGCGAACTCTACTGTCGGTCTATAAAAAAAACTAGCTAGTTATTTATATTTAATTATATTAGTAGGCATTTCAGTCATTTATTAAAATAAACTTCTCTTTTTAAAACTAAAAAGAATCATTTCTAGTATTTTCTTATTATTGGTGCGTCCATAAAATATCTCTAAGTCATTATTTCATTATTTGAGCGTGTAAAAAAAGTATGCATTTTACCGTACGAGATAACCTTTAAAGAATAGCTTCTCCGATATTTTTCGTCTTATCTTGTTCGAAATAACTTTTCATAATAGATCCGACACATCAAACAAACCGATTGAATGAATATGAATTATCCATTATTTGTTGAATCAAATCATACAACAATTTATAAAGCATGTCGTCCGGGGTATCCAAAAGAACTTTATAATCGAATATTGCAGTTTTATTTCGATAGAACCGATACTGATGAAATTAATCAAAAAATTCCATTAGCTGTCGATATTGCTTGTGGTAGTGGACAAGCTACAGTTGATTTGAGTTCTTATTGTCATCATGTAATTGGTATTGATGGTAGTGAAAATCAATTAAAACAAGCATCATTCAAAGATAATATCGAATATCATTGTTCGAATGCAGAAAATTTAACATTTTTGCCATCAAATTCAGTTGATCTTGTAACGGTAGCAACAGCATTACATTGGTTTGATATTGAAACATTTTTTCAACAAGTTGATCGTATTCTAAAACCAAATAGCGGTGTTTTAAGTATTTGGGGCACTGGTATGCCATCATTAAATAATTTGAAGGCTAATGAAACACTAAATAATTTTTGTCAAAATGATCTTAAAAATTGTTGGAGTGATCGGGCATATTTGGTGATAAATCAATATGAATCTATACTTGATAAGTTTCCATATCAACAAACAAGAATCAAACATATTATTGAATATCAACGAGAAATGTCTATTCTTGAATTTGTCAATTTTATTGAAACATGGAGTCCATGTCAAAAATATCGGGAAATTTATGGAGGCGACAAATTAAAAGAATTATTAAAAATGTTTTTGAATAATTTGGTCCAATGTTATAATGAATCAACAAATGAAATTGACAATACTATTGATAATCAAATGATCATTGTTGAATGGATAATACATTTACATTTAATGAAAAAAAACAATCGATAATATTCATTAATTAAACAAACTAGATGCGTCATTATTTCTAGAATATGTACCTTTTTTTAAACTAAATTCTTAACTAGTAATTAGATTTCTAAAATAATGTTTCATTGAAATGTCAATAAATGTTTGCGCAGATATCGACAGATACGGAGTCTCTTGAGTATGACTACCAACTCTTTGAGTATTTTGCCTATTTCTAATTTCTTCTAAGACATATAGGCATTCATATTCGTAGGACGGATGTATACCACAATATTTTCATGTAAACATACAAGAGTTTTCTTTCTTTCCTTGGTGTGTGTTCTCTTGCAATGAAGTAAGGGTGTAGGTGTGGAGAAAAAAGATATACCTTAACCAACATTCACACCCAATATTTTAAAGAAACTTAATTATGCTGATGTTCTCTATTCATTATTTGATCCCCATAACGAACGTCTTGAGAACATTATAAGACATCATTCATTTTCTAATACTGTTTACATAACATTATTAGATCAAAATACGACATAAGTGATTCCATACTCAATCGATTGTGCGGTGATATATTACCTCGAATTTGTTTGTATTAATTGCGTAATTGCACGCAACACACAGATTCTATATTCTTTTGTGGCCGTATTTTCATGTAGATGATTTATCTATTTGACATATTCTAAGACAACAAATCAGGAAGCTGGAACTTATCTATAACAGATCTACATATGGGACACCATCACCGAAATTTCATAATTACAACCAATACTAATTTTATACGGGTAGATAAAATCACTATAGTTTGACCACTATCATTATTGTTGCTATTGGTATGCACAAATAGAGATAAAAAGTAAAGGAGAACGATACAATGATGATGATGATCGACGAATAGACAGATCTCTATGTATATCTGTTTCTATCACGGCTTACGATCGTACGTGAGTGGATATGCGTATAAAGATACTGGTTACAATAGTTAAATGATGGATGAACGGAGCATATACGTATATATGTAGAGAACAGGCAGAGTAAAAAATAGTATAATTCTCTCTCTTCTGCTCCCTTCACTTAATGATAGAACAACAATAGCACTTGAGAGTACGAGAGGAACAAAGAAGAAAGATGGCAAATAATAGCGTCACTTTTTTAGTATACACACGCGTGCAAACAAAAACAACAGTACATATGATTCTATTGCTTTATACATATTAACACCCTCAAGATGCTTAATCTAAGCTGAACTGCTGTAGTGAGGAGGGACAGACGGCAGACATTGTGTTGCTTCGGGAAACTTGTTCGTCGGAAGTCACCCTCAAAGTCAAGGCTTTTTTTCGAAATTCCGTAACGGACGGTATTCCTTCGATACGTTGGTTTCTATGAGGGATGAATTGATGAAATTTTCATCGGTTGTAGATTGAAGCGATGTAGTCTTGCAGTAAAATTTCGTGAGTTCTTTATGTCTTTAACAAGGATATACAGGTGTCGAAAGTAAAAAAATGCAATTCCATAACGCTTGGTCGTGCCGAACGATAAAAACATGGATGTGAAAGTAACTAATCAGTATAGTGACACGATTAGTATCATGCTCGGAAATGGAACATTTCAATCCATACAAAATTATAATGTAGGTCGACAACCAATGTATACTGTTTCAATGACTTTTAATAACAATACCAAATTAGATTTGCGAGTAGTCAGTTTCTATGACGCCGCCATTAGTATCGTAATCGGTAATGGAAATGGAATCTTTAAAAATCAAAAGAACTATACTGTTGGCATATTTCCCTATTGTTTGATCTCGATTGATTTCGACCATGCACAGAAAATGGATCTAGCTGTTGTTCTGTATACCGAAAAGATGATTACTGTGCTGCTTGGTGATGGAAATGGAACTTTCTCTAGGCAAAACAGCTATACCATTGTTCGATTCCTAGCTTCCATTATAACAGTTGATTTTGATAACAATAAGAAAATGGACTTGAATGTAGCCAATCAATGGGATAATGTGGTGAGTATACTGCATGGAGTTGAAATTGAAAGCTTTCAAGTATCACGAAATTATACCAATGACCGATCTCCAGACTAGATGGTAGCAACAGATTTCAATAATGACAAAAAGCTCGATATAACCATAGTTAATTTTGACGATAGAACACTCAGATTATTATCAGGTGATAGCGAAGAAAACATCTCACCTCAAAACCTATATTTGACTGGTGCTGATCCATCATCGTTAAAATCTGCCGACTTAAACAATGATAATCAATTGGATTTAGCTATAACGAATTTCGACAATGGCGACTTGTCTTTTGTTTTGAATATTTGTGACTAATTCATTGATAGACTTTTAACTTTTTGTGTGTACGTATATTAACCTAATTCCATAAGAGAGAACATAAATTTTTATTCAACAACAGTTGCTACATGATTGAGAAAGTTTATAAGTGATGACATAGAATAAAATATTTCCTGTTCAGCTGTTTAAACAGATCACAGTTATACAAAAGCATTCAATGCCACCGAACCATTCTAAGCGGAGCCCCTGCTGCACTTCTGAAGCATTCTATATCTTCCTCTCGGATTCCATTCTGTCCGAGTTCCAATGAAGTGAGTGTCTATTCATGGTAAAATAGAAGAAGTCATTGCATTGATAAATGGATGATGAGTATTACCGTGTTTGTTTCGAATGCATCTACAATATATTTTGCACCCTGAACTCCGAAACGATTGTGAGTGAGATCCACAGTATTAAGTCCCTATCGGTAATGGAAAGCAGATAAATATATGCATAGACAATGACTATTACTGTGTTTATCTCAAATGCACACCCAAGATACTGTGCTCCTTTCACTCTGATCCGATTGTATCTTAGGTTTAGCATAGTGAGTGTCTATTGACGGTGAATTAGACTGATGCACAAAATACGTGCGTAGTGAATGAACATTACTGTGTTTGTTGTCAATGCCTCGGCAAGATGTTGAACTCCTTCATCGCCGATGTCGTTAAATCCGAGATCCAATACGGTGAGTGTCTATTCATGTAACGACATACAGACAAATATACGTGTAAAGAGTGAATGTTACCGTATTGGTTACCAATACGTCGGCAAGATATTGCGCCCCTCTGTCATCAATATCATTGGACTGCAGATTCAGTGAAGCTATTGTCTGTCCATAGAGTGAGATCGACGAAGATAGAAAATACGTTTACAACTAATGATTATTACTGTATTTGTTTTCAATATGTGGGCAAGATGGTGTACTCCTTTCATTCCAATTCCGACATATGCAAAATTCAGTGCAGTGATTGTCTAGAGTAGTGAAACATGCCCAAAATCATGATTGATTAGATCCTGAACGATGATTGTCGCGTTCACCTGATATCGAGGATATGTTTTGAGGATTTGATTGAATCGTCGACAGACGTTTTGCATCGAGAAAAACAAAGTGTATTCATCCTGCTGATCCAGAATTCTATACACGAGTTCTACGGGTAAACTGGCAAACTTAGACATAATTGCTGTTTCGTTCTGATTGGTGGTGAAATTTCATCATCATATGTTGAAAGAAATGAAATCTGACATGACCAATAAGAAATGTTTATTAAGTTGCAAACAGATGGAACTAGTTTATTTGTTTGATGCAATTAGTTATTGAAAGAGGTGATGTTCAAACAAGACATTAGGGGAATTTTTATCAAAGGACTTGAAAATCCTAAACTCGTGCAAGTTTCATTAATACGATGATTTATTTCTTCGCCGTTCTACTCGCCATAAATAGATCGGAAGTTTTTTTTTAACGACGCGTGCTATACTCTGGACAATAATTACACCTTTTTTCTTATGATATTTTATGAGTATTGTCTCGGAACGACATATTGTATGTATTTCGATGTCTCTTCTTCTTTATTATCATAATTTGTAAATTTTTTTTGTACGTTGAAAAGTACAACCGACAGATATCGATTGTCATAACTCAATACGTTCGCAAGTAGTTATGCGCATGTAACAGTTTGTCCTTGTGATAATGATGGCTTATACTTCCTATGTATGCTCGATTGACAAAATCACACGTTGCTTTTTTCATTTTTCTACACATTGACGAGGATGAGAAAAAGAAATCAAACCTATGACTCCACTCAGTAATTTTTGTCAGGTACACGTGAATAACTACGTTTCACAGTAATTTATTCGCTATAAAAATGTATGTGCAATCCTTGATCAATATGCCTCTTCTTCCATCGATCGTATTTTTGTTTTCTACAGTGTATGATTAGTACTAAGGCATCCATTTTTTGTTATTTATTTTGAAGGTCGAGTAGATGTGTTGTGAGTTTTCGTTTTAGTGGTACTCTTGATCTTTTTGTCAAAATTGACCAGATGGGTATATCAAGTATGAAAGCTGCTCGTTATTATGATCGAAACGATATTCGTGTTGAAGAAACGTCTGTTCCGCCTGTCGGCAAGAAACAAGTGAAAATCGAAGTGAAATATGTTGGAATCTGTGCAGCAGATGTACATGAATATTTACATGGTCCAATATTGATCCCAATGAAACATCCCTATTTGTGGAACGGACACCATGGTGTAACAACGATGGGACGTGAATTTTCAGGTGTAGTTGTGGAACTGGGAGATGATGTTAAACGTACTGATATTCAGATAGGTGATCGTGTTGTAGTAGAACCATTAGTTCGAAATCAAGACAAATCGAATCTAGCTGAACCTATAGGTTGTATTGGTCTAAGTTGCAATGGTGCATTTGCTAAATATGTAGTTGTCGAAAATTATATGGTACATAAAATGCCGGATGCTGTTACTTTTGAACAAGGTGCATTAGTGGAGTCTGCTGCTGTAGCTGTACATGCTGTTAAAAGTAGTAATTTACAACCAGGTATTTTAATCTTTCTTGTGAAAACGTCTTTTCATATGTCGCAAGTACATAATTATCTCTAATTTTAGAAGAGACTTGCGTGATTTTTGGTGCTGGTCCAATTGGTTTACTCTGTCTTCAATCTGCACTGGCTTTCGGTGTCACTCGTATCATCGTTGTTGATATTGTCGATAAACGCCTAGAGAAAGCACGTGAATTGGGTGCCACATGGGTTATTAATGGCAAGGACACAAATATTTGTCAGCAAATCAAAGACTATACGAATGGTGCTGGGGCACATGTTTATTTTGATGCAGCAGGTACAGAATCAACATTTGCCACAGGTATCTCATGTTTGAGACGAGGTGGTCGAGCGATATTAATTGCAGTGTTTGCAAAACCGTTGGCATTCGATGCAATGGATATTGTTACACGTGAGATAAGTATTCGAGGAATATCCGATTACCAAAATGTGTTCGGTGAAGCCATCCAACTGATCAATAATAAGAACATGGATGTTGAACGAATTGTTTCAAAGAAAATCAAATTAGATGATATTGTGAAAGATGGATTTGACGCTTTATCATCTGATCTTTCACACATCAAAATTCTAATTGATATTGGTTCCGACTAATTCGCTCATATTCACTAATTTTCGTATTTTGTATTATTTTTGTTAGTTATTTTAGTTCTGATAGAGAAAATAAAGCTTCAACTTCCTTTTCATATAATAGTCGATATCGATGCGAATGCGTCCTCACTCTTTCGCCATTCTTCATTCGATGGAAAGTAAGAGAGAGGTTATTTTTCTGCTGTCGGCGTTGACAGAGCATAAATAATATCAGTTCCGTCACTGCTTACGGTGGAAATATCGACCGGCGAACTTGTTTATTCTGGACGTGAACGTGATATGATGTGTCGTGTTCTTTATCAAGCAAGTGATCGCCAAAAAAAAACAATAAAGAATTCTTAGTTTTATTCTTGTCACTCTCGTTAAATATTTGCTGAAGGTAGTACTCATTTAGACGTATGTAAGTATCGCCGATTGTCATTTTTCCTCATGCACTTTCGTACATCTTATTTACGTATAATATAATTCATTAGAAATAGTCAAGTCCGTTACAATATCGATCGATTAGTTTTCAAAAGATCACTTTTCTTGACTTTTCGTGAAAATAGACAAGATTGAGAAGATGGCACTATTATGAAGCTCGAGTGTTGATGGACTTCAGAAATTGTACTTCTATAGGAATGGCAAAGAAAACTGCTCCACGCAAATTGTCTACCAGTAGCGATCGCTTTACAAACAATACTTTCTCAGATCTTCAAATTGTAAATCAGACTCCAATATTCGGTTACGAGGATTTGCTCGTGGTAACTCTAGAAAAGGTTGTGCAAAAGTTACTTTCTTTGGTACCAAACCTCACGCATCATGGTATCAAGGCGAAAGAAAAGTGTAACAAAGATTCGAAGGTGTTGACGCTGAACGAATCAGCAGCAATTTATGTGTATTTCATGCCGGTGCCGTTCTTTTCCCGACTGAACAGCGCACTTCGTGCCGAAAAACGTCACGCATTGAAGCATTGGTTCTCCTTTCTGAAATTATTTTTTACGGCGCTGAACAAACTACCGTCCCTTGATATTCGAGTCTGAAGAGGTGTTGGGGATAATGTGAATGCTGACTTTACTGAGGGCCCGATGGAAACCTGGTGAAGCGTAAATTCCTGTTCAAAAGATCTCGATATTGTGGAGAAATTCTTGGGTGATAAGGGCATCTTATTCTCTATCGATGTTTTACACAGTAAAGACATTTCTGAGTATTCTTAGTGGACTAACGCAGTTTGTAAAGCTTGTCATCCCAGCAAATGTTTAATTAGGAAAGTTTTGGGGAAATGCCTATTTAAGACTGCTTACATATTTCAGCCAATAGTTTATGCTAGAGTCTTACGTTTTTTTCCTCAGAATCGATCGTACATTGGTCAACGACACTGCATCTCAAGAAGAATGCAATATATGTATGGAAATCTCTGCTTCGATTTCTACAGCCGAATATAAAGGTCCAAGGATTGTTGAAAATGAAAGACCGTCACGGACAATATATGAGTGTGACGGTAATTCGTCTTTTCAATCCAGCAAATTTAGAAATTGAGGCCGAGCAAAAAACTTTGCATGCTATGACACTGGCGCATTTATGAACTGGTTTTTCATTCGCAAGCTTGTATTTCATAATTCGAGCAAAGAAATAATAGCCGTCCTTCATTTATCAGGTGAATATGAAGATAAGTTAGGAAATTGACAAACGTGCAAGCACGTTATGATCGGTCAGTCAGTTGGACCAAATGGAAGCAACGCTTTTAGCCTGATGTCTGCATTAATCTACCGGCGTCGGATATTGCCAGTTATGCTGTTAACATGGCAGTGGAAGTTCATTGTAGGCCCGGTTATGATGAAAAACATCGAAATCGAGCACATAAAACCTTTCTCCAGCCATTGAAGCTTAGACTCACAGCTCACGATACAATGGGTAAGGTTTGTCAACTCATTTTTGAAGAGTTTAATTCACCTCTGGTTCTACCGACGCCAGAGCGTACGACTCGGAAATTTTCGATAGGCGCTCAGCAGATTGTCGATTGAATATCTGTTGACGATAGTGAAACACTCACACGCATCTTTACAGTGCTTTATTTGGACGACAAGGCATGCCTTCATGTCGTTGGAGAATTTTAGATTTTCAGACAAAATTTAACATATAGCTTTGTTCGATCCAGCGACCTTTCGCATGTATGCTTTACGAATCATTTTGCAATCAACAAGGTCCAAAACGAGCAAAGTGATTCGAGTGCCGCTCGACAAGATAAAAAGTAACGGTTCTCATTCGGCAATATAAACATGGGTTCAATAATATACTTATATCCAGCGATATGTACGTTTTTAAGACAAAAAAACATTTTTTAAGGAAAAAGGAAGAGTTTGTGTTTATTTTTCCCATTTTTATTCACAGAAAATGCAGAGCTGTTACGCTACTGTTGTTGCCACTCGATTTTCTATGCGTTGTTTAATATTTTGCCATGTAATTTTCATAACATCCGCAAATAAACATTAGCAAACGATAAGTAAAACGAATGGTACGAAAACTAAATGGTTCATAGACATTCAAACATGAATTTTGGATTTCCAATGAACTGAACAAGCCCAGTGATTGTTAAAGATAACCAGTCAGCTCGATATCGAAAGAAAACAAATCATAGTTGAAATCTCATTTTACAATGATGACGCGCTAATGTCTCACAAATCACACGGCTAATAAGAATAATATTTGTTATAAGTACGATTATAATCGGTGCCGTAATGTTTAAAATCAGATGAACAACGTTGAGAATTCCTGCATGTACCGTTGGAAAGCATGGATTAGCACAAATAACTCGATTAAAATCCTATACATTAACACAATCTAGAGTGATAACTGAAACTGCAGAATATCAAGACGAAGGCCAAAGAATACATCGAAGAACCGAAAGAAAATGATAGAACCATTTTTCCACGATGCTCCAAGTAAAAATCTGTGATAAAATATCGTTGAAATGTTGTCCATGCCATTAGAATAACTTCAGCTATATTCGATGAATATTCGTACCAATTCCACCAAACACAATAAATATTTTTTGCCGGCCAGATTTGGCCAAAATTAAATACAAGAAGAACAATCCATGCATGATTTTTAGGTTTGTATCGAACCAATGGATTGATACACAATTAAACCGTTGACATTTAGAATATTAATTAGTAATAAGATGAACTTGAGAATATCTCTCATCATTTTTCTAAATATTTTGATGTTGATTAAAACAGTGAAAAACGTCAATTATGAGCTTCATTAATCCTAGTCCTCCCGTGCTCTTTTAGGATTTTTTTGCAATTAGCCCTGCAATTCAAGTTATGATATTTTAAATCTGATTTCACGCAGAGCGTATTAAAACAATGACCTTTTTAACTCTAACGAAAAATCAGAACTAAATGTCATACTCTGTTACGTATAAAAAAACATCGACTTCCGATGTGAGTAAAAAATGACTCATGCTGGAAGGACTAGGGTGAAATGAGCGTTTCTCGTCAACTGACACACGCATAAATACCCTCCGAAATCAGCTTAAGAAATTTTTCCTAGAACAAAATAACTGATGTTAAACTTAGAAATAAGCTACATGATCCTTTTTCTTTTTGTCTAGCCCGAGTCTCCGATTAGTACTAATGGTTTTACTCAGACTTTGCACCCGAAGATTCTCAATTTCATATGACGGTATCAAAGAAAAGATTTGCCGACGATCTCGTACACTGACTGACATCCATTTAAATTGTCAATGAAATCGAAAATAAATCAATGGTCAAATCTTTTCGTTAAACATATGTGGAAATTCAATTGTATTTTCATTTCGCATACAAATGAATTTTAAAGTTGCGAGAATCGAAGAATGAAATTAAATTTCTAAAGGCGTTGATCAAATTTATGTGGTACACAATGAACAAAAATGTTACTAGAAATAATTCAGTCGGCAGTTATTCAAAACATTCTCTTGATAATCGTATGAATGTGAATCAGAGAGTCGAATGATCTCTTTTTATTTTGAATTCAATAGTTTATGAGCGCAAAACAACAAAGCATCTTGTGACGATTTTCTTCGTACACTAATCTACAACGTGAATATACTGATGAAAGATGAGTTGATTTCTTCTTTAGATCAAGCACGCTCTATTGTACAATCTTCAGTCCTGATATAGACTTCGAAGTGTACAGTATCCCGTAATATAAAATCAGCTAATCATTAGCTGTGATCAAAAGGTTAGTATAAATGAAAGTGCAAATGTATGTATTCAGTATATGGTTCGATGCATTTAAAGTTTAGAAATTAAGTGCAAAAGTGAATGTTAATTATGAATCGTCGAGCATATTCTCTTAAATTTTGCGGAAGATTACTTTTTTCGAATAATTACTTTTATTGGAATAATGTTTAACGAACGATTTCACATATACAATAAACTATTTTTCTGTGTTTCTAATGGGTTTTCTTTGATGTTTCTCTTGTTTTATAATTGATGACGTACATTTGACATATTTTGTAATTTAATTTGCATGACATTTCCTTGCGTATTTCTAGCATCTGTAATGCCAATCTGCCGTTTTCTTCTTGTTATACAACGAAATAATTCTTGACGAAATTCAGAAAAAGTTACGAGATAAATTGGAAAATTTAAGATAGGAAATGTATAGAGGAGTATATTAAAACCCCTAGCTAAACGACGGCCCCAATCAGTTGTCTGCAGACTGGCATAGAAGTAAGAATAGATAACTGCAGACGGTGTTCGTGTTACCACATAGAGAAAACTCGTGACCACAAGTGTTATTGTGATAGGTCGATGGCGAATTTTCGAGTTTGTTATGGTTGTTATATGTCGTATTTTATAAAGATGATAAATTGAGATGAAATTGAATGTTAACATTAACGATGACGGAATTATATCATAAATAAATAAGTGTAATGTTTGAAATAATGGCAGAAATGTATACAATCGAGAATCAGTAACGATGTATCCATTAGCATTTTCATAACAAACAAATAGTAAAATGTGAAAATTGTAAAGAACAAAGATTGTTATAACAGAAGCAATGATAATCAAAATATTCTTTGATCGATTAAACCAAGTATTTGGTTGTATTCGACTCATGAATAAATATCGATCGAAAGAAACAAATACATGTAACCATGCAGACGCTTGAAGAGTCCAAAAATTGAAAAACCATGCAAATTTACATGATGCAACTGTGTATGAATAAGTAAGTGAAATATTATAAATGGTGGAAATATAACTTTCGAAAGTCCATCCATATAATCCCACAAAATCAATTATTGCTATTGCACGCATATAATGAATTACTGGACGGGCTGCAGTATTGCGAAATTTTGCTCGGCAAAAGACAAAAAACGTCGTGGCGTTAAATATTGTGCCCAGGATGACCATCAATAAGTTATAATAAGCTATCACATATACGCCTTCATTACTACTGGAGCTTTTATATGTTCCGTTTGAGTTACTTGTATTTGACATCAGATTTGTATTTGAAAACTTAAATAATGCAGCCTTTGCGACTTTCTAGCGACAGTAATATAATGGAAAGGAAAGAAGATTACTTCATTCGTTCTTAATTAGTTAAACTAAAGAGGATTTCTGGCATCCGTTCTACTTATCGCCATCTTTTACCAAATCTCGCTTTGACGTCAGTCGTAATCCCGAGATTTATCGAAGTAAAATTAAAAACTATCAGCATGAACATCAACCACATAAAAATAGCCTATTACGCAGATAATTCTATCTGACTTTCTTTGAGGTGAAATTTATAGAAGTAAGTCATCGAGCTCATTTTTTGATGACTGTAAATATATCTCATCAAACTGCGACTGCAATCTTCGGTGCATTTTAGATAAAACGCTGAGATGTTCAATTATAATTGTGATATATATATATTCACAAATTTTTGTACTTGGACAACTGAAAGAAAACGCAAAGTTTTGTGGATAATTATAAATAAAGATGCTCTGTTCTGCCTCTGTAGGAAAAATTACAGAAAATGTAAAGGTACATCTTCCAAAATGGTTATAATGCGCTGTATGATATCGATTGTAAGTCGCTCGGTTTTAGGAAAACACGTGAATGAAGATAAATGATTGCCAGTCATAAGGATTCCTTGTTTGTTCTTTTAAACTTCGTCGTTTTGAATATTCTAAGCATAAAAACCGGATAATTCTACTTATATACAACCAAACTTTTAATTAATTACTTAATTCTAATCAGTCTGTATGATTATGATTTATATTCATTACTAGATAGATAATAATAGATTCCATGTGATTCATTCTCACTAGTAGGTCCAATTTATTGCTGTTGAATTCACTTCTACGACGTATCAGTAGAATTCGCCTACATTCGGTCGCCGTAAAACATCACAACAAATTCCGATGATCCGACACGAAGCTTTGATCCCAGAACACTAATTGTATTACATCAAGCTGGTTGACTTCTTATAACTATTACCTGTTATATATAGATTTCTTTTTAGAATAAGTATGATTTGAGTCACTTCTATGTTCATGTTTCATATTATTGATTAATACTTTCTTCGTCCATTATAATAAATTTTCATGAAAATGAAATTTGTGTAATTAATTGTTTTATTAGTTTAATTCTTTTCTCGATGATATTAGTGAATTGACATGAATATTATCTAGCAGGTTATTACAACACGCATGGGAGGATTGATTCCTTTTATGATAAATTTATAGTGCGCATAAGATTTGCACTCATAAAACCTACATATGATATGAATGATACACAGATGTCCAACCTAGAAAGAGTTGTAGAATAATTTGAGCATATTATGAGATTGTTAAATGTGAGAAAATGAATCAGTTTACTTGAATCATTTCATAGTTTTCGGTTTGTTTTTTATTAAGCAAAAGAAGAAAAACGGAAAAAAATATAACCAAAACTGACGTATTATTTAAAAGGACGACTTTGTAAAATTTTAATGAGTAAATCAAAGCGAAGCCTCGTACATTGTAGAAGTCATGAAATGAAGACAATAACGAAGCGTTAAAATGATTCAAAGGCAGAAGAAATATGTCAGTCCTAATCTCTTTATTCAGCGATACTATTTTTTCATTTTCTCGCATGTTATCTTGTGCATTCGTGACCGAATAATGCTCCGATGATACAAATTTTCGTGCGATTTCTAACGGTTTTTCGTAGTAATTCATAATTTTGGAACAACTTCCTTGGCATTTAAATAAATATCCCAAATGTCCATAATTGGCGAATTTTTAGCACTTTTTCATAATAATTCAAAGCTAAATTATATTGATTCTTTCTCGAATAAATCGTGCCTGACGTATCATATGTCGCGACTAAATTGAACGAGTTTGGTGGAAGTGTTTTCTCTTCAATCTTCATTGCTTTAGTCACATAAGTTAAAACTTGGTCATACTCATTCATCAAGCGATAATTTTCTTCTCAAAGTCTTTGTCTTATTGTCAATGCTTGCCGAAAATATTTCAAGTTATCCTTTGACCCCTGGCATTTTAACGACGCCCGTGCGAGTAGACAGTTTCCTCAACGTATCCAGATTCGTATCATCATTACTCGCTAAACTCACATGTATCACCAACATTTGATCTTTGAAATGTTCGGTAACGTTTTTGATACAAAAGAGAGCATCGAGCATAATCAACACTTCATGTTCACTTTAGTACTCACCCTTTTTTTGTTGATCATATGAGCAAAGGCTTTTGTTCGTAGTTTTGGATTGATTTCAATTTCAAATAGCATCGCTCGCGTTTGATTTTGGCTTTGGAGAAGCTCGATCTTGACTAGTTGACAAAAAAAAACAAATTTATCGGCAAGAATCCATCGATGTTATTGCTCATGGGTTCAAATTCATTCATATTTATCATTTGTCGTCGATTAGCATTCAATAGAAACATGCGTCTCGAATGTACCATCAAACAGACTTATCTACGATGTAAGTCTCCTCGAATTCGTCGATGATTTTCAAAACTTCACTATAGTTCATGTATGTTTTCTTACAGACGTTGATGAGTTCTTTGCGATCAGTTTGTTTTGATGGTGCATTCGCGTGGAAGAACTTTGATGAACAATTGAAACCACATGAAAGTGGCATATCGTGCTTGTAAATTGTTACAAATGAAACTTATATTACCGATATTAGCAGATTATCTTCTGTTTCTGTTCGAGCACCATGATTTTTTGAGACATAATGGACTGATTCGACATAAGTTGTGTAGACAGAACTGAGCTACAAAAATGGAAGAATTGAAAAAGTTTCGACTACGGAAAACGATATCAATTGTAACAGATTGTGAATTGATGGAAGAATGTATCAAACAAATGTACCGAAAACGATCAGAATGAGATTTTCTTTCGCTGTTTTGCGAAGATATTCCTCACAAACTTCGACACTGTCAAATTGAATCAATACTACCATCAAACCAAATACAAATAAACTCATCTCGAGCAGCATTCATCTCTTTCAAAGACAAGTACTGAATGAAAACCAATGCTTTCTGTTTGTGCCTTTGTCAATATAGAAAAAATTCCTTCGCTAAGAAACCAATTCGTATGAAATTTAATCAATAGACAAAAGATAGAAATGCACTATCATTCGAAAATTTTCATTATTTCTAAAAATATCCGACGTCTTTTATTCGACAAACCTTATTTATATTTGAGTTCAGAGCAAAACAAATCTCAATCATGCAAAACATGACTTATGTTCGTTGTTGTACTGAATAACTGTGTATATTCAAAGAAAAACAAACGTTCTTTCTCGTTCTGTTGCATTGATATAATTACAACGAAAAAAACAACAACAGGTAACTGCAATCTTTTCTTAATGAAAAATACAAACACGTTGTTCTTTCAATTTGTTTAAAATTCAACAAACGACGTCATTTCATTGATTCGGTGCTTTTTTTTTCTAATAGAAATATGTGCATTTTCGCGAAAAGTCAGCGCTGTCCAATACATGTGACCCTATTATTTTCTTCTTCATTCTGTCTTCACTTTAAATGTCCTTAATCAATCTATGCAATCATTCATAATAGAAAACGTCACATTTCTCTTGCAGTCGAATATGATTTGATATTTTTCTTTTTATTTTTATTCATCGGTGTGAAACATCAAACATTTCGACTCTGTGCGAAATATTTTCATTGAAAAATGCAGACAGAATTATTCAGTTTGAGAGAGACTTTCTATTTGTTCGAAATCATATCAAACTATGAGTCCTATGACGCATATTTGGTTTTTCCCCTTCGAGACACGTTTGAGGAAGTGTAATGAATAATCGTTATAATAATGAGAAACATGTGAATATCGTACACACATTTGTTTATTTTTTGTTGATAGTGTTAAAATGACGAGCAAAGGTCATCGAAGAGCATCTTTAAAACAATTAAAGCAACGATTGATGGGTCCAGCAGAGAATGCGTTAATAGTCACATCGCAACAACATCTTGGTTATATGAAAGTTGGTGAAGTTTTGCATCTGCAAGGACCTTATATTCCTATAGAAAGTTTCATCTTAGCAGTTCGTCGCTTACAACTTCGTCATCCATTTCTCCGGAGTCGATTAGAAAGCAATCCAGCGAAACCTGGAACTTATCTTTTACAAGAAGATCTCTCACTCAATCTAAATGTTATCGAACTTTTGAGAAATCGGTCTGATCACGCCAATTTCTGGCGACAACAATGGAAAATCAGAGAAAAAGAGCCCGCAGTTATTGGACAAGGTCTGGCTGAATTTTGGCTTCTACAAGTATGTTCCAACATTTTCTTCAAACGAATTTTTATTTTAAATCCATGTAGGATTCGAATGATGATAATGATGATAGCAGTCCTCGTGAAATTGTAGTCATATGTGAACATAGTATCTGTGATGGTTTATCATTAAGTACAGTCGCACATGAGCTTCTTCTTTCGTTAAGTGAAGATGACACAAATATGTTTGAAACGTCATTGAATTGGCCGATAACAATGGAAGCTGCCGTTCGACGGACTCTTACCAAATGGAATCGTGTTCGAACGTACGGAAGATTTATTCCCGTGGCTTTATATTGGCGTGCGACGAGTTGTCGACGTACCGTTCGAATTCCTTTAACACCTGCGCATGATTCCATCAGTGAAATGGCTAAACATTGCCAAACCGAAGCTTTTTACGGTCGATTGAACAAAGAAGCTACAAAAAATTTATTAGAAAAATGTCGAAGTGAAGGCGTAACGATGACATCTGCTATTGGCAGTGCAGTTCTATGTGCAATTTCGAAATTAGTTAATACCAAAAAAGAACACGTCGACGAATTAGTTTTAGCTTTAACTGCAGATACACGACAGAGATGCAATCCCCAAATTCCCAATCATGATTTAAGTTTTCACGCGTCAGCAACTATGGCATTTACAATGCCGAAACGAGAAATACCAACAACATCAGAAGGCATGTGGAAATTAGCGATGAGATTCGGAACTCATTTAAAAAACTCACTCGATGCTGGACATATTCATGTTCTCGCGATGATGTTAGGAAGACTGTATCAAAAGAATATTCATCAACCGAATTATGCAGAAGTTCCTACTTGTATTATTTCCAATTGGGGTCGATTACCATTTCAAGAACAGTATGGGCGATGGCAGCTGATCGACACAACACCGTTCTTGAATTTGATTTTAACCGTTATGCCGTATATTTTTGTACAAACTGTGAATGGAAATTTAACCATTGGAATTATGGGTTCGGTTCCTACGATGCCTTCGAATGTCTTGGAAGATTTATGTAATGGAACGATCAGAAATTTACTTTTAATGATTGAAGAAATATCTACTTTACGTTTTTAAAAACGAAATCAGTTGTGTGTGCTTGTATTTATTTTGTAAGAATTTATAGAAAGTTTTATAAAAGCGCATAAATTTTTCGAATGCTTCGAACAAATTTCGGATTACTTAGTAGTGTTACCAGTGACAGTATAGTCTGGAAAAATGTTATGAACATCTATTAACTGGCTTTGTTGATTGATTGAAGTCATATTTTAAATGTCAGCCGTCGACATAAACTGTTAGTACAGTTATTGATCAGAAAAGTAGACTTGTTGCAGAGTTGGAACCGGTTCATCATATTGGAATTTTATATTTATATTTACAGTTTTTTTTTCCATTCCACCGTGTCGAATTTCCTTGAAATTCAAGACTGGAAACCGATCTGTGAATGATTTTACTGTCTTAGTATAGATAAAACATGATGTACATGAATGATTTTGCCAGCTTAGTATCTAGAATGAACCGAAAGAATTTTGGAAATCGTCGGGTCGAACCGAATGAAAAAAAAACTTGTCCGGTTCTAATCTACAAGGATGCAAGACCAAATACTTTGACCCTTTGTGTCAAAATCGGAATTCTTCATTGAAATCGGCGTGAAACTACCACGACGCAGCACAAAAATGAGTCCATTCGATAGAGCTCCTCGAGTCCTGATTCAAAGTATCATACGTGCTTTATATGACATTTCAATCTAGTCAAAAGTATTTGACAAACTCATCCCAAATACAAGGCGTGACCGGATGGAAATTAGACAAGATGTCATGTTTGAAAGTTGTAATTCTTAGACTATTCCTTGAAATTGCGCCGCTCAAAGCAATGGAGACTACTCACCAGGATAAAAATATCTACATTTTATAGAGTTTCACAAGAAATCTTGCTGCCTGTGTCGTATTATCAGGTAAAAAGTATAAAATACTGAAAAGTTCATTTATCCTGTTTCGCGTTATGATATTTATTGTGGCAAAGCTTAGGTACCTACAACGGTACGACCTCAAGGTGACAGAAAACATGCCTGAATAGATAAAACTGAAACATTTTCTTCACGTTTTTTATACATTAGTTGTTCCAGCTATTATTCGTTGTTTCAGAGCAACAGGATTTCGATTTGTGGCTTCAGTTGCCTTTAAAGATCGAATGTTCCCATCGATCTGACTTCCATTAGTCAGTGATTGATGAGTTCGCATCGACAGGCATTTGACTAGGCCTGTTGCTGTTAAAATCTTTTTAAATCCATATCGAGTACAACGTTTAAATTCAGCATTGAATTTTGAACTGCTAAGAGTGTATACGTAAAATCCAATCACACAATTAGTGTAATAAAGTGTTCGAGTACTATACCAGAATAGATTGTAAATCGCTCGATCCTGTGGCGAAAATTGTAGTTTAAGAAATGTCAATCCAAATGTACTGAACATTCTGACACAACAATATGGAATCGCAAGCAGAGTAGTAATCGTTACTTGAGTTAAAAGCATTCGAATCAATTGACGATCATTGAAGCGCAGTTGATCGTTTCTTGTCCTATCTTCTTGTGGGCCGACACGATTTCGAATTTGCCGAACATTGAGAAATGTTAAAATACCGAAAATGACCATAAATAGAATTGGTAGGATGCAAGTTGTCATAAGAAACAACATATTCAAAAAAATTAAATAGTCTGATGATTGACCATTGCAAGTGATCGGGCTACCGCTCGTATACACTCTATATACGAATGGTATGTGCCCATAGATTAGGAAAAAGGAGAAGATGGTGAATATAATTGTTTTCTTAGATATTGATGCATTGCTCATGCGACGAATTCGCGCATCATGTGAATTTAAGAGATATCGGTCGAAACTTGCTAGAACAATAAATCATAATACGAGACAGAAGACAGGATTTGCCACCCAGTTTCGTAGTATACACAAAGGATTATTGATAGTTGCGTAGTCCCAATTCCATATGTTTGAAAGATATTGATGAAGAATCGCCATATAGATCACAAATAAGTTGCTGATCGAAGCAGCCAGAAAATACATTGAATATGGATTGCTACGTAACGTCGACCGAGTGAACACAATTATGTTGAAAATATTTCCACATGTTCCAAAAGCAATTTCTAAGATAGGAGCAATGTGATTAATCCAAATTATAGTCAAATTGATATTTTCAATCACACTATCGATTGAGCTCGACATAATCTAGGTGTTCAATAAAGGGAATATGTTTATTGAAAACTATCTTGGTAAAGAGACTACGTCTGTTTCTGTTTTCAAAAATTAGACTGTTGAGTGGACTTTCTATCGTTTTGAATAAGTTTTGCTGACAGCTAATATGAACGGGTTAAAGCAAAAGGATTAAATTGGCGAATCACAGGCAGGACGGTCTTTTCAATATGCTCGCTTTTTAATAGACAATAAAGTGGCATGTGACGTTGGAAGAATTAAATCACTCTTCTATTCAGCTTGTGAAGAACCACTCATAAATTGAGAATTACAGACTTATTTCAAATGAGAAAATAAAAATTTCGGTCAAATCTCAGTGTTAAAATTGATTCTTCTCTAAATTAATTTTAAGTTCAGCCGAAAAATAAGACCGTGCTCAATGTAAAAGATTTACGCATATATTGTTCTGTTACTAGTGATGATACTGTACACTTACTTGTCAAAAGTAACTGCTTTTCGCTGTATTCTGAAAAGGTATTATCAAACGCGTCTGATATATTGTTATTGATCACGTAGTAATAAATTTTTATATACTTTCTTTTGATATATGAACTGCACTAAGCAAATCGTCTGGTCACACAATATAGTTCGTACTATATATAGCCATTGTGTCATGATTTACACCCCGAAGACACGTTGTAAACCAATTTATTTTGATCGAGTCGGATGTATTACCTATAGCTGTGATAGTTTCAATAAAAGAGAAGTCATGTGCTTTTTCATATAATTACGATGACAAAAAAGATTATCTTGTTGTTGTCATCTGTACGAGACATGATTTATAACATTAATCATACAAGTCTGACAAGATAATAATAGTAACATAGAGATAAACAAGTAACAGAGTAGAGTCTCGACAACACGAACACCAAGATATTTTTATGAACTGCTAATTTCTTATTTATTTCCATCGGAAACTGTAATGAGAGAGAAAAGGGAGAATGTGAACGCTATTTACTTATTCACACTCATATTTTACATCTATTCTCAAGATTCATATCAGTGATAGAGAATTGTAGACATCAAGAAGAAGCAAATGTATATTTTAACAGCAGACTATGCACTGCTGTAGCTCGACTTGAGTGAGAATCCTAGCTATACTGCTTTACTTAGACGTAAATAAAATACAGTGATTTAGAATTAAAATTTATTTCTTCAATACGAATGAAATGGAATCTTTTACAAGATGATCAGAATGATTCTCAGTTAATGCTAATAGAGTACATTGTTTTTGAAGATATTTCGAAGCTTCGGACAATACACGAAGAGCACATAAATGTGAGGAAATGGAACAAATTGTTTTCGATTGTGTTTCAAATATTCTCAATTGTTCGCATCGCAATTGCTCTTTCAGACGTACATATAATGGCGACACCTGATAAACACATTGGTGTGCTGTACATCGAAGAGGTTTTCCTTGCACATTCTGATTGGCGTTTTGATTATTTAATGTTAATGTATCTATTTCCATTTTTTACGATTCATTCCAAATCAAATTATTCAAAATTCAGTATCTGTTTCGAATCTGAACTCTCTTTCCTTTACAAAAAACAACGAATGACTCAATCAACTACGTAATATCTCTCCAATGAATACAAATTGGTACATGAATGTACTTTTATTTTACATTACTCATATTATACACCTACAGTTTATAATGACATGCTCACTACATACTCCCGATGCACTTTTTCAATATTTTTCTAGAAATAAAACACCCATGAATCAAGCAGTGTGCACCATGGCTGAAAAACTGAATATAATTATCGTAGGCGCGTCCTATCTTGGCAGTAAAGTTGCTCGAGCTCTCGCAAAGTCAATGCCTCAAGATTTAGCTGCAAANACGTATATATACGTCCAGCTACAAATTAACTTGTACTTTGCATCCTCACAACTTTTGTTATGTCCTTATGTGATATATATGATTACAGACAATGAATGCTCACATATAACATGGTGAGATATCATCTTTCATACTATGTTCTCATTTAAAATATTTCTAGAAAAAATATTTTATTAGTTTTTCAAAACTCTCATTTTCTGCTGTAATAACCCCGTCCCCAAGGGGTTAATTAACTTATCATTAGCTGCATATAGAATATTAATATTCGCAGTAAGAATTGGTCGAAGAGTAATCTATAGTGAGGAACTCGAGTTTCATGTTTGCTTTACTTAATTTATTAATTATTAACTCCGTGCGAATCAGAGATGTCAACATTCTCCATTCCCAAGCGTTGCATTTGGAGGAATGGAACAGATTTCAGATAACGTTTTATAGCATCTTCCCAAACACAACGAAGGTATTGACATATAAATATCTACAACATTAAGCAAAACCATCATCCGTTTCCTGTTCCGGGAATGAGAACGCTTCAAGCTTTCCTCGTTCTTCTTGCCGCATTCTTGAACGAAGAACGCCACAAAATCTTTTACTTTTCCAAGGAGAGGCACGTTTCACTCTTTTTTGTCTACTCGAAACGTGAGTAGACTACTAGAATCAATCAGTGTGGCCGTCCGACCGTTTACACGATAGCTTTCGATAGAAAAATCGGAACATAGGCAAAGTTAGCACTATATTCAAGTACTTCTTGTCCAGATTCGTCTGTTTACTTGTTTTGACTTTCAGGACGATTGTGTTAGATGCGCAATTTGTTGCTGTATCGAATAGTATCAAATTTGATGGGGGTAACCGTCCAAAAAAACAGTTTTTCACCCAGATTTCAGAAAAAACAACGTTTGTATTTCTTGTCCAGATTCGTTCTATGAGTTGTTTTAGCTTCAGAGACGGTCGTGTTTGTGTGCGAACTCAATTCTCTATCGAATGATATTATTTTCAGTGGGGGTTATCGGAGGTGATGGTGTTGGGTGTGTGGCCCAGGTAAAAAATCCGATCGGATTCCTGGAAACGGAATTGCATTGGAATCCGGCTAGAAAAATCCCGTCGGTTGTTGCAAATGTTATGAGCGATCTTTTTAGCTATGTTCTATGATGATCCTTAGAAAATCCACGCTTCGAATCCGTCGAATTCCTGTAGGATCTGATAAAATCCTATATTGGATCCGAGTATGGGATTGTTCGACCTGGGCACAGCAATACGATGAGCTGGTCAAAACTGCCATCTCGCGTTAACCGAGTAAACTTCCCCCAGCATCCTGTTGGTTACCATGAGTTTCTAAATCGCGCATCGATGTTTTGGAGGAAAGAATGGTTCTAAGACATAGCTGAAGTCGAATTCGCAATAGATTCTGTCATTTTATGAAGAATCATTGCGAGCTGAGATATCTTATGACCTGAATGAAGATTTCATTCAGCCTTTCTCCCTTTCCGGTTGACGGTTCTTACCCTATGTCGACCTTCCTCGGAACCTCAGAGACCGTCATGAAAAGTTTAGTGACGATAGCTATCACAGGGACTAAGTACATATTGAACAGACAGTCAGAAAATAACCTTTCTTCTTTATACATGTAGAAGATAATATTAGTTTAGGTTAGATTTTATCATACGCAGTACAAATGTTCTTATTATCAACAATAATCTTTATAGTTAGCCAATCGTATGAGTTTTTCTTTCTCCTAATAATTATATTTTGCAGAGAGAAAAACTGAAGGAAAAGAATATAACAAATGTTCATTTTATTCATTTCTTTGTTGCTGACAGAAATTAAAGTCGTCGTCTGAAAGACAACTGAAGACTTCATCGACAGATTAGCATGAAGGCTGCTACAAGTCAAACCAATATTTTCTCAATCGACACATTGTAATCTCTATAAAACTAGAATTGCAAACTAACTGATTAATATTTGTTGTAGGAGAAAAAACCTAGGAAAGAAACGACTTGTATGGCTGAGTATCGGTATAATTATAGTGATTGTAGCAGCTACTATTATTCCAGCAACGCTTGTTCTAACGAAGAAGAGTAGCACAACATTGGCAACTGTTGGAACAACAACGAATAGCACAACACTAACAACTGATGGGACAACAGTGAATAACACAACATTGTCAACTATTAGAACATCAACGAATAACACAACGCTAACAACTGCTACAACAACAGCGAAAAGCGCATCAACTATTACAACGGAAATAATCACGACAACACCTACTAGCAAAGGTAACCATGTCTATAGAAATTACTAAGAATAGTATTCTAAACGAAACTGTAGCCTGGGTACAACTTAATCAAATGAATGAGTTACGAATATATCACACAGCATCATTATTGCTCGACGGAAGAGTTTTGGTAACTGGTGGTGAACGCGAAAAAACTGGTTTGAATACTGCTGAGTTATTTGACCCAGACACAGGAATATGGTCTCTCGTGAATCCCATGAATTTCCATCGAGAAAGACATACAGCGTCTGTACTGAAGGATGGAACAGTTTTAGTCACAGGTGGTTTGAGCAGAGAAAATTCCCTTGTTAGTTCAGAAGTATTTCATCCAAACAATCAAACGTGGACAATAACAGATGACATGAATGATGGAAGATATGGTCATACAGCAACTGTATTATCGGATGGTAGGGTATTAGTTACTGGTGGAGGTGAGAGTACGGACAGGTAGTTTCGTACAAGGCTAAAAATGGTACTTTCACTGATTCAGTATGTAAAATTTGATTTTAGTGCCGAAATATATGATCCACTCAATAGAACATGGACAAAAACTGCTAACATGACACGACCGCGACAATGGCATCAAGCTTCCGTTTTACTAGATGGCAAAATCTTGGTTACAGGAACAAGCCCAAAAGCTTTACATGCAAATACAGATCACTATAAGGATATGGGATGCAACACTGAAATATATGATCCAGTCACAGAAACATGGATAAATATCACTAATATGCATGTATCACGATATTTCCATACAGCAACAGTATTATTAGATGGAAAAGTATTGGTTACTGGTGGAGTTTCTACTCTTGACATGAAAACTACAGAACTGTATGATCCAGAAACTGGGAAATGGGCACAAACTAGTAGATTAAACACTGGAAGAGGAATTCATAGAGCATTGTTACTAGCAAGTGGACGTATTTTAGTTACTGGTGGTTTGCATCGCCTACGTGAGACAAAAAATGTTGAACTATATGATCCGTTTAATAAAACATGGTCCCTGATCGATGCTATGAATTGTGGTAGATCTGGCCATACACTATTGACAGTAAGGAATGAAGCAGTGTTGGCTATTGGGGGTATACGAAGGAATATTCAATGTAGTGCTGAACTCTTTTCACCATGAAACTCAACCATCAGTAATTTTTTTTGTCAACCGCTTTCAGACACTTTATCAGTTTAATTAAACCTCGTTTCTTTTGTGCTTTGCAACAATCATTGCTTATACTTTGAACTCTACTTTCTATTCAATAGTTTGTATATGTATGAGGAGGAAACAGGGTGAGGGTGAAGATGAGTTTGAAAATAGGATTAAAAAGAAACTTTAATTAGAAATCTTTTCACCTGCCCACGATACAATTTAATCAAGATCATTTAAGATATCCACGGCGATATACTTACAATGGAAGTGTTCGAACTGTAAGTTGAATTTACCAGATATTTTTGCATCAGTAGAAAGCCCTCACCGCCAAACTAGCATTGTTAAAATATTACCGGTTGTTAGCGTACCCTTATGGAGATATTCGATTTTTAAAATATGCATGGCTAGGGCATATACGTACTTTAAGATTGTTTCTATTGATTTTTTTATACAATTAACCAGATACTTTACTTCTAGACTAGTAGAATCTTTGTGAAGCTTATTAATAGAATTAAGATCATCCCTAATTTCGATGTCTTCTGTTACCTAGCAGCGGCGGATTTAGGGGAGGGGGAGGGCGATGAGGGCTATCGCCCCCCTCCCCCTCCAAAAATCGTCCCTCCCTTCAAAATCCTAGATTCACCACTGTTACCTAGATGCTATCTAAATTGGAAAAGATACATAATATCTTTCCCAATTTATGCGCGCGTATAATATTCAAAACCGAAAGTGCATTGATGCGTCACTTGGTGGTCTATTGACCACTTATTTATGATTGGTGTTATGAAATCACAATGAAATATACTATCCAAGAATTATTCTCTTTCATTCTCTGCTTTATCTACCTATCAGGAACGTCTACTTAATACAATTAAAACATGAAATTATGAGTAGCTGCCTAATTCGACTTATAATATAAGTGACCAATTCCTAGCACTCTTAGGCATAGAAATAGATTTAGTTTTGCTTATACATACATCCAGGTTATTATGGCACGGTCGATTCCGGCCGGTTAGGTTCGTTCTCCGACCATTTCCTTGCCACCGGATTCCGGCCGGAAGTTGAAACGTAGGTTCCAGTTATTTCCCGACCGTTTCCTGCAAACTTCGAGCTGGAAACGGTCAGGAACTGATCGGATATTTCCTGTGCAATTCCGGCCGGAATCGAGAAGAGCTGTACCGGAACCGACTCAGGTTTCAACGGATCCAGTTGTCGGAATGATCGACCTGGGCATACTCTCACAACCCTGTGAGTTTAGGAATAGAAATAGATTTACTTTTACTTATACATATATCTACCCACGCCCACACCCTCCCTCACACGAATTCGCGCATCATGTGAACTTAAGAGATATCGATCGAAACTTGCTAGAACAATGAACCATAATACGAGACAGAAGACAGGATTTGCCACCCAGTTACGTAGTATACACAAAGGATTATTGATAGTTGCGTAGTCCCAATTCCATGTGTTTGAAAGATATTGATGAAGAATCGCCACATAGATCTCAAATAAGTTGCTGATCGAAGCAGCCAGAAAATACATTGAACATGGATTGCTGCGTAATGTCGACCGAGTGAACACAATTATGTTGAAAATATTTCCACATGTTCCAAAAACAATTTGTAAGATAGGAGCAATGTGATTAATCCAAATTATAGTCAGATTGATATTTTCAATCACACTATCGATTGAGTTCGACATAATCTAGGTGTTCAATAAAGGAAATATGTTTATTGAAAACTCTTAGTAAAGAGACCACGCCTGTTTCTCTTTTGAAAAATTAGAATGTTGAGTGGACTTTTTGTCGTTGGAAATAAGTTTTGCTGACAGCTAATGTGAGCGGATTAAAGCAAAAGAATTGGATTGGCGAATCACGGGCATGAGGGTCTTTTCAATATGTTGGTTTTTTAATAGACAACAAAGTGGCATGTGACGTTGGAAGAATTAAATCGCTCTTTTATCAAGCTTGTAAAGAACCACTCATAAATTGAGGATTACAGATTTATTTCAAATGAGAAAATAAAAATTTCGGTCAAATCTCAGTGCACAACTGATTCTTCTCTAAATTAATTTCAAGTTCAGCCGAAAAATAAGACCGTGCTCAATGTAAAAAATTTACGCATATATCCTTCTGTTACTAGTGATGATATTTTACATTTACTTGTCAAAAGTAACTGCTTTTCGCTGTATTCAGAAAAGACATTATCAAACGCGTCGGAAATATTGTTATTGCGATCACATAGTAATAAATTTTTATATTCTTTCTTTTAATATATGAACTGCAGTGGTGTATCACCTCTAGCTGTGATAGTTTCAATGAAAGAAAAGTCATGTGCTTTTTCGCATTATTGCGATGACGAAAAAGATTATCTTGTTGTTGTTGTCATCTTTACAAGACATGATTTATAACATTAATCATACAAATCTCACAGGATAATAATAGTGACATAGAGATAAACAAGTAACAGAGTAAAGTCTCGACAACACGAATACGAAGATATTTTTATGAACTGATAATTTTTTATTTATTTCCATCGGAAACTGTAATGAGAGAGAAAAGGAAGAAGATGAACGCTATTTACTTATTCACACTCATATTTTACATCTATTCTCAAGGTTCATATCAGTAATAAAGAATTGTAGACATAAAGAAGAAGCAAATGTATATCTTAACAGCAGGCTATGCAATTACTGTAGCTCGACTTGAGTGAGAATCCTAGCTACTGCTTTACTTAGACGTAAATAAAATAGAGTGATTTAGAATTAAAATTTATTTCTTCAATGTGAAGAAATGGAACGATCGTTGTCGATTGTGTTTCAAATATTCTCAATTATTCGCATCGCAATTGCTCTTTCAAATGTACATATAATGGCGACACCTGATAAACACATTGGTGTGCTGTATATCGAAGAGGTTTTCCTTGCACATTCTGATTGGCGTTTTGATTATTTAATCTTAATGTATTTATTTGTTCGAATCTGAACTCTCTTCCCTTCATAAAAAACAACGAATGATTCAATCAACCACGTAATATCTCTCCAATGAATACAAATTGGTACATGAATGTACTTTTCTTTTACATTACTCATATTATACACCTACAGTTTATAATGACATGCTCACTACATACTCCCGATGCACTTTTTCAATATTTTTCTAGAAATAAAACACCCATGAATCAAGCAGTGTGCACCATGGCTGAAAAACTGAATATAATTATCGTAGGCGCGTCCTATCTTGGTAGTAAAGTTGCTCGAGCTCTCGCAAAGTCAATGCCTCAAGATTTAGCTGTAAATCATCGTATTTTATTAATCGAGCGAAACTCCCACTTTTCACATTTATTCACTTTCCCAAGGTTTGTCGTCGTACCGAACCACGAACACAAAGCATTTATTCCAATGAGTAAACTATTCAATGAAGCACAATGCAACGCTCAAATCATCACTGCCTCGGTAGAAACTGTCAATGAGAGCGAAATAGTTCTCGACAGAGATACGCCATTTGGTCGTCGACTACCTTGGCATATCTTAGTCATGGCAACTGGTTCGCGATTATCACCACCTGCAAATATGCCAACAAGCACAAAAGTTGACTCAGTGCAATATTTAAAAAATCTACAAGAACGAATACGAACTGCGAAAAGTATCGCTTTAGTCGGTGGAGGTGCTGTTGGTGTACAGATCTCAACGGATATCAAAAGTTATTATTCTGATAAAGAAGTCCATTTGATTCACTCGAGAGATCGATTGATGTCGAGATTTGATGCAAGTCTTGGCGATATTGTTCTTCAAACGTGCAAAGAACTCGGGATTCATGTTCATTTAGGAACGAGAGCAAAACTGCCCGATACCGACGGACCATGTACAATAGAACTTCAATCTGGCGAAATAATATCGGTTGATCTTTATTTGAAATGCACAGGACAAGTTATTAATTCTGAACCGATTCGTGAATTAGCGAAGGAAAGTATTAATTCTGATGGAACTATTCATGTATTACGAACTTTACAAGTTGAAAAGCATCCTCGCATCTTCGCGGTTGGTGATGTGAATGATTTATTACATATCAAATCAGTTAGACCTGCAATTGGTCAAGTGGAGGTTGCTCAGAAAAATATAATTTCTCTTCTGCGAGGTCAAACTCCAGAAGCAACATTTGAAAACAATGCAGCAGGAATTCATCTTACTCTTGGACTTAAACGTGACGTTTATTGCAAACAGACTCAAGACGGTTCATCTCCAGCGGATATCGAAGTCGAGGATGATGAAGGACTCGAAGATATGGGTGTTGAATTTATGTGGAACGATCTGGGCGCGGATAAAAACGATTTCTGGGCTTAACTTTGTCAAACAGAAACATTTGGATGAAAATTATTAAAAATAAGTTTTAGCCCACCATTCAAGTCATATATCTTGACATTATCCATAATATATATTTTCAACGTTTTTTCTCTCTTAACGATGCAAATAAAAGAGAGAAAAAAAGTATTGCTAGGAGAATACTAACCCCAAGTATATCGAGATACGTTAGATGTTTGCTTGATCATTTACAAAAGCATTTAGACGATGAAAATTTCTAACGTGCGCATGTATGAATACGTCATTTAACTTGTTCCCATTTGAGGTAATAGTAACTTAAAAATCAAGTATTTTCTATAAGAAAAAAAGCGTGGACTGATACGTACATCATTCATTTGATATCGACAGTGGGAAAATTAACTCACAATCAGTCGATTGTCTAGTGTTCATCAATATCTATCAAAATAGAATCTATTCGAGATAGATATCCGTGACGAACATACAAAAATAGTTGAAATTCTTTCGACTAGAATTTACATATTCAATTTTCTTACCATATTATCATCTAATTACAACAGCGACGGTTACCATTTCATAACCAACTCAAGAACATAATATAAACAATTGTACAATGGAAATATTTGAATAGCTAAAAACTTCTGTAAAAACAATTTACTAATGTCAACATAGAATATAATGAAATTTGTTCATCTGATTTCGTCATACAACAACGGATTGGTTATCTCTTTGATGAAAGTGTTGGTTTTTATCATCCACTTGGCTTTCGTTGTAATCCAACGTTTAAAAAAAGGTCCAAAGTCAACTTTAAAAGTACGAATATTTTTATGTGCACTTACAGTATTTGTACTTGTTCGGATTATATATATCTATAGTAAGATCTGCAATAACTAACGTGGTTAAATGATGAAATTACCATAATAAACGTCATTCTCCATAGTCATACTTATTATTCTTTCGGTTTTTATTACGCAGATAGATTAGTTACGCATGAATGAGTAGTTCATACAATACGAAGGTTTACCTATATATGTCTACGGCTGGATTTTCGTTCGTAGAGATTAAATCTTTTGTACTTATAACCATTTGTCCGTATCGTGCATTTACGTCGATCATTATTCAGGTATACATACATATCGATAGATGATTTGGAATAAAATAGCGAAAGTTTTCGAATATTTTTTTAATTTAATTAATAATTTTTTTTTTTATAGATCATTGCAATAAAATCATACATGACTGTTGTTCTCTTTCCAAATCGGTAGAAACAACAAGATGTCAGTCATTCGGGTTAATGAATTCCAAGGACAAATCAGTTTTATTGTTGATACTAATGATGACGCAATAGACGTAAAAACAGTTGAAAATGTAGAAAGTAAACCAAATGAAAATATTCGATATTCAATATATAAAAATCTGCTCGTCATATCAATATCATTTCTTCTACAATACATTTCTTATGATTCAATCAAAAATCTTCAAAGTTCAATCAATAGTGATGCAAACGTTGGTGTTCATTCTCTATCAATTATTCATGGATGTTTTCTATTCTCATCATTGTTTTTATCACATCCAATTATATCGATCTTCGGTTTGAAATGGACACTTTTCATAGGTCAAATACCGTACGTATAACAACAACAACAAAACTTCAAAATTCTCATCTATTTTTCAATAGATTTCTTTTGATTATATCCGCAAATTATCATCCGGAAGAGTATTTAATGTATCCAGGTAAACAATTTACTAATCATTAGTTTATAATACATTTTACGTTCAATTTTAGCTGCTGTTTTTGTTGGTTTATCATCACCATTGTTGTGGACATCAGCATATAGCTACATAACAGATTTAGCAACTAAATATGCGGAGAAGACGAATGCTAAGAAAGAAGTGATCATTGGTCGATTCATCGGCATTTTCTATATGTTTGATCAATCAGGTATTCTCGAAGGCAATGAATGTATTTCTCATAAGTTTAAATATTTTTTAGCACAAATTTGGGGAAATCTTTTGTCATTTTTAATACTCTCACCTGAAGATGATTCTAATACGAATGAAACAATATGGGAAAGTAATTTCTCCATTTACGGAAAATGTGGTGCTGATTTCAGCGAAAGAGAATACAATGATACATTAAGTATTCATTCAATCGAGCGAAAAACCGTAAATATATACCGTCAGATTTGACTTCAACATGAAAATCGTTCGATTTATTTTCAATAGTTCAATACACTTTGTATTATNAACCGATTCGTGAATTAGCGAAGGAAAGTATTAATTCTGATGGAACTATTCATGTATTACGAACTTTACAAGTTGAAAAGCATCCTCGCATCTTCGCGGTTGGTGATGTGAATGATTTATTGCATATTAAATCAGTTAGGCCTGCAATTGGTCAAGTGGAAGTTGCTCAGAAAAATATCATTTCTCTTCTGCGAGGTGAAACTCCAGAAGCAACATTTGAAAACAACGCAGCAGGAATTCATCTTACTCTTGGACTTAAACGCGACGTTTATTGCAAACAGACTCAAGACGGGTCATCTCCAGCGGATATCGAAGTCGAAGATGACGAAGGACTCGAAGATATGGGTGTTGAATTTATGTGGAACGATCTCGGCGCGGATAAGAACGATTTCTGGGCTTAAATTTGTCAAACAGAAACATTTGGATGAAAATTATTCAAAATAAGTTTTAGCCCACCATTCACGTCATATACTTTGGCATTACTCATAATATATATTTTCAACGTTTTTTTCTCTTGACGATGCAAATAAAAGAGAGAAAAAAGTATTGGTAGCGGAATATTAACCCCAAGTATATCGAGATACGTCAGATGTTTGCTTGATCATTTACGGAAGCATTTCGAAGATGAAAAATTCTAACGTGCGCATGTATGAATACGTCATTTAGCTTATTCCCATTTTAGGTAATATTAAAATCAAGTATTTTTGTATAAGAAAAAAAGCCGTGGGCTGATACGTACATCATTCATTTTATATCGACAGGATGAGAGAACTAATTCAAAACCAGTCGATTGTCTAGTGTTCATCAATATCTATCAAAATGGAATCTATTCGAGATAGATATTCGTAATGAACATACAAAAATAGTTGAAATTCTTTCGACTAGAATTCACATATTCAATTTTCTTACCATATGATCATCTACAACAACAACGGTTACCATTTCCTAATCAACTCAAGAACTTAATATAAACAATTGTACAATTGAAATATTTCAATAACTAAAAACAATTTACTAGTGTCAACATAGAATATAATGAAATTTGTTCATCCGATTTTGTCACACAACAACGGATTGATTATCTCTCTGATGAAAATGTTATGGCTTTTATCATCCATTTGACTTTCGTTGTAATCTAATATTTAAAAAAGATCCAAGGCCAACTGTAAAAGTACGAATATTTTTATGTGCACTTACAATATTTGCACTTATTCGGATTATATATATATATATCTATAGTAAGATCTGCAATAACTAGCGTGGTTAAATGATGAAATGACCATAATAAACGTCATTCTCTATAGTCATACTTGTTATTCTTTCGGTTTTTATTACGCAGATAGATTAGATACGCATGAATGAGTAGTTCATACAATACGAAGATTTACCTATATATGTCTACGGATGGATTTTCGTTCGAAGAGAGTAAATCTTTTGTACTTATAGCCATTTGTCCGTATCGTGCATTTACGTCGATTATTATTCAGGTATGCATACGTATCGATAGATAATTTGGAATAAAATAGCGAAAGTTTTCGAATATTTTTTTCTCTAATTTAAAATTTTTCTTCTAGATCATTGCAATAACATCATACATGACTGTTGTTCTCTTTCCAAATCGGTAGAAATAACAAGATGTCAGTCATTCGGGTTAATGAATTTCAAGGGCAAATCAGTTTTATTGTTGATACTAATGATGACGCAGTAGACGTAATAGCAGTTGAAAATGTTGAAAGTAAACCAAATGAAAATATTCGATATTCAACATATAAAAATCTGCTCGTCATATCGATATCATTTCTTCTACAATACATTTCTTATGATTCAATTAAAAATCTTCAAAGTTCAATCAATAGTGATGCAAACGTTGGTGTTCATTCTCTATCAATTATTCATGGATGTTTTCTATTCTCATCATTATTTTTATCACATCCAATTATATCGATATTCGGTTTGAAATGGACACTTTTCATAGGTCAAATACCGTACGTATAACAACAACAAAGCAAACTTCAAAATTCTCATATAATTTCTCAATAGATTTCTCTTGATCATATCCGCAAATTTTCATCCGGAAGAGTATTTAATGTATCCAGGTAAACAATTTATTACTCATTAGTTTAGAATACATTTTGCGTTCAATTTTAGCTGCTGTTTTTGTTGGTTTGTCATCACCGTTGTTGTGGACATCAGCATATAGTTACATAACAGATTTAGCAAGCAAATATGCGGAGAAGACGAATGCTAAGAAAGAAGTGATCATTGGTCGATTCATCGGTATTTTCTATATGTTTGATCAATCAGGTATTCTCGAAGGCAATGAGTGTATTTCTCGTATAAGTTTAAGTATTTTTTAGCACAAATTTGGGGAAATCTTTTGTCATTTTTGATACTCTCACCTGAAGATGATTCTAATACGAATGAAACAATATGGGAAAGTAATTTCTCCATTTACGGAAAATGTGGTGCTGATTTCAGCGAAAGAGAATACAATGATACATTAAGTATTCATTCAATCGAGCGAAAAACCGTAAATATATACCGTCAGATTTGACTTCAACATGAAAATCGTTCGATTTATTTTCAATAGTTCAATACACTTTGTATTATTTACATTTGTATCTGTGCGTGTTCTATTCTTCTAACGTTATTTTTTCTTGATCGGCGAGATGTGAAATCTCAAGGTAATATCAATGAGATTGTTCGCTAATTTCATTCAAATTCTCATTTAATTTCTTGTAGAAAAACTTTCAGTAATAATTCGCAAATCAACAAAATTGTTTATCTCAACAATCAAACAAATTGGCAATCGAATTCAAATATTTCTCATACCAATAACAATCTTAATCGGTCTTGAACAAGCATTTATATCAGCTATGTTTTCCAAAGCTTTTGTCAGCTGTACAAACAATCCGAAATACGTTGGATTAGTTTTTATCGTTTATGGTGTTTGTAATTCACTTGGGTGTTTCAGTTTCGGTCATTTAATTAAGTTTATTGGACGTTGTCCAATATTTTTATGTGCGTTTTTAATTGATTGCATTTTGATAATAGTTATGCTAATTTGGAAACCAGCAGAGAATACGTTGATCATTCTATGTGTTATTATTGCTTTTTGGGGTATAACAGATGGAATATGGTTAACGCAAATCACTGTTTTATATGGAATTTTATTTCCGGATAAAAATGAAATTGGATTTTTGAATTTTTGTCTTTGGGAATCGGTGGGTTATCTTGTATTTTATTTATTAATGCCATTTATTCGCATCAGAATTGCTCTAATCATTCTTTTGATTGATCTTGTCTTGAGTATAGTTGGATATGGAATAATTAAATATCGATGGATAACCAAACAAGATGAAAATACGGAAAATAGACCATAAATTGTTCTTTTATTTATTTATAATCCCGCAGTTTCGTCTTTTTCAATAGACAGAACGAGCATTCTTTTTCTTTTTCTTCTATTCACATATTCATAGTATTTTTGCATAAATAAATATGATTTCTGAATTATCTACAGCAAGGTCTTAATACAAAAATGTCTTGGAATGTTTTCATTGTTCGATCTTACGTAAGACTGTTTCATATCTTCTGATATCCTGATCAGACTGCATTCTCATCTACAATGACGTTCTCATCCTTATGAATGAAATTGGCAGTATCAAAATCGTTGTTTTATGAGTAGAAGTGTTGATTTATTTTGATATTAATTTATAATAAGGAATAAAGTAAGACAAAATCATTATTTCTTTGTTGATAAATATAATTAAAGATAAGATAAAACCTCTGGTTAGAATACAAATGTCTAGAAAAGGATTTATCATAGTGTATATAAGCGAAAATCAGACGATATCAGCACACAAAGATCTGTAGTAGTACGATGTTGAATGGACATTTCGAAAGGAAAAACTGATGCTAGGCGAAAAAGTAGTTTTATTTATTTGTACCCATAATTTATATTCAGACATAGGTTAAGTTATACAGTTGAGTAAAATCAAAGCAAATTTATTTCTCTTTTCACTTTCACAGGACAACATATAATAAATACATGAAATCATAACTTTACGCCGTCTTACTATATATAAAAACTTCCTTTTATTAGTCCTCCTAATGTATGCTCGAATCTAAAATTGAGTTTGTAACTGACGTTCAATTCGTCTCTGTTCCATTGGTATTACTCGATTATTTCGGTAGTAAATCGTATCAAAAATGAGAACCTTAAATTGTGGTGTTAGAAATACTAATGCAATGCTAAATATGAATATACCGATAGCTGGAAACATCCATTGAATGCGATACATATTATACAAGCCCGATTTACTTCGATCGATATTTACCATAATAGTGTGAATAATATTGGGCATACCAGGCAAAGTCAGTGTATTGACAATAAACAAGATACGACGTATAACAGCAGAATCACGCTGCACTGTTCGCATTCGTCCGGTTTGATGTAAATTTGATGTTTGACGACGAATAAAACGCATCAAACTCATATAGATTAAACTTATAAAAATCACCGGAAAAATATAAATAACTATTCCTGTGCACCACATAGCAGCAGCCTGTTCATAGAGTATACCACAGTAATAGTCAAGTGTATACAATGTATAAATTATACCAGGCCATAGATATTGTGGCAAGACAAGAAGAAAGTCCATCATCCATTGAAATAGTATACATACAATATAAAATGTAAATGACTGTAACAAGAAAAAGAACTATTTTGATTCAATATACCTATATTACATACCTGAAAAATCCTTTTCTTGCTGTAAACTATCCTTGTATACCGATAGAATGCTTGAAGAACAAAACTATTACAACAGCAACCAAAAGTCGTGTAAATAAGAAAACCTTGAAAACGACATGTATTTAATTCATCTGTATTATTGAAACCAACCAAGCCGTATAGGTCTGCTCCAAGCACATGAATATGAACGAAAAATATGATAAAAGAAAACGCAAACATTGCTACATAGGTATTTAACATTAGAAGAAAACCAATATCTCGAGTGTTTCGAATGTGAATGAATATAATTAGAGACAAAGTAAATGTAACTAAAAGTGCTGAGGCACTGCTAATCAGTGTGATTAGAGTAAAAGAAACGTTCGGTAGCATAATCTTGTTCAGATCACAAGCAAACAAAAATGAGTTTAAACGAACGGTTCCAGTGTTTGGCAATAGCCTAGAAAAAAAATGACAAACATAAGAAAATACCGTTTACACCAAAAGTGTCTGACTAGTTTAGAATTTTGAGTTGAATCAACGATCAAAGAGAGAGAGGAATATGTTCACTCATTTTAACACTTCTTCTATTGATATTAAACTTCTGAATTCAAGAACCTTAATCGCATTGTTGATATTAATATCCACAAAACGATAGTTTTCTAATTATACACATAATATGTCAACTAATGTATTCTTGTTGTTTTAATCTAAATTTTGATAGTCATTATCTAGTCAAAACGATGTCAATGAAGAAACATGTTCTCCATCTCATAGAAAAATGGCATGCGTAAAAGACTTTTATGGGTGAAATATGTAAAAGAGCCATCCATGTGAACAAATAATCTTACAAAGTAATGTCGAGTTCTTTTTTCTCAGATAAAAGCCACTTTTTGTAGTGAATAACAGTGGATTTTCCGCATTTTCCTAATCTAAATGATGACGTTACATATTCATTTAAGCACAAAAATATGTGATTGCTAAGTGATCTATACAAAAAAATCTAGTTCAATAGAAATATTTCAAACATGTACTATTCGCGTTCTTAAAGATTGCCGTTTAATAATGACCTCTCTCAGATAGACAAGCGTCAGAAAAAAGACGTGAATATGACAAGATTTTAACGGAAATCAAATCGAGAAAAGCGCACAATATCAAGAGTTAATACTTGTTAAAATGCGTTAATCTCTGCAACTTTACAAACAGTATCCCGTTACACTTCACAGAATGAGGATAGATAGAGAGAGAGAGAATTGGACGTTTTGATGAAATGCTTAAAAAATCGAATTTAAAAAAATAGCTACACAAAGGCGCCCGTTTCTATAAAAGAAGCATGCAGCAAGTAAATAGGTATCGACCAGAAGAACGTTTTCGACGAATTATATTATGAAACGAAGTAGATGAACGTTTCATAGCGTCGGAAACCACTGCATTACCTATTCATTGAATAAAGGTTTTTAGAAGAAGAAAAAACAGACTATTTGATAAATGAAATGAAATTTATATTGGATTGTAGTACATTCAATGGAAACGGCATCTAAAGGTCAATGATAACCAATCATTGCATAATTCACAATGAAAAATACGTTGACGATAAAATGAAAAGTTCCTCTAATAAAACAATACTCGTCTGTCGATTCTACCGTGCAAAGGTCAAAAAGAGAACTGCTGAAAACGAGAAATGGCAGAGTAGAAAATAGAATGAGTAGGGAAACATCCAGCAGAGCATGAACAAAAAGTTACTTTTAAATTGATAACTTCATTAAATACAAACGATGTGCAATGCAATGAAAGTCGGTATTTCCGGAGAAAAACTAATCAGTTATGAAGCATAAAACTTAGATCTAGTATCACATAAAATCCAACTTCCCGCCAGTGAAGCGGTCAAGTCAAAAGAAAAACCATCTTGAGGTTGAGCGATAGTACTGATGAATTAAGGACACCGTTGAGTGTACAGTATTTTTCAACGCTCATACTTCAACTGACGCCTTTCATATACATCATCTAAATAGTTTTATATGTATCATAATGACATCAATTGAAAATGTAAGCTTTCAAAAGATGCTGGTTTTCGTTTAAGAAATATTTTTGCTTATTTGTATTAATTCAATACTGGAGACATTTTGCATGTATCGTAGTAAAATAATTATTTTTAATGTTGTCCTACGGTATGCTTCATATGAATCAACGTTTCACGTTTAATAGTGAGAATAGTTCTCGGTGTTGCTATCGTTATTCTAAAACAAAGAATCGCGGTTATAATAATAATTTTTGTTTCGATAAAGACAACTGAGACAATGAAAGAAACAACGACAAGATCTATGTGTATAAGTGAATTTGTACTTTTTTTGGGTCGCGATAAAATTAATATCGAAGTTGAGTACTTTTTTGACTTATAAATATTTTCGTTCAAATTTAGATCAAATTAGTCCTAAATGGGTGCAGAAGGCAATGACTATTGCGGATGGAAACGAATTTGGGAGACAATTAAATTAATTGTATTATCCTAGTGGTATATGTGTTGATGATGATCTTCAAATTATTTATGTTGCTTAGAAAAATGGCGAAACTGAAGGCAAAATTGTTGCAGGTGGAAACAGAGAAGGAGATCGACCTGATCAATTGGATGAGAGCCAACAGATGTAATGTGTTGCTAAAAGGATTGATTAACTCATTATCTGTGATCAAGGAAATAGACGTGTCGTCCGATAGTCACGTCAACATCGAACTGATCGACAAATACTCATTTCAGATAAAGACAGGAATGAAGTAAGACGATGGAAGTTACGCGATAGAAATGGAACAGTAGTAGCTGGTGGAAATAGTTTGAGAAATCAATTCATTTCGCCTTCTTACATGATTGTCGACTAAAATTCGACATTGTATATATCTGATTATTGCGATCCTCTGATCTTTAATGAACAGTTATTTATATTGAGATACATTTTATTATACAGAAAAAGGACATGAATTTCGAGTCTGTTTCAACAATGTTGATACAGATAACTTAGTCACTTCAAGGTAGGAATAAGAGTATAATAAAGAGCATGAAAATATTGCGATTTGCATAGTTTTGTCCACTGAGATTTTCCAAATTCCCAAACATAAGCAGAATATTTTCCTGTTCAAACTGATCGATCAGAAAACAGTCTCGAGTGGATAGCGCTGGTGAAAAGTCATGATAAGGTGTAATTCGAAAATATTTCGGCAACTCTGGACTATAATTTGGCCATGTTTTCAATGGTTCACCTACTGTAGCCATATTAATCCAATGTGAAATGATTCGATTGGAATATACTTTCGATTCATTATCCCATGTACAGTTATGTAAATTTGCTGAATACATTTCACTCATAGTTCCAAATACATATGGCAGCTCTGCTGTATGAATGCATAAGCCCTTACCTTCCTCTGTTGTCTTAGGAGGACATATTCCAGGATTACAATCCAATTGGTACCAAAATAGATTTTGTTGTTCATATGTCCGATATAAATTGTTGTATATACGACGAGTACTACAATCATAAACTAGATCCGTGTATAACAGTTGAATCATATTACAGCATCGATTTGAAGCGTTTCGATTCGATGAACATGTATTCATTCGAGAACTATTAACAAATGCATCTGTCCATTTTTGTCCGACACTCTGAGTAATAACTCCTATGGCAGTAGTAGAATTCATATCAGGATCAGAAGAACATGTTGCTGTTTCGTATTCATTACGGCCGATTATCATATTTATATTTTGATTGTATTTCCTTCTAGCAATTGCCAATGGGGGATATAATGGAAAAAAGTATCCATCAATTACTGGCTTTGCTTGACGGATGCCATATGCTGCAATTAAATCAAAGATCGAAGAATTACGCAAACATGTCAAAGTATCTCGATTTTTTATATTGGTACAATTCATCTGCTGAACAATTTTACTTGATTCTTTTAGAGCATCGCTAATATTTGAATAATATTGATGAAATCCAGCTGCACTTGATTGTGAGATAATATGTTGATACAGATCAGAGGATCCTCTCAATGCACCTATGTCAATCACAGCATTCGCACCAAGACTTTCTCCGAAAAGTAAANTAGTTATGCTAATTTGGAAACCAGCAGAGAATACGTTGATCATTCTATGTGTTATTATTGCTTTTTGGGGTATAACAGATGGAATATGGTTAACGCAAATCACTGTTTTATATGGAATTTTATTTCCGGATAAAAATGAAATTGGATTTTTGAATTTTTGTCTTTGGGAATCGGTGGGTTATCTTGCATTTTATTTATTAATGCCATTTATTCGCATCAGAATTGCTCTGATTATTCTTTTGATTGATCTTGTCTTGAGTATAGTTGGATATGGAATAATTAAATATCGATGGATAACCAAACAAGATGAAAATACGGAAAATAAACCATAAATTGTTCTTTTATTCATTTCTAATCCCACAGTTTCGTCTTTTTCTTTTTCTTCTATCTGCATATTCATATTATTTTTGTATAAATAAATATGATTTCTGCATTATCTACAGCAAGTTCTTAATAAGAAGTGTCTTGGAATGTTTTCATTGTTCGATCTGACGTAAGAGAACTGTTTCATATCTTCTAATGTCCTGATAAGACTACATTCTCATCCTTATGAATGAAATTTGCAGTATCAAAATCGTTGTTTTATGAGTAGAAGTGTTGATTTATTTTCATATCACTTTCTAACAAGGAACAGAGTACCAAAAAAAGACATTATTCCGTTTTTGATAAATACAACTATAGATAAGACAAAACCTCTTCTTACAATACAAATGTCTAGAAAAGGATTTATCATAATGTATATAAGCGAAAATCAGACGACATCAAGATCTTTTTCTCTAATAAGCACTATTATCTTGGTGACATTTTCCACCCACACAAAGATCTGTAGTAATACGATGTTAGTTGAGCAAAATCAAAGCAAATTTATTTCTGTTTCCACTTTCACAGGACAATATATAATAAATGCATGAAATCATAACTTTACGCTGTCTTACTATATATAAAAGCTTCCTTTTAGCCCTCTTAATATACGCTCGCGTCTAAAATTGAGTTTGTAGCTGACGTTCAGTTCGTCTCTGTTCCATCGGTATTACTCGATTATTTTGGTAGTGAATCGTATCAAAAATGAGAACCTTAAATTGTGGTGTTAGAAATACTAATGCAATGCTAAAGATGAATATACCGATAGCTGGAAACATCCATTGAATGCGATACATATTATACAAGCCCGATTTACTTGGATCGATATTTACCATAATAGTGAAAATAACATTGGGCATAGCAGGCAAAGTCAGTGTATTGACAATAAACAAGATACGACGTATAACAGCAGAATCACGCTGCACTGTTCGCATTCGTCCGGTTTGATGTAAATTTGACGTTTGACGACGAATAAAACGCATCAATCTCATATAGATTATACTTATCAAAATCACCGAAAAATTATGAATAAGTATTCCTGTGTACCACATAGCAGCAGCCTGTTCGTAGAGTATACCACAGTAATAGTCGAGTGTATACAATGTATAAATTATACCAGGCCATAGATATGGTGGCAAAAGAAAAAGAAAGCCCATCATCCATTGAAATAATATACATACAATATAAAAAGTAAATGACTGTAATAAGAAAAAGAACTATTTTGATTCGATACACCTATCTTACATACCTGAAAAATCCTTTTCTTGCTGTAAACTATCCTTGTATACCGATAGAATGCTTGAAGAACAAAACTATTACAACAGCAACCAAAAGTCGTGTAAATAAGAAAGCCTTGAAAACGGCATGTATTTAATTCATCTGTATTATTGAAGCCAACGAAGCCGTATAGGTCTGCTCCAAGCACATGAATATGAACGAAAAATATGATAAAAGAAAACGCAAACATTGCTACATAGGTATTTAACATTAGAAGAAAACCAATATCTCGACTGTTTCGAATGTAAATGAATATAATTAGAGACAGAGTAAACGTGACTAAAAGTGTTGAGGCACTGCTAATCAGTGTGATTAGAGTAAAAGAAACGTTCGGTAGCATAATCTTGTTCAGATCACAAGCAAACAAAAGCGAGTTTAAACGAACGGTTCCGGTGTTTGGCAATAACCTAGAAAAAAAAGACAAACAAAAGAAAATACCGTTTACACCAAAAGTGTCTGACCGGTTTAGAATTTTGAGTTGAATAAACGATGAAAGAAAGAATAACATGTTCACTCATTTTAACACTTCTTCTATTGGTATTAAACTTCTGAATTCAAGAGCCTTAATCGCATTGTTGATATTAATACTCATAAAACGATCGTTTTCTAATTATAAACATACTATGTCAACTAATGTATTTTTGTTGTTCTAATCTAAATTTTGATAGTCATTATCTAGTCAAAACGATGTCAATGAAGAAACATGTTCTACACCTCATAGAAAAATGACATGCGTAAAAGAGGCATCCAAGTGAACAAATAATCTTACAAAGTCATGTTGAGTTATTTTTTCTCAGATAAAAGACACTTTTTGTAGTGAATAACAGAGGATTTTTCTAATTTAAATAATGACGTTACATATTTATGCACAAAATATGTGATTGCTAAATGATCTGCACAAAAAATCTAGTTCAATAGAAATATTTTAACGGAAATCAAATGGAGAAAAGCGCACAATATCAAGAGTTAATACTCGTTAAAATGCGTTAATCTCTGCAACTTTACAAACAGTATCACGTTACACTTCACAGAATGAGGTGCTTTTCCAGGTTTTGTTTGTGTGGACTTTATAAAAAGCGCTTTTTGTTGAACCACTCAAAATTATGAATGATCATACATATAGAGAGAGAATTGGACGTTTTGATGAAATGCTTAAAAAGTCGAATTTAATAAAATAGCTACACAAGAGCGCTCGTTTCTATAAAAGAAGCATGCAGCAAGTAAATAGGTATCGACCAGAAAAACGTTTCATAGCGTCGGAAGCCGCTGCGTTGTCTATTCATTAGATAAAGGAGGTTTTTAGAAGGAAAAAAAAACAGACTATTTGATAAATGAAATGATATTTATATTTGCTTGTAGTACATTCAATGGAAACGGCATCTAAAGGTCAATGATAGCCAATCACTGCATGATTCACAATGAAAAATACGTTGACGATTCTGCCGTGCAAACATCAAAACGAGAAATGGCAGAGCAGAAAATAGAACAAGTAGGAAAACATCCAACAGAGCATGAAGAAAAAGTTATTTCTAAATTGATAACTTCATTAAATGCAAAAGATGTGCAATGCAATGAAAGCCAGTATTTCCGGAGAGAAACTAATCAGTTATGAAGCATAAAACTTAGATTCAGTATCACATAAAATCCGACTTCCGCCCATTCAAGCGATCAAGTCAAAAGAAAAACAGTTTAATCATTTCCATTGTGAATCTATATCATATAAATAACTTCGTAGATTTTTGTTCTTGTTAGAATGATGAGATACGAATGCATGCGAAAGAAATCTTATAACTCTATAAAAAATTTTGAAAAAGCACAGAATATAATCCTTCTTCATTCGAATCGTTTCGACTAGGCAATGACTATCTTGAGGATGAGCGATAGTACTGATGAATTAAGGACACTGTTGAGCGTACAGAATTTTTCAATTCTCATACTTTAGCTCACGCCTTTCATATACATCGCATCTAGATAGTTTTATACGTATCACAATGGCATAAATTGAAAATGTAAGCTTTCAAAGATGCTGGTTTTCGTTCAAGGAATACCTTTGATTATTTGTATGAATTCACTACTGGAGGTATTTTTAATGTTGTCCTGCGATATGCTTCATATATATCGACGTTTTACATTTAATAGTATCAATATTTAGGTTTCGTTGAGTTAAAATGTTATTTCATACAAGATAAATGTTGCTACAATAAAAAAACTGATCTACTGTTGAATGAAAGCTTTTTCTTCTTTTCACTTGCACTGATGTAATCAAATCTGTTGTTTTAATCTTCATTTACAATGTTTCGAAAGTAAATATATAACACAGAATTGTCTATGTGATGTTTGAGTAAAATCGATCTACTCAATAAATGCAAGATTGGATTTTATAGGAATAACTGTTGTTTCGATAAAGACAACTGAGTCAATGAAATAAATAACAACAAGATCTATGTATATAATTGAGTTTGTACTTTTTCGATCGCGATAAAATGAATATCGAAGTTGAGCACTTTTTTGTCTCATAAATATTTTCGTTAAAATTTAGATCAAACTAGTCTTAAATAGGTGCAGAATGCAATGACTATTGCGGATGGAAACAAATTTGGGAGACAATTAAATCAATTGTATTATCCCAGCGGTATGTGTTGGATAAAAGGATTGATTAACCCATTGTCTGTGATCAAGGAAATAGACGTGTCACGTCAAAATCGAACTGATCGACAAATACTCATTTCTGATATCTATTGCCGCGGGATTTAACAATTGATAATGATGGAAATCTTTACGTTTTAGATGAAGACAAGAATGAGGTAAGACGATGGAAGTTAAGCGATAGAAATGGAACAGTAGTAGCTGGTGGAAATAGTTTCAGAAATCAATTCAATTCGCCTTATTACATGTTTGTCGATCAAAACTCGACATTGTATATATCTGATTATTGCAATTATCGAGTACAAAAACTTGAGAGCCTCTGATCTTTAATGAATAGTTATTTATGTTGATACACATAGTTACTTCAAGGGAGGAATAAGAGTATAATGAAAAGCATGAACATATTGCGATTTGCATAGTTTTGTGCACTGAGATTTTCCGAATTCCCAAACATGAGCAGAATATTTTCCTGTTCAAACTGATCGATTAAAAAACAGTCTCGAGTGGATAGCGCTGCTGAAAAGTCATGATAAGGTGTAATTCGAAAATATTTTGGTAACTCTGGACTATAATTTGGCCACGTTTTCAATGGTTCACCTACTGTAGCCATATTAATCCAATGTAAAATGATTCGATTGGAATATACTTTCGATTCATTATCCCATGTACAGTTGTGTAAATTTGTTGAATACATTTCACTCATAGTTCCAAATACATATGGCAGTTCTGCTGTATGAATGCATAAGCCCTTACCTTCCTCTGTTGTCTTAGGAGGACATATTCCAGGATTACAATCCAATTGGTACCAAAATAAATTTCGTTGTTCATATGTCCGATATAAATTGTTGTATATACGACGAGTACTACAATCATAAACTAGATCCGTGTATAACAGTTGAATCATATTACCGCACCGATTTGACGCGTTTCTATTCGATGAACATGTATTCATGCGAGAACTATTAACAAATGCATCTGTCCATTTTTGTCCGACACTCTGAGTAATAACTGCTATGGCACTAGTAGAATTCATATCAGGATCAGAAGAACATGTTGTTGTTTCATATTCATTACGGCCGATTATCATATTTATATTCTGATTGTATTTCCCTCTCGCAATTGCCAATGGGGGATAGAATGGAAAAAAGTATCCATCAATTATTGGTTTTGCTTGACGGATGCTATATGCAGCAATTAAATCAGAGATCGAAGAATTACGCAAACATGTCAAAGTATCTCGATTTTTTATATTGGTACAATTCATCTGCTGAACAATTTTGCTTGATTCTTTTAGAGCATCGCTAATATTTGAATAATATTGATGAAATCCAGCTGCACTTGATTGTGAGATAATATGTTGATACAGATCAGAGGATCCTCTCAATGCACCTATGTCAATCACAGCATTCGCACCAAGACTTTCTCCGAAAAGTAAAACATTGTTCGGATTGCCACCATAATCACGAATATTCATATTTATCCAACGTAGTGCTGACAACATGTCTAAATAATAGTAATTCCCAGCTGTTGGCCATGTTGTCGGATTTTCTTGTGCTAATTCAGTCAAATACATATCACCCAATACACTTAATCTATAGTTAATTGTCACAACAATAACTGATTGCTGTGAAGGTGAATTAGCAATTATATTTGTACCATTATATAAAACAGGAATACTTTGAGATGAACAACCGATTTGAAGACCACCTCCATGAATCCAAATGAGGACAGGTAACGAAGACTGATTTGTTGTTTTCAATGGCGTATAGATATTCAGATATAAACATTGTTCATCTTGCTGTGGTATAATACCTGCAAAGTCAATTTGAGGACAACATGGACCGAATGATGTTGCTTGCAATGATCCACGTGGAAATACTTCCGATGCAAGATCAACTGGTGGTTTCCATCGTTCTACTTTTGCGTATTGAATTCTAGAAAATATGATATTAGCGCGATATATTTCAATCATTTCTCTCTACCCTAAATACTCATTGGAATATCGAGTTTGTCGACCATATACAACTCCTTTCCGTGTTTGGAGACTAACATCTGCTGCAATAGTAAGACTATTAATACACAATAAACTGAAATATATTAACCAACATTTGAATACACGAAGATTTTGATATGCCATCTAAAAGAGAGAAGTTGCGTCCTCTTTGTCTTCATGCACTTTAAAGTTTCTATTTAAGTAAAACTTTGACATCTGTTATATAGTGACACAAACCCATCATAATCTATCGAGAATAATTTGCAGCTCTCGTTATAAATTTTGTATAGTAATCGAAATTTCGTTGTCATTTGTCGTTTTGTTTTGTAGTATATTTGCATAGGTAAGAAAAAGAAGATAAATTTTGCTCTACTTTTTTTGTATATGATCCTTTTATAAATATCGGTTTCTTAATGTTATCACAAGATATCGATATGATTACTTAGTATTTTATTTTTCTTTAAGATTAAGACAATGTAGAATTTATCGGCATCTAAACCAAGATAAATTCATCACTTAGATGTGATTAAACTTTATTGAAAATTCTTTTTCGATGACTTTCATATTACATCTCTTTGGATGAGGGTGAGCATTAGCTAAGAAGATCATTTAGATGTTTGTCCATGTCATAAACATTGATTTCATCAATGGTTAATTTATTCGTCGTATTTTGTTGATTTCTTTGTGAGCTCCAGCCAATTCGTTCATTGAGGTTCTCTCGTGCACGCGCACTTGCCGCTTGAACTCGAGTTGCTCTAGATTTTCTTAAGAGTTCATACATTTTCAAACCATGTTCGACGGTATGTATTCGGTTTCCCCAATACTTAGGTGAGAATATGATTCCCAATGCAGCTGCATCTTCAATTGCCATACACGCGCCCTGACTTTGATCAGGCATCATTGGATGAGCAGCATCTCCGAGTAATGCTGCACAGCCCTTCACCCAATATGGATATGGCTCGTGAATAACCAATTTCCATAACTTGATGTCTTCGCAATGCTCGAAAATGGCCAGTAAATCTGGATCGAGATCGGGAAAACGCTCGATTAGCATTGATGGTGTTGCGCTGAAATTCCAGCCTTCTTCACTTTGATCATTGAGTGAAGCTGGATAAAAGCAATAGAAGGACACTATCTCACCTGCACAGCAAGGAGCTAAAACAATCTTATTAATTCCAAAACCACCCCAGAATTCAATTGCATTGTTGGGTGCAAAATCTTTCAAACCTAATTGTTTTACGCGCGACGTCGGAATGATGCAACGATAACACGCACTTGTCGACGGCGTTGTTTCAGCGACAATTCCCATCAGGCGACGCAGTGTTGAACGGACACCATCCGCACCAATGATCAAATCAACGGATATTGTTCTGCCTGTATCAAATGTGACAGTACGATGAAGAAAATCAATATCAACTGCTTTATGATCTACAATAATCGTTACTCCCAGAGCTTTCGCTCTAACCTGCAATTGTTCATGAAGATCAATTCGATGAAACATATTGTAGACATAACCCCATTTCTCTTTATAATCACTCAAATCATAAACATCATTGGGTGTGCCGTCTTTCCAATTGCGCATAATTAATTTCTTTAGAATAACAGACCTAAAGACAAAATGTAAATAAATAACAAATTCGTTGAATAACATATCAACTAACCTTCCAGCAACCGTGTCAACACCCCACTCTTCGAGAAATTTTGTTCCATTCGCAGCAACAGAAATCGATGCACCTACTTCGCTAGCAAAGTGAGCTCGTTCATAAACAGTGACTTCGTGACCATATCTGCTTAGAGCGATAGCAGCAGATAAACCGCCAATACCACAACCAATAATCGCCACTTTCAAAGGTACAAACAGAGTTGATTCTAGTACAACTGAAAATGATTTGATCGCTTGTGCCAGTTGTTGAATCGAAGGATTGGAAAATAAGTGAGATGTATTGATTGTAGGGCAAATATCTTTTCGAATGAGAGAGACTATTCGTAAAACATCTAGTGATGTTCCACCCATCTCGCTGAATGATTGAGTCACATCCACAGATTCACAATTGAGCACTCGACTGAAGATTTGACGTAAATGTTCTTCTGTACCAATGCCAGAGAAATGATGAATTGCTACTTGTTGTATTTGTTCAAGTTCATCCGGTAGAATAAGAGAGAGTTTACCAATCTGATTAGGTCGTAGAGTTGTTGCGAATATCTGAGAAAATGCAAGTTGAAGTCGTCGACCTATCTTCTCAATCGTGCTTTCATCGAAAATATCTCGCGATCCGTAAATACTACACAACATTTTTTCAGTTTCACTTGTTGGATTGTAAACAAACGCAACATCGAAATCAAACGCAGTCGCTTCGTGTAATCGTTCAACAGATACTCGTTCTAAATGTGTTTCATCCAACGAAAGTTTCTGCATGTCAGGAGATACAGTAAGAAGTTCAAATAGAACGTCGAGAAACGAAGCATTCGAATAGTTCACTCGAAAATCCGCAAGAATTTGCTGTAAGGGATAATGCGTATGTTGAAAAATTGCTGAGCAATTCTCTTGTACGTGCTCAATCAGTTCCTCAAATGACCAATGAGGATGAATTCGCATTCGAAATGGTAACGTAGCAACAAACATTCCAATTAAGCTTTGTAGTTCATTCCGATGTCGATTCGAATGTAAGCAGCTGAAGCACAAATCATCGTGACCATTATTTAATTTCCACAGAAATGCATAAAACACACTCATTGCTAATTGGAATGGTGTTACGTGGTATAGAGTTACGAATTGCAGAAATTCTCTGGAAATCTCATCGTCGAAATAGATTTGAGTGGCAGATTGAGAACCAGATCGATAGTCCGTGGACAAACAATGTCGATCGACAGGTAATGATAATGAGCGGGTGAAGTTATAATCTTTCAATTGAGAATACCAAAAATGACGCGATTGAGTCATATCGATTAAACGTTCGTAGACGGAAGTATCGATGCATTGAAGAAGATTTTCACCCATAGATAATGAAGGATCATCGTTTGCACAAGCAAAAGAAAGATCGTTGAGAAACACTGACACTGATATTCCATCGAATACTAAATGGTGAATTGTGAAGATGATCAAATCGTCCATCTTTAGTGTATCTTCGTTATGACGACGAATAACATGACAGCACAAAACACGTCCTTTGGATAAATCAAACAAATCACAACGATTTATGATCTCTTTCATAATTCCATCTGTTTCAAGATCGTTGTTTACATTAACTACTGAAAAACCATATGTTTCTTGATCATTGATATTGAAGCAATGTTGAATGATCATGCCATGCAAATCCAGGTGAAATCCTGTGCATAGAACTCGATGTTTTGCGATCACGGCATGCAATGCTCGATGTAATCGATCGATTGATAGATTCTGATCAGTCGATGAAATTCGATAAACTAATGGAATGACATTCATAACATTGTGATGTTTAGATGGAAAACGGATCTGTTCGTCGAGAAAAACTCGTTCTTGGGCGAATGTCGCTTTAGCTGAAATAGAAGTAATCAGCTTCAAACTTTTCTTACATTTTAATCTATACCTTCAGTGAGATGCAAAGCAAACCAGGATTGTTCATCGTTGTTTTTCGTGAAAATCGCTTGAGAAATCAAGCGAGAATGATCGACAATTGTTGAATGTGCAAAGAAGCTAGTAATCGAAAGTGAATTTATCTCTAATTTGAACGTTGTCTGATATCGATAGAAGAGTCTCATGAGAAGGAGAGAATGTCCGCCGATAGAGAAGATGTTTGAGTCAATTGGGATCTCATCACGATGGAAAATGTCGCACCAGAGTTGATGAACAATTGTTTCGATTCTGGTATTCGGTCTTTTCAGTTCGAGATTGATCGTGTTGCGAAATTCAGCAGGAGGTAAGCTTTTCCTATCGATTTTTCCATTGTCATTCCATGGGAATCGTTCAAGAATAACAAACACTGATGGAATCATATGAACCGGCAAATGAGATCGACAATGTTCATATAACTCATTTTCTGTCATATCCGAACTTTCGACATACGCAACTAAATAATCATTTTCTTTCGTGACAATACATGATGAGATTGTTGTGTTGAGTAAACATTGTTGAATTTCACCGGGTTCGATTCGTTGTCCGTGAAACTTAATCTGATCATCTTTTCGATTTTGATAATGAAGAAAACCATTTTGATCCATTCGAACAATATCACCAGTTTTATAAAAGATCTCATCGTCAATTTCGATAAAAGCATCTTTGGTTAAATCATCGCGTTGAAAATATCCAGTGAATACGCCAACACCTGTGACAATTAATTCGCCGATACGACCAACGATACACGGCTGAAAGTACTCATCCAAAATCAAACATCGATAATTAGGAATAGGTAAACCAATTGGAACTGTTTCTTGATCTTTTCGGACATCCACGAGATGGTATGTGCAATCAATGGTTGTTTCACTTGGGCCGTATGTATTCCAAACATGAGCATTTTTAAATAGATGACTAAATAACCTTTTAATTAGGCTCATTCGACTAACGTCACCTAGAATAATCAGATGCGAAAGACTTTATCCGATGCTGGAGATATCTTACCGCCGATATCGAGATTTCGTAGTGTGGATATGTGAGATTCTAATGGAAATTCACTCAGGTTGTTGAGATATGACGGAACGCTTTGCAAATATGAAATTTGTTTTTCGCTCAGAGTTCGAAGAAGGTAATCAACGTGAAGATTTCCTTGAGGATGAAGCATAATTAAACTCGCTCCGATCAGCAATGTGCCAAGGATTTCTTGCAGATGAACATCGTATGAGCACTGAGCCATTTGCACAACTGTATCTTTGTTATTTATCAAATCAATCGAAGAAAGTGAATGAATACATCCAATCAGATTGTCGTGTCGAACTTGAACTGATTTTGGAATTCCCGTCGAACCACTCGTAAAAATAATGTACGCGATACTCTCACGTGCAATTCTTATACATGATAAACAATCAATATCATCATTATCACTATACAACACCGATTCGAGATTGATCAATAGAAATTCTGCGTCGGAAAATTTCGACATTGTCAACCAATCGGTTAGAATAACACGACTTTTTGTCTGTCGAATGAGTGTGTTTAAACGATATTCCGGATCACCAGGTGACAGTGGACAATAAACACATCCGATCATTTCAATTGCCATAATACCGATTACCTAAACATAGGAATATTTTGAGAACATTGCCCTTCGACTAGAAACGTACCATGAATAAACTTCGTTCGACGCATTGACAGATGATATCACCCGGAGTGGTAAAGCTCAAGAGATTTAAAGATAAACTTTGTGTATAATATAGAAGTTCAGCGTAGGTGAGAGATTGCTTATCGAGTTCAATGGCGAGCTTTTGAGAGTATTTTGTAATTTGATCAGTGAATTTATGACGAATGGATGAAAAGGAAGGAGATGATATTTGAGTGTTATTCAAGGTTTTCATTAGTAACTGTTCATCGGGTAGTAATAAAGAATATTCACTTATTCCATTACCAGGAAAAAGGAATAATCGGTTCAGTAACCAATGAAATCGTTGCGACATCGTGGAAATTGTTGTCTGATCATACATATCCAATGAAGCATTGAATGTCACGGAGATCGTTTCGTTTCGACGATGTTCAAAAATTGAACACACCAAATCGAATTTGGCGATGTTTCCAGTGAAGATTCGTCGATCGATGAAGTGAAGTGAATTCTCTGGATCAATTTCGATATTTTGTTCAGTATTGTCGATCTTTGTGTCGATGAGAAAAAGCGTTTGAAGAAATGAAGATCGTAAATGTGGATTTAATTTCACCATTTCCTGATAAGGAAAATTTGAATGAGGAAAGATTTCCAACCAATTTTGTTGAATTCGTTGGCAAAATTCACGAAACGATTCAAAAGGATGAATTTCGACGAAAAATGGAATGGTATTTACAAAGAATCCGAGAAGATGTTCAAGTTCGTATTGGGATCGATTAGCAGCGACAATCCCTGTGCAGAATTCTAATTGATCATTGTTCGAGAGTTTGAAAAGGAAAACAAAAAATGCAGCGAGACCAACTTGAAAAAGCGTCAAATTTGATTGCGTTATAAATTGATTCAAAGATTTAACAATCATTCGATCTAAATCAAATGTGATTGTGTAACCTCTGCCTGTTTTCACCGAATAATTTTCTTGCTGAATTGAAGGATGAACTGATGTTAAAATTTCCTTCCAATACTGTCGAGCAATCGACCAATCCTCTAATCTTTCGTACTGGGAATAGTCAAGATAAGTAAGACGCTCATTTTCATCGTTAGACAACTTTCCGGTGAGGAGAACTTGACGAAGATTGTTGATGAACACTTGAATGGAATTTCCATCAACTGCGATATGATGAAAATTGAAAATGATCATGTCGTCACGTCTTAAATCCTTTGCGGATGATTGAAGAAGTAAATGACAGCGAAAAACTTTCCCTTGTTCGAGTTTAAACAACGATCGATTGGTTTCTTCATTGTAAAATATCGTTTCTATCTCAATGTTAGTTGTTACACGTGTCACTTGAATTGGATAATGTTCGGAGGACAATGGAAGAATCTTTTGGGTTAATCGATCTTGATCAAATGCCACGGCTGTACGAAGAATAGGGTTTTTATCAACAACAAGTCGAAGACCTTGACGAAGTCGTTCAATCGAAAATGAACTAAGAGATTTTAATTGGTAGATCAATAATTCATTGAAAACGGACACTTCTTCATGGAAACGAACTTGTTCGTCCATCCAAAGACGCGTTTGAGCAAATGAAGCGGTACCTATTTACAAAGGGCAAGATGAAAAACAATATAAATATTAGCTTTACCTTGTATTAAATGGAGTGGAGTCCAAATCGTTTTTAGTTTTGGTCTGCTATTTTGTAAGAGTTGAACATGATCGGCGATGGTTGGAGTGAGAAAGAAGTCGAGAACGTTGAGTTGCATATCGAGACCGAAATGAAACTGATAATAATTGAAAAACTGGATTAATGTTAAAGATGAGCCGCCCAATGCGAAACAATTCGCATAACGTGGAACAGAATTTAATTGTAAGACATTGCACCATAGTTTGTGGATTTGATCTTCTAATTCTGAGATTGGTTTGTCAACGATTTGAACGTTGTTGAGTAGTGATGGGGTTGGAAGCTGTTTTCGATCGATTTTTCCATTGGAATTCAATGGAAATTTATGAAGAATGATGATATGAGATGGAACCATATACTGACGCAGGTGCTGACGACAATGATTTCGAATTTCTTCAATATTGAGATCGGGACTGTGTGAAACGATATAAGCAACTAATGAATCTTTGTTTTGTGGAGATTTTATCACAAGACAACCGGAGATTTGATCCCGAGACCAATTCATAATTGTATCTTCAATCTCCGTTGTTTCAACTCGTTGACCATGAATTTTGATTTGAAAATCCGCACGTCCAGCGTGAACAAGTTCGCCTCGTTCGTTGTATCGAGCTAAATCCCCTGTTTTTAAATAAATCTGATTATCAATAGTAATAAGAATATCATTCGTTCGTTCTGGATCATTAAGATAGCCATCAAACAGAGTGGGTCCTACAAAGGAATGAAAATGAATTGATATACACATGATCGAACTATACTAGCGTTCACCTCCTATGAGAAGTTGACCTATCTGATTTGAATTATTCGTTTTATCGATAATGTCATCTTGTTCACTGACGAGTAAACAACGAACATTAACGAATGGACAACCAATAGGTATCGTTGTATTGTAAACATCGAACAGTTGACAACCAAGAACTCCATTACATTCTGACATACCGTACTGAGAATTGATTCGAGTAGTTGGCAGATTCAAATAACTCAGGAATTTTATCCATTGCGGAGGATTGATTGCTTCGGCTATAACATAATCCTTACATCATCGATAAATCTATTTTATTCACTACGTACCCGTTACGCATATATTGAGAACATATTTGAATGTATCAATTTGTTGACTGATCTCTAAAAAATCGATCAAAGCTCGAATAATTGCTGGACCAATGATCATCGTTGTGACTTGCTGATTGATTAGAGTCTTTGATAAATATGACATGTCCAAATGTCCACCAGGCCGTAAGAGTACAACAGATCCGCCCACAACCAATGGTAACGAAATTTCTGATAACTGTAAAATCCATGTACAGGTAGCAAGTTGAAGAACTTGGTCTCGAACTGTATACATAGTCGCGTTCCATTGGATATAAGCTGCATTACTTGCTGCAAAACTTCGATGGGTATGAAGGATTGCTTTGGGTCGGCCAGTTGTTCCTGATGTACAAACAATAAATGCAGGACCATCTTCTACACAATATGGAAGTTCATTCCTGTCTTCAGTTTGTGATGATGGGAAAAGAATTTTTTCTAGGAAAATGACATGCTTTACCATATCTGCTGGAAACTGTTTGAATGTTAATTGATGAACGAAAACATATTGACTTTGGATTTGTTCCAAGATGGAAAGAAGACGCGATGGAGAATCTGTTGGATTTAATGGACAATACACACCACCAGAACAAATGATACCTAAGAATCCACAGACCATTTCTAAACTACGTTCAACAAATTGATATATGATTTGACCTCGGATGATCTTTAAATTCTGCAAGTAGTCAGTAATACGTTCAACTTGTTCGATCAATTCACCGTATGTCCACATTTGAGAATCAAGAATCAGGGCGATTTTTTGGGGACGAACTTCAGCCATATGAAATAGCTGATGTAAAACATAGTATGATGACGACATGAGTAACTGTTTTACAGCAAAAATGATCGACTCATATATTGACATTCTGTTTGACGTAGTTTCAACACACGCCCTTTTCGAACTATCAAGAACACAAATTTCTCACCAGAGTAACATATGTGAATGTTAGTGAAGAAAAAGTACGTTACAGATATGTTTATGACGAAGCAAAATAGTTGTCGGCCTTCTATGTATATTACTCATCAATACTCACGTCTCCGTAAGTATCGTGAAAAAACAAATTTCAAAACGAAATGAATGTAAGTGTAAGTCTTGCATTGCAAGGTTACAGGAATGAATCTTTCTATTTCGATGTTTACACAGCAATTGAATTGGGTATGCTCTTGAATTTTTAAAGATGAGTTTTTCCCCCGTTGAAAAAGAGTTTCAATGGAAAACTAAAGGACGACTTTTCATTTTGAGAGTTAAAAATATTTAGTACAATCCTAAAGTAGTGAAAGAGGTACATTAGTGCACGGAGCAGAGGTCTAGCGTGGAATGTGTCGGTATTATTATCTTCTTCCATGCCTTATCCTCTCTTCTTACTTCAAATGACTACTAAAGATTTTTACCTGTTCACAAAAGTTCGAGCTGCACTCAGTATTCCAGCAAGAACTATCCATGATTAAGCTCGTGATCTGAGCACAATAGAACAGTGGTCAAAATTGTTTCGTGATGGCCGAGAAGAAACTCAAGATAGAGCACGAACTGATAGACTTATCACTAGAATAACAACTCAAAACATTGGCTGTGCAAGAAACGTGCCGTTTATGTGACATCGCTACTGCGGTGGCGAGTCCTAGTTCTGTCACAAACAGATCGATTCCATGAATTCTTCAAATCGAGATGAGCACAAGAAAATCGTCCAGAAATGGGTTTAAAGAATACAGCTGTGAGTAAATAATCACGTGGTAAGAAATGATGTATGGACGGTAATATCAGCTTGTGCTACCAGTGAGTTGTATACAAAAATGCTTTCTCGAAATTTTCCTAACTTATTACAAGGTGATGACCTATCCAATAGCGCAGAAAAGCATACTGAAATACGCTCTATCTAATGATAAAAAGAAGAACATTTTCTGGATCTATGTTTAATGAAATAATGTACCTCCCTAGAACAGTGAAAGAAAAAAAAATGTCTGTATTAGTTGTGTGACAGCTCTGAACTGTAGAACTGGTTACCACCGATTCATGTGAACTGACACAACCAGTTCATCAAAAGAAACTGGTGAAGATGAGACTGAACAAGTCTTTCTTTATCCAACTGATCACTCAGTTCAGTTCCTATTATCTGAAATAGGTCACATGAGTTCCGCTATTTAAACTGAACCGGAACTGTCACACACGTATTTATTACTTCATTGTCTCATTTATATATTTGATGATGAAATAAACGTTCGATATAATAATGTCATTACAATTAGATGTCTAATTAGAAATATAGTGTAGAAAGAATTTTAAATTTATTCTTTCGATCATTATCAATAATAAAAGAGCAATTTGTAAACAGATATTATGAACTATACATACAACAAATCTCTATAAGATAAAAGTTTGATTTCTTCTCATCATAATCGAATAACTTATTTTGATCTTTCATTATTTTCATTTCATTAACTTTAAAACATAAACAATAGATTTTATTTCGAAATACAATATTTTCCTTCGATATTGATGATACTCATGCAACGTAATTACAATTAAACTAAGATTTTTAACAATATATAGTTCACCATATTACTTTCAAAGTTGCTTCGTTACTGTTGACAAAGATCGAAGAAAGGATAAGTTTAAAGTTCGTTCTACATTATATTTCGAATTAAATATTCATTTATCCTGTCCTTGACAAATAGTTTCATCTTCAATTATAAAACCAACTTCTAAACAAAATCAAAGTTTTTATAACTTAATCTATAAATTAGATTTTTCACAACAAACACACATGAATAATAAATATTTTGTCATAATATCCTTTTACTTTCTTTCTGAAATAAAACACACATTGCTTGACACTTCTTGTATTTATTTCTTCCATGTTCATATTCGCTTTTCTAATTTTTCACAGTAAAGTGATCTACTGGTTAATTCTATGCTAGAGATGGTGGAATATACCCGTTAATTTGCAATTAATTAATTCAATAAGTGTTCAATATAAAAGGTTTGATTATCGATATAATTCGTAAAATAGAAGTAACAGAGCTCTAAAGCCTAGTGATCAATCCGTTAACAGTTAATTAACGTGTGTTAAATTAAATGATCCAGCGCTATAGTTCTAGCTGTGTCAGGAATTGTAGATTTGCACATCCGCTTGTTAATTTTTTTAATCTTCAAGTTTCAGTACGATACAAAAAATACAACATCGATGGAAAAAGATATTCTGTTTCAGAAACTGTATAATAAATTTTATATAATTATTTAATCTCTGCTGGATTTTCTATATTAATTGGAATAATTCGATTTGGTCGACATTTATTCCTAAACACATCATAGAAAACATATTTTGTTTGTCGACGAAATCTTTTCGAGGCAAAATTATAAGTATAAAATGAATTCTAAACAATTGAAAAGTTCAGTTTTATGGAAAAGAAATATAATTAAATCTTACTCCATTGCTTAGAAAACTAATTGTTAATGCAATTGCATTGATCAAACTCAATTGAGCAAGATACACTGGTTCACGATTGGTATTTAACGCTGAAATTGCATTTATTATTGAATATGGTGTATAAGTACAAGCATAAACACCAATTTCTAGAAGAACCATTGATGTTAATTGTTTATCTAATTCACGTCGAATAATTGGATTCGTTCGTGTTAATAAACTTCGTGCATTTCGATATGCTAAGAAACCAAAAATTACAGCAATTAATGGGAAAAGGTTTCCATATACTATGGAAAGTCCATAAACATGATATTGNTAAAACATTGTTCGGATTGCCACCATAATCACGAATATTCATATTTATCCAACGTAGTGCTGACAACATGTCTAAATAATAGTAATTCCCAGCTGTTGGCCATGTTGTCGGATTTTCTTGTACTAATTCAGTCAAATACATATCACCCAATACACTTAATCTATAGTTAATTGTCACAACAATAACTGGTTGCTGTGAAGGCGAATTAGCAATTATATTTGTACCATTATATAAAACAGGAATACTTTGAGATGAACAACCGATTTGAAGACCACCTCCATGAATCCAAATGAGGACAGGTAATGAAGATTGATTTGTTGTTCTCAATGGCGTATAGATATTCAGATATAAACATTGTTCATCTTGCATTGGTATAATACCTGCAAAGTCAATTTGAGGACAACATGGACCGAATGATGTTGCTTGCAATGATCCACGTGGAAACACTTCCGATGCAAGATCAACTGGTGGTTTCCATCGTTCTACTTTTGCGTATTGAATTCTAAAAAATATGATATTAGCGCGATATATTTCAATCGTTTCTCTCTACCCTAAATACTCATTGGAATATCGAGTTTGTCGACCATATACAACTCCTTTTCGTGTTTGGAGACTAACATCGGCTGCAATAGTACCACTATTAATACACAATAAACTGAAATATATTAACCAGCATTTGAATATATGAAGATTTTGATATATCATCTAAAATAGAGAAGTTGCGTCCTCTTCGTCTTCATGCACTTTAAAGTTTGTATTTAAGTAAAACTTTGAAATCCGTCATATAGCGACACAAACCCATCATAATCTACGGCGAATAATTTGCAGCTCTCGTTATAAATCTTGTATAGTAATCGAAATTTCGTTGTCATTTGTCGTCTTGTTTTGTAGTATATTTGCATAGGTAAGAAAAAGAAGATAAATTTTGCTCTACTTTTTTTTTGTATATGATCCTTTTATAAATATCGGTGTCTTGATGTTGTCAGAAGATATCGATATGATTACTTAGTATTTTATTTTTTTTTAAGATTAAGGCAATGTAGAATTTATCGACATCTAAAGCAAGATAAATTCATCACTGAGATGTGATTAAACTTTATTGAAAATTCTTATTCGATGACTTTCATATTACATATCTTTGGATGAGGGTGAGCATTAGCTAAGAAGATCATTTAGATGTTTGTCCATGTCGTAAACATTGATTTCATCAATAGTTAATTTATTCGTCGTATTTTGTTGATTTCTTTGTGAGCTCCAGCCAATTCGTTCATTGAGGTTCTCTCGTGCACGCGCACTTGCCGCTTGAACTCGAGTTGCTCTAGATTTTCTTAACAGTTCATACATTTTCAAACCATGTTCGACCGTATGTATTCGGTTTCCCCAATACTTAGGTGAGCATATGATTCCCAATGCAGCTGCATCTTCAATTGCCATACACGCGCCCTGACTTTGATCAGGCATCATTGGATGAGCAGCATCCCCGAGTAATGCTGTACAGCCCTTCACCCAATATGGATATGGCTCATGAATAACCAATTTCCATAACTTGATGTCTTCGCAATGTTCGAAAATGGCCAATAAATCTGGATCGAGATCGGGAAAACGCTCGATTAGCATTGATGGCGTTGCGCTGAAATTCCAGCCCTCTTCACTTTGATCATTGAGTGAAGCTGGATAAAAGCAATAGAAGGACACTATCTCACCTGCACAACAAGGAGCTAAAACAATCTTATTAATTCCAAAACCACCCCAGAATTCAATTGCACTGTTGGGTGCAAAATCTTTCAAGCCAAATTTCTTTACGCGCGACGTCGGGATGATGCAACGGTAACACGCACTTGTTGACGGCGTTGTTTTAGCAACAATTCCTATCAAGCGACGCACTGTTGAACGGACACCATCCGCACCAATGATCAAATCAGCGGATATTGTTTTGCCTGTATCAAATGTGACAGTACGATGAAGAAAATCAATATCAACTGCTTTATGATCTACAACAATTGTTACTCCCAGAGCTTTCGCTCTGATCTGCAATTGTTCATGAAGGTCAATTCGATGAAACATATTGTAGACATAACCCCATTTTTCTTTATAATCACTCAAATCATAAACATCATTGGGTGTACCATCTTTCCAATTGCGCATAATTAATTTCTTTAGAATAACAGATCTAAAGACAAAATTTAAATAACAAATTCGTTGAATAACATTAACAACTAACCTTCCAGCAACCGTGTCAACACCCCACTCTTCGAGAAATTTTGTTCCATTCGCAGCAACAGAAATCGATGCACCTACTTCGCTAGCGAAGTGAGCTCGTTCATAAACAGTGACTTCGTGGCCATATCTGCGTAGAGCGATAGCAGCGGATAAACCGCCAATACCACAGCCAATAATCGCCACTTTCAAAGGTACAAACAGAGTTGATTCTACTACAGCTGAAAATGATTTGATCACTTGTGCCAGTTGTCGAATCGAAGGATTGGCAAATAAGTGAGATGTATTGATTGTAGGACAAATATATTTTCGAATGAGAGAGACCATTCGTAAAACATCCAATGATGTTCCACCCATCTCGCTGAATGATTGAGTCACATCCACAGATTCACAATTGAATACTCGACTGAAGATTTGATGTAAACGTTCTCCTATAGCAATGTCAGAGAAATTATGAATTGCTACTTTTTGTATTTGTTCAAGTTCATCCGGTAGAACAAGAGAGAGTTTACTAATCTGACTAGGTCGTAGAGTTGTTGTGAATATCTGAGAAAATGCAAGTTGAAGTCGTCGACCTATCTTCTCAATCGTGCTTTCATCGAAAATATCTCGCGATCCATAAATATTACATAATAACTTTTCAGTTTCACTTGTTGGGTTGTAAACAAACGCAACATCGAAATCAAATGCAGTCGCTTCGTGTAACCGTTCAATAGATACGCGTTCTAAATGTGTTCCATCCAATGAAAGTTTCTGCATGTCAGAAGATACAGTAAGAAGTTCAAATAGAACCTCGAGAAACGAAACATTCGAATAATTCACTCGAAAATCCGCAAGAATTTGCTGTAAGGGATAATGCGTATGTTGAAAAATTGCTGAGCAATTCTCCTGTACATGCTCAATCAGTTTCTCAAATGACCAATGAGGATGAATTCGCATTCGAAATGGTAACGTAGCAACAAACATTCCAATTAAACTTTGTAGTTCATTCCGATATCGATTCGAATGTAAACAGCTGAAGCACAAATCACTGTGACCATTAGATAATTTCCACAGAAATACATAAAACACACTCATTGCTAATTGGAATGGTGTTACGTGGTATAGAGTTACGAATTGCAGAAATTCTCTGGAAATCTCATCGTCGAAATAGATTTGAGTGGCAGATTGAGAACCAGATCGATAGTCCATGGATAAACAATGTCGATCAACAGGTAATGATAATGATCGAGTGAAGTTATAATCTTTCAATTGAGAATACCAAAAATGACGCGATCGAGTCNCGATGCGAAAGACTTTAATCGATGGAAGGGATATCTTACCGCCGATATCGAGATTTCGTAGTGTGGATATGTGAGATTCGAAGGAAAATTCATTGAGGTTATTGAGATATGACGGAACGCTTTGTAAATATGAAATTTGTTTTTCATTCAGAGTTCGAAGAAGGTAGTCAATATGAAGATTTCCTTGAGGATGAAGCATAATTAAACTCGCTCCGATCATCAATGTGCCAAGAATTTCTTGCAGATGAACATCGTATGAGCATTGAGCCATTTGTACAACTGTATCTTTGCTATTTATCAAATCAATTGAAGAAAGTGAATGAATACATCCAATCAGGTTTCCGTGTCGAACTTGAACTGATTTTGGAATTCCCGTCGAACCGCTCGTAAAAATAATGTACGCGATACTCTCATGTGCGATTCTTATATGTGATAAACAATCAATATCATTATTGTCACTATACAACATTGACTCAACATTGATCAATAGAAAGTCTGCGTCGGAAAATTTCGATATTGTTAACCAATCGGTTAGGATAACACGACTTTTTGTCTGTCGAATGAGTGTATTTAAACGATATTTCGGATCACCGGGTGACAGTGGACAATAAACGCATCCGATCATTTCAATTGCCATAATACCGATTACCTAAACATAGGAATATTTTGAGAACATTGTCTTTTAACTAGAAACGTACCATGAATAAACTTCGTTCAACGCATTGACAGATGATATCACCTGGAGTGGTAAAATTCAAGAGATTTAAGGATAAACTTTGCGTATAATATAGGAGTTCAGCGTAAGTGAGAGATTGCTTATCGAGTTCAATGGAGAGCTTTTGAGAGTATTTTGTAATTTGATCAGTGAATTTATGACGAATGGAAGAAAAGGAAGGAGATGATATTTGAGTGTTATTCAAGGTTTTCATTAGTAACTGTTCATCGGGTAGTAATAAAGAATAATCACTTATTTCATTACCAGGAAAAAGGAATAATCGGTTTAGTAACCAATGAAATCGTTGCGACATCGTGGAAATTGTTGTCTGATCATACAAATCCAATGAAGCATTTAATGTCACTGAGATCGTTTCGTTTCGACGATGTTCAAAAAGTGAACACACCAAATCGAATTTGGCGATGTTTCCAGTGAAGATCCGTCGATCGATGAAGTGGAGTGAATTCTCTGGATCAATTTCGATAGTTTGTTCAGTATTGTCGATCTTTGTGTCGATGAGAAAAAGTGTTTGAAGAAATGAAGATCGTAAATGTGGATTTAATTTCACCATTTCCTGATAAGGAAAATTGGAATGCGGAAAGATTTCCAACCAGTTTTGTTGAATTCGTTGGCAAAATTCAGGAAACGATTCAAAAGGATGAATTTCGATGAAAAATGGAATGGTATTTACGAAGAATCCGAGAAGATGTTCAAGTTCGTATTGGGATCGATTCGCAGCGGCAATCCCTGTGCAGAATTCTAATTGATCATTGTTCGAGAGTTTGAAAAGGAAAACAAAAAATGCAGCGAGACCAACTTGAAAAAGCGTCAAATTTGATTGCGTTATAAATTGATTCAAAGATTTAACAATCATTCGATCTAAATCAAATGTGATTGTGTAACCTCTGCCCGTTTTCACCGAATAGTTTTGTTGCTGAATTGAAGGATGGACTGATGTTAAAATTTCCTTCCAATACTGTCGAGCAATCGACCAATCCTCTAATCTTTCGTACTGGGAATAGTCAAGGTAAGTAAGATGCTCATTTTCGTCGTTAGACAACTTTCCTGTGAGAAGAACTTGACGAAGATTGTTGATAAACACTTGAATGGAATTGCCATCAACTGCGATATGATGAAAATTAAAAATGATCATGTCGTCACGTGTTAACTCTTTTGCGGATGATTGAAGAAGTAAATGGCAGCGAAAAACCTTCCCTTGTTCGAGTATGAACAAGGATCGATTGGTTTCTTCATTGTAAAATATCATTTCTATCTCAATGTTAGTTTTTACGCATGTCACTTGAATTGGATAATGTTCGGAGGACAATGGAAGAATCTTTTGGATTAATCGTTCTTGATCAAATGTCACGGCTGTACGAAGAATAGGATTTTTATCAACAACAAGTCGAAGACCTTGACGCAGTCGTTCAATTGGCAATGAACTAGACGATTTTAACTGGTAGATCAATAATTCATTGAAAACGGACACTTCTTCGTGGAAACGAACTTGTTCGTCCATCCAAAGACGAGTTTGAGCAAACGAAGCAGCACCTATTTACAAAGGACAAGGTGAAAAACAATATGAACATTAGCTTTACCTTGTATTAAATGGAGTGGAGTCCAAATGGTTTTTAGCTTTGGTCTGCTATTTTGTAAGAGTTGAACATGATCGGCAATGGTTGGAGTGAGAAAAAAGTCGAGGACGTTGAGTTGCATATCGAGACCGAAATGAAACTGATAATAATTGAAAAATTGGATTAATGTTAAAGATGAGCCGCCCAATGCGAAACAATTCGCATAACGAGGAACAGAAGTCAATTGTAAGACATTACACCATAGTTTGTGGATCTGATCTTCCAATTCTGAGATTGGTTTGTCAACGATTGGAACGTTGTTGAGTAGTGATGGGATTGGAAGCTGTTTTCGATCGATTTTTCCATTGGAATTCAATGGAAATTTATGAAGAATGATGATATGAGATGGAACCATATACTGACGCAGGTGCTGACGACAATGATTTCGAATTTCTTCAATATTGAGATCGGGACTGTGTGAAACGATATAAGCAACTAATGAATCTTTGTTTTGCGGAGATTTTATCACGAGACAACCGGAAATTTGATCTCGAGACCAATTCATAATTGTATCTTCAATCTCCGTTGTTTCAACTCGTTGGCCATGAATTTTGATTTGAAAATCCGCACGTCCAGAGTGAACAAGTTCGCCTCGTTCGTTGTATCGAGCTAAATCCCCTGTTTTTAAATAAATCTGATTATCAATAGTAATAAGAATGTCATTCGTTCGTTGTGGATCATTAAGATAGCCAGCAAACAGAGTGGGTCCTACAAAGGAATGAAAAATAAATTGATATTCACATGATCGAACTAAACTAGCGTTCACCTCCTATGAGAAGTTGACCTATCTGACTTGTACTATTGGTTTTATCGATAATATCATCTTGTTCACCGACGAGTAAACAACGAACATTAACGAATGGACAACCAATAGGTATCGTTGTATTGTAAACATCGAATAGTTGACAACCAAGAACTCCATTACATTCTGACATGCCGTACTGAGAATTGATTCGAGTAGTTGACAAATTTAAATAACTCAGAAATTTTATCCATTGCGGAGGATTGATTGCTTCGGCTATAACATAATCCTTACATCATCGATAAATCTGTTTTTATTCAGTACGTACCCGTTATGCATATATTGAGAACATATTTGAACGTATCAACTTGTTGGCTGATCTCTAAAAAATCGATCAAAGCTCGAATAATTGCTGGACCAATGATCATCGTTGTGACTTGCTGATTGATCAGAGTCTTTGATAAATACGACATGTCTAAATGTCCACCAGGTCGTAAGAGTACAACAGATCCACCCACAACCAATGGTAACGAAATTTCCGATAACTGTAAAATCCATGTACAGGTAGCAAGTTGAAGAACTTGGTCTCGGACTGTATACATAGTCGCGTTCCATTGAATGTAAGCTGCATTACTTGCTGCAAAACTTCGATGGGTATGAAGGATTGCTTTGGGTCGGCCAGTTGTTCCTGATGTACAAACAATAAATGCAGGGCCATCTTCTACACAATATGGAAGTTTACTCCTGTCTTCAATTTGTGATGATGGGAAAAGAATTTCTTCTAGGAAAATGACGTGCTTAACTATATCCGCTGGAAACTGTTTAAATGTTAATTGATGAACGAAAACATATTGACTTTGGATTTGTTCCAAGATGGAAAGAAGACGCGATGGAGAATCTGTTGGATTCAATGGGCAATACACACCACCGAAACACATGATACCTAAGAATCCACAGACCATTTCTAAACTACGTTCAACAAATTGATAAATAATTTGACCTCTGATGATCTTTAAATTCTGCAAGTAGTCAGTAATACGTTCGACTTGTTCGATCAATTCACCGTATGTCCACATTTGAGAATCAAGAATCAGGGCGATTTTTTGGGGATGAACTTCAGCTATATGAAATAGCCGATGTAGAACATAGTATGATGACGACATGAGTAACTGTTTTACAGCAAAAATGGTCGACTCATATATTGTCATTCTGTTTGACGTAATTTCGACACACGCCCTTTTCGAACTATCAAGAACACAAGTTTCAAATAACATGGGTTTCTTTCTCACCAGAGTGACATGTATGAATGTTAGTGAAGAAAAAGTACGTTACAGATACGTTTATGAGAAAGCAAAATAGTTTTCTGCCCTCTATGTATATTACTCATCAATATCCACGTCTTCTTAAGTACCGTGAAAAACAAATTTCGATGTTTACACAGCAATTGAATTGGGTATGCTCTTGAATTTTTAAAGTTGTTTGTTTATTTTGCTTCAGAAATGATTAAAGATGAGTTTTTCCTCCTTTGAAAAAGAGTGCCGATGGAAAACTAAAGGACGACTTTTCATTTTGGGAGTTAAAAATATTTAGTACACTACCGCACGGAGCAGAGGTCTAGGATGGAATACGCCGGTATTATTATCCTCTTCCATGCTTTATCCTCTCTTCTTACTTCAAATAACTACTAAAAACTTTTACCTGTATGCAAGAGTACGAGCTGCACTCAGTATTTCAACAAAAATTATCCATGATTGAAGCTCGTGATCTGAGCACAATAGAACAGTGGCCAAAATTGTTTCATGATGGCCGAGAGGAAATTGAAGATAAAGCACGAACCAGTAAACCTATCACTCGAATGTCAACTGAAAATATTGACTGTACAAGAAACTTGCCGTTTATGTAACATCGCTACTGCGGCGGCGATGTCCTAGTTCTGTCAGAAACAGATCGATTCCATGAATTCTTTAAATCAAGATGAGCACAAGAAAATCGCCTAGAAATGGGTTTAAAGAATACAGCTGTGAGTAAATAATCGCGTGGTAAGAAATGATGTATGGATGGAAATATCAGCTTGTGTTACCAGTGAGTCATATACGAAAATACTTTCTCGAAATTCTCCTAACTTATTAGAAGGTGATGACCTATCCAATAGCGTAGAAAAGCACATTGAAACACGCTCTATCTGGTGATAAAAAGAAGAACATTTTCTGGATCTATGTTTAATGAAGGATTGTTCTCAGTATAATTGAAAGCAATGAATCTCTATATGAACCTATAATAATTCTTCGAATAAATGCTATTTAGGAAAAAACACATTTCCTGTGATCTGAAATAGGTCACATGAGTTCCGCTATTTAAACTGAACTGGAATTGTCTCATTTGTATATTTGATGATGAAATAAACGTTCGATATAATGATGCCATTACAAGTAGATGTCTAATTAGAAATAAAGTGTAGAAAGAATTTTAAATTTATTCTTTCTATCATTATCAATAATAAAAGAGCAACTTGTAAACAGATATTATGAACTATACATACACAAATCTCTATAAGATAAAAGTTTTATTTCTTTTCATCATAATTTGATCTTTCATTATTTTCATTTCATTAACTTTAAAACATAAACATTAGATTTTATTTCGAAATACAATATTTTCCTTCGATATTGATGATACTCATGCAACGTAATTACAATTAAACTAAGATTTTTTTAAATATATAGTTCACGATGTTACCTTCCAAGTTGCTTCGTTACTGTTGACAATGATCGAAGAAAGGATAAGTTTCACACTAAAGTGATCTACTGGTTAATTCTATGCTAGGGATGGAATATACCCGTTAATTTGCAGTTAATTAATTCAATGACGCATTTGTCACATTTGTGTGTTATCTAATATTTTCATCATTTTTACTTGGATAAAGTGACATTCATGCAATAAAACTTAGATTTACATAAGAAAATAAAAGAATAGAGTGAAATTTATGAAAGCAAAAGCAGTAACTATTTTCCCAAGTAACATAACATAGTGTGTTTAGTGTTCAATATAAAAGGTTTGATTATCGATATAATTCGTAAAATAGAAGTAACAGAGCTCTAAAGCCTAGTGATCAATCCGTTAACAGTTAATTGACGTGCGTTAAATTAAATGATCCAGCGCTATAGTTCTAGCTGTGTCAGGAATTGTAGATGTTGCACATCCGCTTGTTAATTCTTTTTTTAATCTTCAAGTTTCAGTACGATACAAAAAATACAACATTGATGAAAAAAGAGATCCTTTTTCAGAAACTGTATAATAAACTTTGTATAATTATTAAATCTCTACTGGATTTTCTATATTAATTGGAATAATTCGATTCCGTCGACATTTATTCATAAACACATCATAGAAAACATATTTTGTTTGTCGACGAAATCTTTTCGAGGCAAAATTATAAGTATAAAATGAATTCTAAACAATTGAAAAGTTCAGTTTTATAGAAAAGAAATATAATTAAATCTTACTCCATTGCTTAGAAAACTAATTGATAATGCAATTGCATTGATCAAGCTCAATTGAGCAAGATATACTGGTTCACGATTGGTATTTAACGCTGAAATTGCATTTATTATTGAATATGGTGTATAAGTACAAGCATAAATACCAATTTCTAGAAGAACCATTGATGTTAATTGTTTATCTAATTCACGCCGAATAATTGGATTCGTTCGTGTTAATAAACTTCGCGCATTTCGATATGCTAAGAAACCAAAAATTACAGCAATTAATGGGAAAAGGTTTCCATATACTATGGAAAGTCCATAAACATGATATTGATAGAATATTGAATTTGTTGCCATACAAACTGACGGGTTTATTGATGATAATTGATTGAAATAAATAAAATAAAGTAATCCATGACATACTGAAACTAATGTGATTATTATTATTGCACGACGAGCAACTCGTATATTTGAATATTGTCGCCACTGTGGACGAAAACATGTGGCTAAATATTGATCAATTACTGCTAAAGATAAACATAATAAAGCTGATATATTACATGTCGCAACAAGAAAGCCTCTTATTCGACAATAGAGAAATGAAATCGATGTAAAATTCATTGAAAAAGCCATAGATATACAGATAAATGATGTGGCAAATAATAATCGAATCAGATTGAATAATGTCGTAAACATTAAATAAGCTGAAGCAGAATTTTGTCGAAATGTCTTTAAACTGAGAAAAACAGACAGACTAAAACATTCACTTAAAATACAAACAAAACAAATTGGAATTGAAAAATAAAGAGCAAATTTCGATCGTGCAGAAGCAAGCGAAGCAATATAATCCATAGGTACGTTTGACATTTCGCCAGAGAAAGAGATAAATGACACGATTCTTTCCTTGTTTATTTCGTATTTCAAATGACATCAATTCTTTTTTCTTGGAAAATGCGTAAAGCTAATATTATCTCTTATCTTTGTAATCAGTAGAGAACAATTTCTAGCGTAAACTATACAGTACAAAAAAGTCCATTTATTTGTTATTTCCTTATGAGCGATCATTCTACGAACTGAATTGGAATATTAGCGTAAAAAGGGAGAGGTTAATGTTCTTAAAACTAAGCAAACAAAGATGATTCGTGTGTATTAATGAATTAATAGGATCGCGTGATAAACAACAAATTTTATGTTTTGTATAGAAAGATCGATGAATTCATGCATATTGTGTCAAATGTAATTATAGAACAACAAAAATGAAAGGTACCAATTGTTGTATGATGGTGAAAACTATTTTGCTATGCATGTGTGACGGTTGAACTGTGTTCGTTCTGCATCGCAACTGCATTATATTCTAATTGTAATGAAATGTATCGAACTTACGCTCCAGATGAGCACGAAGAAAGACCATTGCCCTTTTGAATATACGATTACGCTTCTATTTGATCGCTAGTTTTTTTTTTTATTGTCAAGCAGAATTATGAATAAGTGGATGAAAAAACAAAGCAGAAAACGTAAAACATTGAAAAAGAAATACTAATTCCGTTTTCTCTTGCTAATTGACTTTCAGTTACTAACTTAGATAAGGCGTTAGGATAATCTAATGTGTCAAACAATCACATGTATGTAATAGTACGTGTATCATACTTGGGCCAGGAATGACAGTTTTTCCTTTAGTCGCAACACCCTCACCCACCCTCGATATTATTCGCAAACGTAGGAGTCAACAGATAAAGAAAAACGTTTTTGCGTTACGATGACTCATAATTTGTGCATCATATTTTATCTACGTTGGAGAAAAGTAATTGAGTTACACCGAAAGTTTGTTTTATATCAAAATGAAAACGATGTAGACTGTTGATTTAGTAAAACTAATCCACTTCAAATATTGAATATCACAAAGTTGCAACTGGATTGGCTAATGTAGCACTATATTACAACGATTATGTTAGAAGAATTTATTTAAAAGCAACTGGTCCTTAATAAGCAGTCGACCAGATGGAAAGAAGCAAAACTTCTTATAAGATTACAAGCCAGAAAAAAAGTTAACTAATTTAATATATCAATCAAATAATATTTTTTCTGACTTGTGGGAAAAAAATTACAAGCAACATCATTTCTCAGAGGTCTATTTAGATTTCAACATTTGAAGTAGTAGACTTTTTTTTCTGATAGAAATTTCTAGATAAAATCCCATCAGAATTTTCAATCGAAAAATGGCTTTTCTAAAGCAAATTCAATTTCCAATGAATAAAATTGTTGCCTGTTAATTCTTTTTAAATGCTTCCGAAAGTTCACGTTCAGCTTAAAACTTAAATAAGAGATCTTTTCATTTACGTTACTTCTCTCCATCCCCTTCCTCCGAATAATTACTACAACTGCTGAAAGCTTTAACAGGCACACAGACAATTCGTCGCACAATGCATACTGTAATTGATTTACACTGAAAAATTATCTGTTATTGGTTGATGTAGCTGCATTACATATCTATGTTGTATACAATTTTTTTGTCCTGTATACCGATATTGTTTTTCGGCTCGAAATAATTAGAGGAGTTTTCACAAAATATAAATCACATAAACATCTCAATCAAAACGACTTCAAAGAAAATGCGCCAATTTATACGAACCGTAGTTTTCGACGTGATAGATGATATTTCTGCTCTGATTGCGATGTTCCAGTATGCAACGCCAATAGTTTTGAAGACAATCATACAAAGATACACTACTAATAGACTTTTGACATAAACATAGTATCCCCCCATGAAAAAGCAAAGATTACACCACAAGATTTCTTAGAACGAATTTCGAGTTTTGCAAAAAAATGCCAAGAATCAAACTGTTAATCTTGATAGCATCCATATCAGTTTATGTCATTCATATTACCCATATTGAGGGTGCGGATGTGTAAAGGTGATTTATTTATACATCGAGCTTACCCACACACTCTCATTGACTTAAATTCTGTATTCATTTATCTATAAAAATGACCACAGATAGCTCAGATTTTCGAAATAATGTAAATGCAGGACAATCTCGATCAAAAATCTCCTTTGCAATGATAGAAACAGATTTATCGTGTTTCACATTTTGAATCCCTGAACGGATTACACTGAAAGCTTTTTTTTATAATGACGAGCATAAAGTGATCAAACTATCGCTTCGTAGTAGTTCAGGTACTTTAAGAATTGTTACAGGTAATGGAAACTATGGATTAGGTGTAAATTCATATTTACTTGAGAGTTTAAATGGAATTTCCGTCGCTATGACGTTTGATTTAAATGTAGCTGATTTTTAGAACAACATAATTCAACGGTTTCAACTGTAACGTGCCATTGAATCAGGGTCAACGTTTTCGATGTATGATTGGATGCACAGGAACGAGTGGTTTAGCACTTAATCAACTAAAAATTTCACATAGTTTTAGATTCGACAGTTACGGAAATATTTTTGTTACTGTAAGTAACAATTCTCAAGTACAAAAATTTCTCATAGCTATAAAACTCGTGTAGGAAGTCATTATCAGAGTTATTATAAAGTCTACAGACGCTATAACTTTCTAAAGTCAAGCCAACATTAGCACGCATTCTTATGGTACTTTCTTGGTACTGATAATACGGTTTTTGTTGTGTTTAATTTTGGACAGAAGAAACATATCTTCTAATTTGGTTTTTTGGCACAATATCTTTGTTACAATTAATAATAATATTTATATTAGTGGTAAGTACGTGTCTCACTGAGCAAACTACGTTTCTATTGAGATGGCCATTTCTATTTTAGGAAATTTAATAAATAAGAGGTATATTGATAATTTCTTTTATTCGCTTGTGTAAGGGTGATAAGGTGATGAGGAAATTTCCGAGAAGCTATTTCTGGATGCACGCTTCTATCTTCTTCGTGAAAACATGCATAAAGATTATTTTATTGTATTAGTAATTTAGTCGAGGGTAGAACGAGTCAACCTCGACGAGCACTACCTCGCACATTCTTTTTGGTTCGTTGATAGATAAAATATGATAATATGTGCATACATGTAAATGACCTAGTTCATCCTACGCATTTTAACAGTAAAAGTAACTTAATATCCTTTCCTCCACGTCACTATCTTTGAGAATATTAATCCTTCGAGCTGAGAAAAAAAAACTATTATAATAATGAAAGAGGCATATGAAGAAAAATTAGGTGGATCATTTGGTAATGTCGCTGGCAATTTTAAACTTTAGTATACAATATACTCTCTACTCTGGCTATTTTACATTCATTTTTGGAATGATTGGCAATATATTGAATATTCTTGTTTTTACTCAATTAAAATTATTTCGCGATAATCGATCTGCTTTCTATCTAGTTGTTGAATCGCTATCAGATTTATTATATCATTTTATTTCAATTGTTGCAACGATTTTAACAGCATTGTATGGAGATGATAGAATCGGAAAAAATCTTATTTGGTGTCGATTACGATTTCTTTTAACACAAACAGCTACGCTAATGATGTGTTACATAATCTGTATTGTTGCTTGTGAACAATTCATGTCAACAAATTATCGTTTGAAAGAATTGTGTACAATTCGATTAGCTCGTTATCTCGTTTCTATATTTACATGCTTGTCGTTCATTCATAGTATGATTTTTTGTTTATTTCTTGAAATTCAACCAAATGTTGGCTGTATTATATTAAATTCTGTTTGGCTTAGATATGCAACATATTTTTTTTACCCAATTTTGATTGGTTTTTTACCTATTATAATCGCTTCATTATTCAATATTTTAGCGTTTCGAAATGTTCATCATATAGTTCGCCGTCAAATACCAATTGCTCGACGTCGATTAGATCAACAAATGACGACAATGGTACTTGTACGCGTTATAATATATGTTTGTTTTTTATTACCATATGTTATCTATCGCATTTATGCTATAAATGTTCCTGTTACGCAAAATGATCTTCTGAACTATTCAATACGACAATTAATTCAAACTTTATTTCAATCTTTATCTGCTGTGAACTTTACAGTAAATTTTTTATCGTTTTTTTTTCTTCAGATTTTACTGATAAACATTTTTCTTAACCGTTTGTTTTAGATTAGTTTCTATATTTTTATACTAGTATCACCACGATATCGTCATCAAATAAAATTTCTTTTGATAAGAAAATATTGGCGAAAATGTAAATCTTATTGCTGTGGAAATAGAAATCAAATTGGACCGATGGCAATAGATCCAATCGATGAAAATATAGAACTCGAATAAATCTTATCGCATATTATATGTTTTCTTATTTATATTTAAATAATGTTTCAAAAATTTTGATGTAACTTTCCAAATTAGTTATTTTCTCATTTATTCAAACTGAATCTATTTTAAACTTATATAGATTACTAAGAATTCTTAGTATTAGATACTAACAAAGTTTCAAATCCACATTTAATCTTGCTGATGAGATTCAATAAAAACACAGTAGTGTAATTTTTGAAAAAATTTCCAAAGGTTAAATTTGATATTAGAGTTATCCCTAGAGCATTTAATTATATATGTAAGGCAATGACGAGCTTTTCTTCACCTATACTTTTATTTCTCAATATGCTGATAATTAACATACATAAAGAAAAACATTACCCAGGCAGACAAGGGCTTGAAAAAAACGCGTATATACACGTATATAATCTATAAAAACGCCGTTTTCGCGTAACAACAACACAAAAACACCGTTTCAACGCTTTTCCATCAATTTTTCATCGTGCATTTATCGACGATTTTTTTCACCAATGCATTATCTTCGTTAGTTTGCGTCTTTTTCATCTATCAAATGTACACGGTTGCCAAAAATGTTTTTCCAGGGGGGTACAGCCCTAACGACTAGCGATAGAAACAATGAATTTTATACCAAGAGAAGGCCCGTCAAAAACGGGATCTAGAGGTATATTTTAATGCTTTATAAAAGAGGGCTGACTATAGAACTAAGGACAGTTGCAGAATTTTGAGAGTTACGATTGTACCGACTCTACAATAGAAAGTAATACAACCGTAAAGAAAATGTATATTATCGTAAAATTGATAGGGAATTTACCAGACAACTTCAAAACACATTGCTTGCATGTCTAAGGCAATGATTCTTCCATTCCTTTATCATTTATTTTGGTTCTCTCTCGCGAGCACGTGCTACCAGTCTTTTTACCACAAAAGAAACGAAGAAATAGTCGTCAGTCATGTTCGTATCGAGTCAAACTATTTTTGTGATCTTTGTTTCATTTGCTTTACTCTCATACGGCATCGTAGCTATAAGCAAACCGTGATCTCTTTCTGGGCGAAGTGATTTTGCTTGGAAGGTGAGTAAACTTCGTGTCTTTCAATCGTACCCTTTGGTGATGATCATGATAGATTTGTGATTTAGCTGGGACTGATTGAATATATCTAATCTGTGTAATGGCTGGGACTTACGACAATGAACAACAGAGAATTGCCGACCGAATTAAGTGCATCGCTTTCCGTGAAGCACGTGATGCTGGTGCAGCATTCATCACTCGACAATGGATCGCAGATAAAATCCATCGTTTGACTCGGTTTGCTACTCAATGGTGGGAGAAAGCATACGACAAATGCTTTGCTGATTATTCTGAATGTGGTCGTAATCTCAAATTATCGCAGGATAGTCAAAATATCATTCTCAATGCGAGTGGCAAGCAGAAAAAAGTTCTTCCGTTGTGGCAAGGGAAATTGCAGCGAGACAAAAAGAGTATGTTACACGAAGCACGATCGATAATTACCGACACCGGATGGGACTGAAGGCTTATCACGTTATTCAGAAACCATTGAAAACAGAAACCAATATTTCCGATCGTTTGTGGTTATGCGACTGGTTGAAGAACTGGACTCAGGAAGACTTCTTACACCTCGCACCAGCGGATGAATTTTATGTTTGGAGTGTTCGGAAGCCAAATTACCAGAATGACAGGATCTGGGCAAAATCTATCAAGGATATTGAAGAGCATGAAAGATATCGTGAAATGGTGAAAAACCAAGCATGCATTGGTATTTTCATTCTTTTTACCGCAAAAAAATTGCTTTCGGTAATAAAAGATAAAGGAGTACCCTGGACAGATCAATACTTTCGTGATACAATTTTAGTCCAGCACGTCTTTCCTTTTCTCAAAAATGAAGAAAACGTCATTGATGTGGATGAAGTGACGTTTGTTCACGATAAAGCCCCATGCATGACAGCAAATATGACTCAGCAGTTGATCCAAGACAACAATATCAATTTTTGGGGTAATAATAGGTGGCCAGGAAATTCACCTGATCTCAATGCAGCTGAGCGCATCGGATCGATACTGAAGGATGAAGTCGAGACAAGAATGTTATCTGAAGACAAACATGATCGTTATCGTGAAGAAACATTGAAAAACCACATATGCGATGTCTTAGAAAGTATGGAAACAGATACCGAGCTTTTTGAAAATCTGCTATGTTCGTATCCATCTCGATTAGAAGCTATCAAAAAAGCTAATGGTTGGCATACAGATTATTGATTATTTTTATTCGTTATTGTACCAGGTTCATAAAAAATAAAAATTGGTTCGATACATCCACCATTCTTTAATCATTTTTACTCAGGAATTTATCTTCGAAAACAACGTCTTATCAGTCGTAAATTCTTCAAGTTGTCTGAAGTTCCACAGTTCTATAGCTTGCCCCTCTCTCATAGGACATTGAAATATACCCCTACATCCCGTGTTTGACGAGCTTTCTTTTGGTATAAAATTTATTGTTTCGATCACTAGTCGTTAGGGTTGTACCCCCTGGAAAAACATTTTTGGCACCCGTGTAGTAGCATATTAATGAGCATAATTGTATTGTGAACAGTAAGTATGCTCACAAGTTTATGAATTCCATTGCGAACTTTTTCATTGATCACAGCTGTTATCTGTTCAAGCAATTTAGCCGCATCACACAAACTGTATGTAATAATTTGCGTATCATAGTTTGAGACTTTCGAAACATATGGACCCGTACGAAATCAAAACGAAAAAGAAATCAATGAGAAAAACATGGTACATTCTATCTAAACCTCGAATTCATCTCCACTAATTTCGTCAATCGCATAATTTCTTAACTTTGAAAACTTACACTACGATGAATGGAATTTATCCAAAATAGTATTACACTTTTTAATTTCAGAGAGGACGATTCAACACGAATGCCGAGCGACTTCCGACAGAGAGACGAGCAACCAGCTTCACCAAACCGAAATAGTAAATGAATGAAACCAGTTTCAACACGTGCAACTGAAAGCACATATGCTCGCATAATCTCTTACACAATCGTGATAACAAACTATGATACGTGCACAGTTCATTTGCTTCCATCCCATACCGTCAAGATCAGACCGACCATTATTATATGTTGCATGTTCACCTTCACAAGTATATTCATTCCAACTAATCATCCACCCCCATCTAACTCACGCTCCAAAACCAAATAATCACACAAAAGTGTATCTACATATCGAACCACATGAAAAATACATAAAATGTAGCGAATATCAACGATGAAATTTTCTCTTATCCTATCCATTACTATATCTTAAAATTTTCCGTCCAAAATGATTTGATGACAAAGAGCAATTAATTCTCAATCGCATTCGGCATTTTCACCTATACACAGATACCCGCACATACAATGCAAATGTGTATGGCTGCAGAGGAAACGAAATTTTCGATTTCGGATCCGAAGTTCGTGATCATCCGAGATATCGATTCGGGTCTTTTCCCGTCAGATAGAGCTTCTGATTCCGAGTCAGAATCTGTATTTCGACGGTTGAAATGCACATTGCGAGAGGGAGAAACGCTCTCCCTCATGTTCGTAGATATGGGCAGTTGAATATGTATCGACTGTTGTTGAGAATCTTAACTGGGAAGTCGATTTTATGATCGATTGTAGGTATCGTTTCGCAATTTTTTTTTGAAATAGAAATTGTGTTTCGCACTGACAAAGGAGATGTGATGCTCAGAAATGATGTTGTCAGACACAGAAAGGCTCACGGGTATGCGTACAGGGGAGGTGAGAATTTGATGATAAAGTCGAATTTTGTTTTTCTGTACTCAAAAAGTGAGTACACTATAGAATCGGTCAGTATGTCCGACCGGCCGGCCAGTCGTTAATCCGATAACTTCTGAAAAAATAATCCAATTGTCATGTAATTTGGTACATAGCATTATCTTATCAATGCCTCAGTCGAGTTCGAAGATGAGCCCAGTCGGCTGTACCCTTGCTGATTTTTTATAAAGTTTTCTCTAATTCCTATATGAAAAGTTAAATATTTGCGTGTTTATCCGCTTGTTTTCGTTTTGCATTTACTTTCTGTATCAGCTATGGTCACGAAACCTTCTGTACTGTTTCTTTGGATCCAGAAAAATGCTAATTGGCCAGTGAAGGGGTAGGCCTGGGCATGAGATGCCTAATTATAACTATAATATAAATTCGCAGTTGAATGAAAAACTTTACTTATAAAGTAAACCGTATTCATATTCCATTATTTACACGTTTCTAATTTATAAATGCATACACGGCTTGTCTGACTTTCACTACTGTGGCCAGAATACGGAGAATAGACAGCTGGCAGAGAATCCTCGTAACTGGAAACATTGTAACATGCTGTTTCTCGTTTTCGCACGCCGATTACTGCTCGAGATTGTAACATCTGTAATCCCCAACAAAAAATCCATGCACATTCAGCATGACGTAGATTGAGACTCTATCAGGTGCAAAACAGTCCATCAGGTCAAAGAAAATGCTTCAAAATCAGAGTTACGTTCTCTTCTCATTCGGAATCCGGCCTACCTGAATTCATTTCGTTCCTTTTACCGCTCTTGCTTATCGGTGACCATGACACGCTGTGAGTGTGGCTAGATCGAGCGGACGAGATGTTTCCTTTTATTTTCCGACTTCCTTCCTCGTCTCCCACGATTACTGCCAGCTGATGCCTAGATCCCCTCGATGAGGCCTTTTCTTTTTTCGACGCCGTTCTGTTTCATTGAACTTGTGAAAGTTATGGTGATTTTATCAAACACCACTGAAGATATTCTACCTTATATTTTTTGGGAGACTAACAATATTCTTTTTATGTTGCAGTCATTTTGCATCTGGTGAAATGATTTCCATGCTATTGCAACAAGGGCATTTTATTGGGTTGGATAAAGTGTTAAAGAACTGTATGAAAATAACTTAAAAACAAGACTTGGATCACGTTCTCATGTAAAAAACTCACAGCAAAAGAGACAGAGAAATACAGTTGTGAACATCATGCACGCGTAAGAGAATCTTCGACCTTCTATAACCTTGCTGACGTCAGTTTTTTATATATAAATTGATTTGTTCAGATGCATTGTCGGATACTGCATTTAAGAAAAATTTCTCTCAGTTTCCATAACAAAGAGAAGACTCCATGAAGTACTATTGAGAGAAACTGAGCATCGTTTCTGCATTAAACCCCAGCAAAATCTTCATAGGCTTTTTATTTCGTTCAATTTTCCAACAGCAGTGACATTATATGGCTTTTGAATCATGATATCCTTGCCGTCCTTTTTAAACTCTAACGAATTATGTGAAACATCTTGCGACCACACTGCATCTCAAATGATACAAGAGTATATTCCGTCATCCAAAAATATACCCTAGGAAAAGCTCAGAATTGAAGTGTTTGGCGGAAAAATTATATCTTTCGACAGGCGTGCTCGAACATGGATAATCATTTTTTCGATGACAGATCTATCAATGTCTAGAAAATGATACACCTCCACTAATACTTTCTCAATCTATTTCATCAGCAAACCATAAAATAATCAAGAGACTTGGACGCGTTCTGATCATCCTTTAACATTCATCACCTACGACCACATCCGGGAATCTTAAACAACACCTGCATCCAATTAAAACCTCACCATCCCTCAAACAACCTACTCCTAGGTCTTTGAGAAACAGTAACAGAAGGTGCTGGCCCATTTATAAATTTATAATTTATAAAAAAAACTTTTTCTTTTTCCTTGTACAAAGTTTAGAATTGATTTGTAAACATAGACAGTTAGGTTTTTTCCATTTATATTATAAATCGAATTAGACAGCTACTCTCTCATGGAAATTCTACATGTACATTATCGATCAAAGGTACAATCAGTGGAAGAATTAATAAAAAAAGCAAAAAAAAAACAAAGAGATTCGTCGTTGATACCGAATCTCAATATAAACGATTTCGAAAAGGTGAACCACGAACAAACATCAGTGTGAAGCTAGCACGAAGGAGCTAGCACAAAGAAACTGTGTGTAAGCTAAAAACTTTTTTCCAGAGTTTGTCCGGTCCACAAAACCTAGTCCATTCGATTCAGAATTTAATTCTGCATCGAATGGTAGTAGTTTTATTCACCGGACAAACTTCGGAAAAAAATTATCGGAAACATAAATAGACATATATGAGGCAAACAAAGATGTGGTTAAACTTTTTTCCGAAGTTTGTCCGGTGAATAAAACTACTACCATTCGATGCAGAATTAAATTCTGAATCGAATGGACTAGGTTTTATGGGCCGGACAAACTCTGGAAAAAAGTTTTTAGTTTACACACAGTTTCTTCGTGCTAGCTCCTTCGTGCTAGCTTCACACTGATCGAACAAACGTAGCAGTAGTACAGATTCAAATGATCCAATCAACAATTAATTCAGTGGTCGTACTTATTGAAACATGTTATTTACCTGATCCACGAATTATGCAACACCATCTTCAACAACAACAACAACAACAACGAAATAATAACATGGGGACCAGTCGAGCAAGAATTTGCCACTTTTAAATATTTTAATCTTTTCCATTCAGGTAACGTTCGTGAATGTGACTTACAATTTTACTTTAGTAATCCAAGTCAACTTTACGACAAGCATCCAGCAATGGAAAGACGGGTGGGTGACCAGTGAATCGATGAAAATCGATACATCCGGTGATGAACTTATTGTTGACGTCGACGATGATGCTCAACAAAAACCAAAACTGAATCCACCTTTAGGTTTACACACAGCGGTAGCAGAAACTTTCAACAAATTCTTGGACAAGTCTTACACGAAAAACGATTGGAATTGTGGACTTGATCGGGATCTTGGTACATGGCGAAGAAAGCGGTTCAGCACATATGAATACAACGAATGCGAAGAAAAACAACAACGGGAAGATATGAAACGATATGCAATTTATGATTGTGTAGTTGTAGCTGAAGTTTACTTCGAAAAATATCCGGAAACAGCAAACGATTACGCAGCAACACTTCAAACTCCGACAACACCAGAAATTCCAATCACAACCACAACAAATTCATTAACTCGACAGCCTGATGAAGTTCTGATATCAAATGAACCAGAAACAAGTGTCGAAATCGATAGTGGAACATCGACAAAACGAGAAATAATGTTAAATCGGCCCGAATTATTGAACAAGATGAATGAAAATGAACTTTTGGATTTCTTACGGCCGACATTAAATCACCAATCACAAAAGCCTCAACGAACACCGGAAGAAGAACTCCAAAAGAAGAAAGAAAGACAAAAAAAATAAGAATGGAAAATTCAAAGAGAAGAAAAGAAATCGTCTCGATTTCATAAATCGTTCAACAAGGTCCATTTATCACAAATACACATATAAAAAAATTAGGGCACAAATGATGGACAATGGAATTTGTCATTCACGTCAAATTAAAATCAGTGAAGAAAAAAAAGATGTGACAATCAACTTCAAATCACCAGCATTACTTGAAGAAGCGAGAATGAAAATGCGTGTGAATTATTTCTCGGAAAAACAATATCATAAAAGATGGTGAAAAGTAAAAAAAATTCTTTTCTTTTCACCATCGCGACGGGAGCAAACAATGGACCAATACAACGAAGACAACAGCCCATCGAACTCCATTTACCACCTCACCGACACTATCAGCTCCACCAGATCGACATTCACATTCGATAATTAAACGACAAATCGAAGCGATGAACACGAACATAAAACTGTTCAACACACGAAATTTTCTTTTTTTCTTTATGTCACATCGTTCGTTTTTTACTCTCTCCTTTTTTTGTAACTTTCAGATTCGTGTCTTTCGGTTTGTGTGCGGACACACGTTATTTTAGGAGAGGGACGCATGTTAGCGTCCAGTTGCCTTATTCTCGTCTCTCTCTCTCTCTCTCTCTCTCGTGTTTTCTCTCTATATAGCCAGGTGCATGTGTGTTTCATAGAGAGAAATAAAGTCACTCTCACGAGGAGAGTTGCACTAACAGTGCTATATAGTCTGACCTGCTTTTCGATCGAAATGAATATCTCGACAAGATTTAGTGAAGAAGGAAATAGTAGAAGAATCATTGAGACAGAAGTTTAAAACGAAAAACTGACCTTAGTCAACAGTTTTAATTGAAATAAATGCGAATACGTCGGGTTGTATCCGAAAATAAAGTATACTGCAAAACGTTTATGAGAATGGGCACAGGAAATTTATCAACGAAAAGTGAAAACTTTTACAACAACTCGGGAATAGTTGCGCCGATGGGGTACGATCGGGCAGACACACAGACTGATTATAGCAGTACATCCGCTTTTTGAGTACATTGAAAAAATTTTTTCGTTTTATTACTCAATACGTAAGGAAACAGACAAGCTATACTTGTAAGACTTCTTTTTCTAAGAAAGACTGTAATATATAATTAAATAATCGAACATATTCTTTCATTATGGCGATAAATCTGGTTCAATAGTCATTTGAATTCTTCCACAATACATTCGAAAACTAATATTAATAATTAAAGGAATTAAAAATGTTAATAATATTGTTAAACATCCATATAGACTAATAATCGTTGTTAATATGTGTAATACATTAAACTTTTGGATAGATGAATGAGTACACTCAGTTGAATGACATTTCTCAGTATAATTAAAATAAGAATAATTGAAACTCCATTCATTAACAAATAATCGATCAAGAATATGTTGAACTGTTTCATTTATTGAATATTTTGCTTCTAATCGTAAAACGTCCACTGAAAAACCTGGTGAATCTTGTTGAACACTTGATGAAATTAAATCTAAACATGGTTTTTTATATAGACATTCCAATGAAGAATATAGCATAGCTTCAATTGGATAACAGCCAAAAAATAATCCATCAATAGATATATTATTAAACATAGCTGATTCTACGCAGTGTAACGAAGTTGCACATGTACATTGCCCTTTTTGATATGTTTCTGATACTGGATAAGCAATTGATTGATGATATATTTTGAATAAGTCATATTTCCAACTTTTATTATCAGCTGATAAAAAAGTATTTCCATGAACAAATTCACGAGTTACTTGAAATATTTCTCCGAATTTTTCTCGTGTTGATTTTTTAAATGAATTAATAAGTTCATTGATTCTTGTTTTAAAAATATTTCTGTCAATTAAATAATTATTTATTAATGTTGTCGAATAAAATTGTCTTAAACTTGAATTTATTGTTTCTTCCATTAATTGACATAAGGATTTAAGTACTTGAAATTGACCTGAGATTATTTTATAAAAAATTGAATGATATTTTTGAGCTCTTACAAATAAGTAATCAATCCATTTCTGACTAACAAAATTTGACGAGCAAATTTCATGATAAATTGGTTGAAGTTTAATAAATTCGAAATATTTTATTGAAATTTCATTACATGAACAAATTAAAGTCGTGGGATATTTTATATTGAGTTGTTCATATTGTTTAAAATCTCTTAAAGAAAATTGATGAGTTAATAATTGACTTTTCAATGAGATGTATAAAACACAAATAATCAAACTAATAAGAAAGGTAATTAAATATAAACGTGTACTTAAAATTTGTTTTCGTATTAAATAATCATCAGTCGATTGAGTTCGAAAGAAATTCAATTGAATTAATTTTCTTTGACATAATTGAAAAAGAATACGTAACCGATTGAATATTGTTAAAACTGAAACAATTAAATAACATTGAAAAATTCAATTAACCCTTTTCAGCTAACTATTAGAAGACCTGTAGCAAAAACCTTTTCGTGTAATTCTGGTACTTCTTGACAACGGACGTATAAAGACTTTATTTTTCGACGTCAACAAAAGTAGTTTGACATCCGATGTCTCGCTAGATCCAAATACAAAAAATCAGGTCACCAGGCGACGAAAACTTTGACAAATTCGCCTGCTTTTGTCTTATTGAAAATCAATCTGATGTAACTTTTTACATCCACATTCATAGAAGTAACCAAAGATTTTGTATTCATCCATGTTGTCCAGCGTAACGCTTAGATTTTTATGGAATGTTCCTAAGTTTTTTGATATACTGCGACATCAGCTGAGTTTCATTGGAAAATCTCGAGGAATCTACGGTCACTTGAAATATTTTCAGTGCATATAAAGTGTTCAGGTACAGACTCATACAAAATGTCTACAAAACATCCAATATGGCCTTTAATTTCCTCGAGATTTTCCAATGAAACACAGCTGATGTCGCAGTATATCAAAAAACTTAGGAACATTCCATAAAAATCTAAGCGTTACGCTGGACAACATGGATGAATACAAAATCTTTGGTTACTTCTATGAATGTGGATGTAAAAAGTTACATCAGATTGATTTTCAATAAGACAAAAGCAGGNATGATTCGTGTGTATTAATGAATTAATAGGATCGCGTGATAAACAACAAATTTTATGTTTTGTATAGAAAGATCGATGAATTCATGCATATTGTGTCAAATGTAATTATAGAACAACAAAAGTGAAAGGTACCAATTGTTGTATGATGATGGTGAAATCACAAGATGTCAGGTGAGCTTGTGGATGTCATTATTAAGTTTAATTATATTCATATTTGCCATCGTTTCTATGTTTCTATGCATGTGTTACGGTTGAACAGTGTTCGTTCTGCATCGTAACTGCATTATATTCTAATTGTAATGAAATCTATCGATCTTGCCTTCCAGATGAGCACGAAGAAAGTTCATTGCCCTTTTGAATATACGATTATGCTTCTATTTGATCGCTAGTTTTTTTTATCGTGAAGCAGAATTATGAATAAGTGGATGAAAAAGCAAATCAGAAAACGTAAAATATTGAAAAAGAAATACCAATTCCGTTTTCTCTTGCTAATTTGCTTTCAGTTATTAACTCAGATAAGGCGTTAGGATAATCTAATGTATCAAACAATCACATGTATGTAATAGTATGTGTGTCGTACTTGGATTCAGGAATGACAGTTTTTCCTTTAGTCGCAACGCCCTCACCCACCCTCAAGATCATTTTCATTGTGATTAACAAAATTTAATTTGAAATCATTGAGAATCGAATCACTTTGTTTGTTAAGGCCTTTAAAAGCTTGAAGGTCCTTCGCATCAATATACTGAAATATTTCAATGAATAATTCGTTGAAAATGATTTCTAATTGAACTTGATTTGATGATCATCTATCATTTATGATACTCATTGCTGATTGCGACAATAGTTTTACCATAGTAAAAGAAATCTCTTTTTTTATGATTTCACGATATTATTCGCAAACGTAGGAGTTAACATATAAAGAAAAACGTTTTTGCGTTACGATGACTCATCATTTGTGCATCATATTTTGTCTGCGTTGGAGAAAAGTAATTGAGTTACACCGAAAGTTTGTTTTATATCACAATGAAAACGATGTAAAATGTTGATTTAGTAAAAATAATTCACTTTAAATATTTGAATATCACAAAGTTGCAACTGGATTGGCTAATGTAGCACTATATTACAACGATTATTATAAGAAGAATTTATTTAAAAGCAACATCATTTCTTCGTGGTCTATTTAGATTTAAACATTTGAACTAGTATACTTTTTTTCTTAATAGAAATTTCTAGATAAAATCCTATCGAAGTTTTCGAACTGTGTTGAACATGTTTAATTTATTCGATTAAAATTCTCGATCGAAAAATGGCATTTCGAAAGCAAATTCAATTTCCAATGAATAAAATTGTTACCTGTTAATTCTTTTTGAATGCTCCCGAAAGTTCACGTTCAACTTAAATAAGAGCTATTTTCATTTCAGTTACTTCTCCCCCTCTCTCCCTACAACTGCTGAAAACTTTAACGGGCACACAGACAATTTGTCGCACAATGCATACTGTAATTGATTTACGCTGAAAAACTATCTGTTATTGGTTGATGTAGCTGCATATAATTTAACCTTTTGGCTTCCGGTGGCATATATATATACGTCCAAATGTGGTTCTCAAACAGTGGTGCTTTTTGTAGATTCTTCAGCTGCCTATAAAATCTGTTTGCCTTTTATCAGATGATGCTAGACAAATATCATCCTTATTTCTCGCCTTTGGACTCGTTACTATTATATATCTATGTTGTATACATTTTTTTTGTCCTGTGTACCGATATTGTTTTTCGGCTCGAAGTAATTAGAGGTGTTTTGACAAAATATAAATCACACAAACATCTCTATCAAAACGACTTCAAAGAAAATGCGCCAATTTATACGAACCATAGTTTTCAACGTGATACATGATATTTCTGCTCTGATTGTGATGTTCCAGTATGCAATGCCAATTACTTTGAAGACAATCATACAAAGATGCATTACTATAATAGACTTTTGACATAAATATAGTATCCCTCCCTAAAAAAGCAAAGATTACATCACAAGATTTCTTAGAAAGAATTTCGAGTTTTGCAAAGAACGCCGAGAATCAAACTGTTAATCTTGATAGCATCCATATCAGTATCGCTGTGAAGCTAGCACGAACACGACCAGCTAGCACGAACAACCAACGAAATTCATTGGTTCACCATTCGACCACTCAGAAACTAAAAAAACAAACAACACCAATATAGAGGACCAGCCCATGGACATGGCTGCGCATAGAAACCGATAATACCGAAAAGCTACGTCCGAAATCCTTTCGCATCTCCACCCCCTATACACCATTCAAATCTCAACGAAACACCAACACCATCGTTTGCGCGCTTCGCCGACCACAACCACACCACTAATTACTCAAAAGGTCCCCATCCTACGCTCTGCAGTACCGCAACTACTAAGACATCCCCCAATCACAAACCTTACNGCATTCAATTCTGCACTAGAAGACACTCTCATAGGTCACCGGACTCGTTTTCAAGTGGTGAGAATCGGCGGCGGAAAGATCAATGGCGGCCGTGTGTGGACCAATGATTCGAGGTCTCATATATCCGCTCATGAGTTACTCCGGCGGATTACGCAATGTGAAACAGATTCAGCATTCAATTCTGCACTAGAAGACACTTTTGTTAATGACCGAAGGTATCTCTGAGTGGCGTAAACTAACGGTGCGAAGAAGTAGGACTTAGCGGACTATGTGCATAGAGGGATGTTTCTTGTTATGGTTTGTTAGTAGTTCAGCGGGATTGTGGATTGTTGAGTAAATTGAGCGTGTAATTGTGGATTAAAGGATAGAGAGGTATATTATGGAAGGAATTCCGGTGCTGTAGTAGAAAGTGGTATGGATAAAATGTGGTTCGTGCAATTGGTCATTTATGATTGGTGAGAAGGATGTTGCCGTTGCGGGAAGGATAGCTGGCAGTTGGTTTAGCTGGACTCGGTGCAGGGTGTAATTCGGGGCCTCAAGGGTTTTCTGGTTTTGGGAACAAGACATTCTAAATTATGATTCGTGTGTGAAGTGTGAAATGGTTATGTCCTTGTGTGCTAGGGTACAGTGTAAAACAGCGCATATAGGTGGCTATGTGTTTGTCTGGGTTTCAGACGCGGTTTGGCACTCCGGGAATTGTTTTATTTGGTGCGTTGCTAAGGCTTCGCTCTGTGGTATTTTATGGATCTGGATGGTAAAATATGGAACGGTTTTCGATTGGTTAAAATCATGCTCGTTTTTGATTGGTGTTCGTGCTAGCTTCACATCAATCATATCAGTTTATGTCATTCATATCACCCATATTGTGTCATCACTGTTTTTGTTTCCTTGAAGCAGGTAATCCATTTAGAGAGAAAGCATTTCAATTGTAATCTATAACTGAGTCTAAATAAGATGAATGTGACAATGAAAATATCATAATCTTACTGATTTCATATGCTGATCTCTCAGGAAGCCATGCAGCACTATAATTACTTATATTGAAAGCAGTTATGTAACCTAAACAAACTGTTTTTACGTTATAGACAGACACACCGATCCCATATTGAGAGTGCGGATATGTAAAGGTGATTTATTTATACATCGAGCTTACCCACATCCTCAAGATTTTCGAAATAATGTAAATGCGAAACAATTCCCGATCAAAAATCTCCGTTGCAATGATAGAAACAGATTTATCGTGTTTCACATTTTGAATCCCTCAACAGATTACACTGAAAGCTTTTTTTATAATGACGAGCATAAAGTGATCAAACTATTACTTCGTAGTAGTTCAGGTACTTTACAAATTGTTACAGGTAATGGAAACTATGGATTAGGTGTAAATTTATATTTACTTCAGAGTTTAAATGAAATTTCCGTCGTTATGAAGTTTAATTTAAATGTAGCGATTGGATGCACAGGAACGAGTGGTTTAGCACTTAATCAACTAAAAAGTTCACATAGTTTTAGATTCGACAGTTACGGAAATATTTTTGTTACTGTAAGTAACAATTCTCAAGTACAAAAATTTCTCATAGCCATAAAACTCTTGTAGCAAGTCATTATCAGAGTTATTATAAAGTCTACAGACGCTATAACTTTCTAAAGTCAAGCCAACATTAGCACGCATTCTTATGATACTTTCTTGGTACTGACAATACGGTTTTTGTTGTGTTTAATTTTGGACAGAAGAAATATGACTCTAATTAGAAATATATCTTCTAATTTCACTTTTTCATACAATATGTTTGTTACAATTAATAATAATATTTATATTAGTGGTAATCCGTACGTGTCTTACTGAGCAAACTACGTTTCTATTGAGATAGCCATTTCTATTTTAGGAAATTTAATAAATAAGAAGTATATTGATAATTTCTTATATTCATTTGTGTAAGAGTGATAAGGTGATGAGGAAATTTCCGAGAAGGTATTTCTGGATGCATGTTTCTATCTTCTTCGTGAAAATATGCATAAAGATTATTTTATTGTATTAGTAATTTAGTCGAGGGTAGAACGAGTCAACCTCGGCGAACACTACCTCTTATTTATTTGAGTTTTATAAGAAGCTTCGCACATTCTTTTTATTGATCCGTTGATAGATAAAATATGATAATATGTGCATACATGTAAATGATCTATTTCATCCTACGCACCCTCACCCAAAGTAACTTAATACCCTTTTCTCCACGTCACTACCTTTGAGAATATTAATCCTTCGAGTTGAGAAAAAAACTATTATAATAATGAAAGTAGCATAAAAAGAAAAATTGAGTGAATCATTTGGTAATGTCGCTGGCAATTATAAACTTTAGTTTACAATATACTCTCTATTCTGGTTATTTTACATTCATTTTTGGAACGATTGGCAATATTTTGAATATCCTTGTTTTTACTCAATTAAAATTATTTCGCGATAATCGATCTGCTTTCTATTTAGTTGTTGAATCACTATCAGATTTATTATATCATTTTATTTCAGTTGTCGCAACGACTTTAACAGCATTGTACGGAGATGATAGAATTGGAAAAAATCTTATTTGGTGTCGATTACGATTTCTTTTAACACAAACAGCTACGCTAATGATGTGTTACATAATCTGTATTGTTGCTTGTGAACAATTCATGTCAACAAATTATCGTTTGAAAGAATTGTGTACAATTCGATTAGCTCGTTATCTCGTTTCTATATTTATATGCTTGTCGTTCATTCATAGTATAATTTTTTGTTTATTTCTTGAAATTCANAATGTCGAAATGCGGTGCAGAATGCGTACCCCAAAGGTACAGATTTTCTTGGGGTGAAAAGTAGTGAAATGGGGTGCTGTACCCCCAAATAGGGTACAGTTGGTAACCCTGGTCTCAGTCCTAAAAGAAGAGGCGACACGTGTTATGTGCATAAAAAGTGAGAAATGAAGGATGGTAGTACAAAGACCGGATAAGCACGAAAAATACAAAGAAAATCTTTATATATAATTTGTTAAATGAAACAATAATTAATATAAATTATGAAATACTAGCTGTGAATGAATCACAGATAACTCATATGATGTCTGTTGAAATATATCAAATTTCAACGTATGAATGTAATCCTTGAGTGACACTAAAATTCATTTCCATTTTTAAAGAAGCAAAATAGTCTTGACAAAGACAATGTCAGTCATAGAAATTTTTTATAGAAACTTTTTAAGGAAACAAAGCATTATTATATAATTAAATACTCTTAAAAAGAAGAAAAAAAGCATAGAATAAATGGGGAAAAAACATGTGAAAACGAAATTAATTATTATCAAAATGAATATTCATATGAAACATAAATATTTAATCATAAAAGTTAAATCTTTGTTGTTACATTTGGCACAATAACCATTTGTCTTCTTCTGTAATACATTCGAAAACTAATATTAATAATAAGTGGAATTAAAAGACGTAATAACATAGTTAACCATCCATGTAAATTAATAATACTTGTTACTACATATAACATATGAAATTGTTGTATAATTGAATTAGTACATTCAGTTGAATGACATTTATTGGAATAATTTAAATAAGAATAATTTACATTCCACTTATCAACAAATAATCGATCAATCATGTTTTGTATAGTTTCATTAATATTATATCGAGTTTTTAATTGTAAAAGTTCAATTGGAAAATTCGATGAATTTTGTTCATAATTTGATGAAATTAAGTTTAAACATGATTTTTTATATAAACATTCAAGTGTAGAACGTAGCATAGCTTCAATTGGGTAACAACCAATAAAAAAACCATGAGTAGGTACACCCTTCATCATGGCTTGTCCTGAACAATTTAATGAAGTTGCACATGAACACGTTTCATCACTATATATTGATGGTAATCTCATATAGACAATATTATCATTTATGGGTTTTTTTTCTTCTTTCCAACTTCTTTTGTCATCAATTGTTATTAAAGCATTTCCATGAAAAATTTCACGAGTCAATTCAAATATCTGTTTAAATGTTTGTCGTGTTGAATTTTGAAATAAATAAATAGTATTATTAATTCGATTTTCACATATATATTTCGATATTAACTGATTACTGATGAATGTTCGTGAGTGAAATTGAATTAAATTTGAATTAACTGTTTCTTCTACTAATTGACATAGTGATCGAAGTATTTGAGGTTGAAATGATGGTGATAAATTTGAATAATCAAAACTAAAACCATTTAAATAAGTAAAATCTAAATAATTAATCCATTTCAAACTAATAAAAGCTGATGAACAAATTTCATGATAAACAGGCGTTAATTTAATAAATTCTGCATATTTTATTGATATTTCATTACATGAACAAATTAAAGTATCTGGATATTTAATATATAACTGTTCAAATTGTTTTAAATGTATTAATGGAAATTTCATATGAATTAACTTATTATTTAATGATATATATACAATATAAATAGATAAAATTATTGTAAAACTAATTAAATATAAACGCGTACTTAAAATTTGTTTTCGTATTAAATAATCATCAGTTGATTTATTTCGAAATAAATTTAATTTAATTAATTTTTCTTTACATAATTTAAAATAATATTTTATTCGATGAAATATTGAACGAACTAAAAAGAAAATAAAGATATTTTACATAAAATTTTAATCAAGACCTTTTTTACTGAAGTAATATTATATGTTTCGTACATCAAGGATATTAGATAT